CCCCAGCAATATTGGAACAAATCGTTTTGGATTAGGATTTAACATGTTTGGTTTTACAGTTAGAATTGTGTTGCAGTATATTTCTTGTGCATTCATTTAAAGGAACACACTTCAAGGATTAACAGGGTGTCCCTGAAGCCTCATTTTATAAAAGTGCAAGTTTAAAAAGAAGTTGCCACTTTTATAATCCCACTAAACAACGCCACCTGGCTGTGAACGAATTGTATTTTACTTTTTTTGGGGGTGGTGGATCAGTGTAGATGAAAAGTAAGGCAATGAGAAACTTTCTATTTGTAGCCATCTTTTAAGTCTTTTACCCATAATTCACCTGGTCTTAATGCCTGCGGCAGCTGATTTTCAAACCGTAAGATAAAACACTATTTTATTTATTTTATTGCATGAAGGAAAGCACATGTTCATATCCCATCAATGCAAACAAATCAGTCCATAAGTGTTAGCCAGTTACCATTTTAAACCTTGTCCATGATTGCATGTGACAGTGGATAACAATTTTTCAAAAGCTCCTTTAATGTAACCATTGCTAGAGCACCTAAATCAGAATTGTGAATGACAATTAATGTGTATTAGCCCACATTTTAGTTTTCCAACACATTCTATTAGAAAAGGCTATATTACGGGTTTCCTTCTCTACAGGTTTCTGATTAGCGTTGTCGTGTAGTCCAGTGCCTTAATATTTCTATTATCTAGAATAGTGGTTCCCAAACCAGTCCTTATGGCCCACCAACAGTCCAGGATTTATGTATTTTCCCGTTTTATTCCAATGGCTATACGGACAAAACCTGGACTGGTTTGTGAAACACTGATCTAGAACACTGAGGGCTGCAGAGGACTGTTCTTCATACAAAACTGTCTAAGGCAGCTGCATTGTAAAAGGTGGGCTATAGTTTTAGTACTTTATGTAGGCAACTAATCGCACAAAACAATTTGAGGGGAATTAAACCCTAGATTTTGATTATACTTCATACTTAAAGGAGCACTATAGGGTCAGGAACACAAACCTGTATTCGTGACCCTATAAAGTTAAAACCACCATCTAGCCCTCCTGTCCCACTCATGCCTCCCTAAATATAGTAAAATCTTAATTGTATTCAAGTCTGGAGCTGCTTGCTTTGTCGTGGTTTCCTTTGACCTGCCCAATGCCTGCTGACATCAGATTTGGTGGCCTGATCCAATCACAATGCTTCCCCATAGGATTGGCTGAGACTGACAAAGAGGCAGATCAGAGGCAGAGCCAGTGCAATTCAAACACAGCCCTGACCACTTAGCATCTCCTCATAGAGATGAATTGAATCAGTTCATTGTCTGCATGCAAAGGGAGGAGATACTGAATGTTTGGATGCATTTTAATGACCCAGGAAGGATCTCTAACAGCTATCTGAGGAGTGGCCAGTGAAGTTATCACTAGGCTGTAATGTAAACACTGCATTTTCTCTGAAAAGACACTGTTTACAGCAAAAGGCCTGAAGGTAATGATTCTACTCACCAGAACAAATTCAATAAGCTGTAGTTGTTCTGGTGACTATAGTGTCCCTTTAACATGAAGCTGTCAATTTTCCATTTAAATGAGCAAGGAAATCGTTCAACGGAGCACTACATGGTTTCCAGAAAACCTTTTGGTCTTTAGAAAGTGATGGAAGGCTAATTATTATCAGGGCCCATACATTGAATAATTCCAATGTAACTGTCTAGTCTTTAAAGAAACACTCCACACACCTACAGCACCTTAGCTTGCTGGACAGTTTGAAATAAAAGGAGTGAACTTTAAAATGACACTCGAGATCCCTGCAGTACTTAAACTTGCTGAAGTGCTTTACATGGTGAAGTGTCTCTTTGTAAAATAAGAAGTTCAGATTTTGGCACTTTTAGAAATCGTCCTTGTCCATTATATGACAGGTCCTGTTACTTTAGCTCAGTAGAGCTAAACTCAGACAATTGTGCAGAGCACCTGCCTTGCAAAGGCTGCCTATTGATTGGGGAAGAAGGGGGAGGCTTGCAAGTGCAGCAGACTAGAGAACTGCAGCAGATTTGCAAACACGTTTAGCTGTATCTCCAATAAAAAAAGGCATAATAAATGTATGTTTATATTGGAGGTATATCTAATAGTTTTATTATTTTTTGCCGTGGAGTGTGACTTTAAAGGTCCTACAAATGGAATATCCTAGTCAAGTGACACCATAGCTGCATGTGCTAAATAAGCAAGGCTTTCAGTACTGGCATAGGGTCTTTAGAGACTAGATTGTGGCCAGTTCAAAATGGCATTGGTCCACGGACGTCAAATTCCTGTTGCTGCGGACTGATCTCAGTTCCACCTATAGACTCATCAGGATCAAATATATCCTATTAAACTAACCATAAACTTAAAATAATTCTAGTAGTTTTAGAAATTTCATTATTTCAAGAGAGTACCTTTTTACTTAAGTTAAGTGAAAATAGGGGGGGAAAATGCACACTTCTGATTTGGTTGAACAAGTCAATTGTCCACTCCACCACTGCTCCATGTCTAGTTTGTGTATAAACCCGGAAAACGTTGCATTGACAAAATGGTGTAGGTAGTGAGAACACCTGGGAACGTGCACTTTTCCCAGAAGATTGTGTGAGCATAATTTCCAGAACTCCAAGTGGGAAGAGTGGTGTGAAGCTCAGCAGCTTTACTTTGTGTCTTATTCAGGAGCAACACTTTCCCTTTTCCGTGTTTGTGTCCTTTTTGATTCCTCCCCCCCTGAACATTAGAGGATGAAAGGGCAGATCTATGGTTAAAGGAATAATCTTTGCAGGCACAGGAAAGACCTTGTATTATGTAAAGGGTCTTAGCAGGATTTATTGTAGAGATCTACGGTTTCAGACCATGAAGTTTTGTGCTCTAACTCAATCAGGAACTATACCAAAAGCCTCACACCGATCACTTTGCCTTGAAGCTTTTCAGCTCAATATTTTTCAGGGATCCAGCTAAACATTGCAATGTAGTTTTGTGGACTAAGTCACTGAATTGGGAATGGGTTAATACAAAGTGAGAGTGGGTTGCTTGAAGGCTGCATGAAATGAGAAAAATCTGCTTCCATTTATGCATTCCCTGTGTCCTACAAGGGCATTTCTATTTATTTTTTTATTTTACCATGTTCAGTTGTATCGTTTATCATAACTAACGGGAGATATAGAATTTTTTTTTTTTTTTTTTCCTTGATCGCTTTCTATTGTCAGAATAGTGCTCTTTGGATTAGACATGTCTGGTGCACAGACCACCGGCCAAGTCGTCTTTATACATGATTTACATGTGTATATGAAATTTATACTATTTTATAAAATGGGCATAAGGTTGCGGCCTTGGGAAAAACAGAGAACTTTAAACAGTACACTAACCAACATTGCGGGCCACTGGATTTAAAAACTAAGCATCTAAGGGTAAACGCATATGCTGTAACAGAATGTATAAATATTTTTGATATTGTATATTTTATAACCAGATTGTAACACTAATTGTAGCTGTACCTCAAAATCTGACGAGCAAAACTTGTATTTGCCTGTTTACTGCTTCTATGGATCTGCATTGTTTAATCCCTTTCACCAGGTTAACACAGGACCATGCAAATATAACCCTCCTGCTGTTAATTAAATAGGACCTATATCAGTCCGCACTTAGGATAACATTGGGTTTCGCCTATCAACAGCTAAAGGGTCATACATGCTATGGACTGGGTTTACCCTTTCAAGGGGAAGAAGGGTTTTAATGCTTTATTCTTGTTTGTTTTTGTGTTCTTTTCTATTAAGAATTTGTTGTTTACTAGGGGCAAATAACTAGTAAATATCAAACTGTTCTATGTATGCCTAAGATCCTCTCTCATATTTCCTTGATTTTTCTTATGTAATCAATGTAGATGTTGTAAAACTCAGTACCTCAAACTAACAAGGCTAGTTATTTGAAACCAAATCATCAGTAGCTTTATTGATTAGCTGACAATGAAATGTAACATGTCTAATGCATAAAATCATATCTGTGTATTTTATTTTTTTACTTTTTTCGTAAAGGAGTGGCGAAGTGGAAATCTAATCATATCTGATTAGCGGTATCAATCACTTCTTTGTAAGCTGCCGATATTGCACGTATATCAAACCAAGCATGCATTTACATATAAAGGAAATATGAGTAAGGCATCTTGTACTGCTTTCAATAGTAAATACAGTCTAGTTTGAAATGCTACATGTTGAGGTGCAGTTTTTGTATTTGATTGTCATGTTGTAAGGGCGCCGTGTGCAACAGGGCTTTTTAGAATCATTACTAACATATCAATTTTACACCCATATTGTACATAACATTTTAGTTTAATGAAATCACTAAACATTATAAGCCAGGGTATGTCACAAATGTAAGCTGAAGAAAAGCACTAATTTTATCTTTGTAGGTATTTTTGTTTTGTTTTTGTTTTTTTTTGTTTGTTTTTTACAAATATCGACTATTTTTAGGCAAATTATGATTTTAAACTCTAGATTGTAAATATATTTTGCTATAGCTGTAAGTGGCTGCTCAAGCACTTTGTAAGTACATTTAGAATATTTTTAGGATGGTACACTATGCATTGATATTAAATGTGCCTTTTAAGAAATGTCTTTCTAAAATGTTTTTTTTGCAGTCATTAAGTGAGGAATGCACATATTTAAAAGTTTCAAATAGATTATTGGTATTTATATAGCGTTAACTAATTCTGCAATGCTTAACGATATTATGGGGGGGAAGGGGGAAGAGGGAAGAGACATTTACAATAAATAAGACAATTACACAGTGACACAGGAACAATAGTTGGATGAGGACCCTGCTCAAACAAGCTAACAGTCTAGAGGAGGTGGGGTACAAATACACGACAGGGCAGCAAGGATGACAGAGACCAAACAAGGTGGAAAAGTAGCAGAGCTGGAGGTGAGAGTGGAGTATGGCTAGTTAGGAGAGCAAGAGACAGATTTGGATAAGTACAAACAGATAAGTTACTCTGGGAGTCCATAAGCATTTCTGAACAGATGTTTTGAGGGACTTCTTAAACAACTGAATACTAGGGGAGAGTCTGATGGGGGTAGGTGGGCTGTTCCAGGAAGAGAGCCGCCTGTGAGAAGTCCTGCAAGCGTGAGTTAGCAGTAAGGGTGCGAGCAGTGGACAGGAAGGTAGTCACCGGCAGAGCGGAAAGAGCGACAAGAGGGCATATCTATGAATCAGAAAGAAATGTAACGGGCTAAAGTTGGTTAGAACTTTATAGGTAATGATTAGTATTTTGATTTGACACCTATAGGATACAGGAAGCCAATGTAAGGATTGACAGAGGGCTGAGGTATGGGAGGAGCAACTGGTGAGAAAGATCAGCCTGGCGGCAGCATTCATTACCGATTGTAGCAGGCCAGTTCGGCTTTTGGGGAGACCAACTAGGAGAGAATTACGGTAATCCATGCAAGATTACCATAGCATGAACAAGCTCTTTGTCAGCATTTCGTGTGAGAAAGGGTTGGATGGGGGTGATGGTTTTGAAGGTGGAATAAACAGGTTTTAGCAACATATTGGATATGTGGTGCAAAGGTGGGGTCAGGATCAAAGAACACCAAGACAATGAGCTTGTAAGGATGGACTGATGCAAGTACTATCAACTTGCAGGGAAAACAGAGTATCAGCATGATGATTGGTGGGGGAGGGGGGCGGGAGGGAGATAAGAAGCTCTGTTTTAGAGAAATTGAGTTTCATAAAGTGGGAGGATATACAATTGGGGAGAGAAAGAACTAAAAGCAAGCAGTGACACGTTGTAGGACTGCGGGGGATAGATCAAGATGGTAGCAGAATCCAAAGGAGTTTGCCAAGAGAGGCAGTATAAAGAGAGAACAGAAGGGGACCAAGAACAGATGCTTGGACTCCAACCGAGACAGGGTGAGAGGAGGAGGTGTCATTGCAAAGAGACATTGAAAGAATGTTGGGAGAGAGAGGAGATCCACGAGAGGACAGTGTCAGGGACCCAGGGATTGGAGAGTTTGGAGGACATGATCAACAGAGAGGTCAAGAAGAATTAGTATGGAGTGGTGGCCTTTGTATTTAGCTGTGATTAGATCATTTGTAACTTTATTAAGAGCAGTCTCAGAGTGGAGGGGGCAAAACCGGGTTGAGGAGGGAGTTGGAATTTAGGAAGTGAGTCATATGAGTAAAGACAAGTCTTTCAAGATGTTTTGAGGAAAAGGGAAGCGGCTATATGGGACGAAAGTTGGAAAGAGGAAGGCTGGGGATGGCATTTTTTTTTTTTAGGATGGGTATGACCGTAGCATGCTAAAGGGGAGCAGGTACACCAGATGAAAGAGTTTAGGATGTGTTAAGGATGTTACCAGACAAGGGGGAGAGATCTGATAAGGTGGGAAAGTATTGAATCAAGTTTACAGGTGGTGGGACGAGAGGAGAAGGAAAGCCACCTATGGTTCTGTTGCTGGGCCTTGAAAGTTGTAAAACTGTGCAGTCTTTCCTTTTTTGTTTTGATTTTTCCCTCTCTCCATCCCTATGACCCGGTCATAGAATGAATTGGTCGGTAAGTGAGGAGTTATGGGATTCCCTGCTCTGGTGTGCTTGTCTATGTTCAGGGAAATTTATTATTGGTACTTTATAAAGGCAAAATAAACATCCAAAACAGAAGTTAGGTGGATCAATATTAAAGATCTGTGGTGTGACTGTAGATTTTTTTTTTTTTTTTTAAACTGATAAACAAAAATATCATCATGGAAACTAAAAATTAATTGGTGCTGATGTAAAACTCCCAAAGTGTTTTCAGACGTTGTACAAGATTTAATGAAGACCGACTTTGAAAAACTGCCCTGGACAATGAGCACTTTTGGTAAATGCTTTATTAAAAAAAAAAAAAAAACTCCCTCTAAATAGCACTGCTCCATTGAGGCCAATTGTTTTGGTGACCTTTTTATCCTATGCAGGATCATGTGCCTAATTTACCATTAAAAAAGGTCCTATGGATATCTATTGACAATATCTCCCACTTCAATGCTTTAATAGGGGAAAGTATTGTTTGGAAGAGATCACTTCTGATGTCAGTCAATGAGACAGATCAGAGGAAGAGCCATCAGCAGAAGATTGGGATAAAAGATTTCACTATATTCCTAGGGGGCTAGAAAGTATAGTATTTTTCCTCACGTATAGTGGCAGTACTCACAAGTGAGATGTGCCTTCTATAGTGGACAAAAAGTTCCCCCTTATTTTTTTGACGATACCTGTATAACCCGCCTGCTGCCCTTATAAATCCTGTACCTTAGAAGAGAACAGTTCTTATCCTGGCAACGGGACGGACGGCTTCTTCAAGGTTCCAGGCAGAGAATGGTGCGGTCAGCACACGCTTCTGGTCGGTGAGTGCCCGATAGCTCCCCAGGCAGGAGCTGAGTGGCTGTTCGGCTTCCGTGTGTTGCGTTACGGAATGCGACTGGAAGCTCCATTATATCCTCTTCTTGGGAAATCCCAGGCGGTCCTCCCACTGGCAATGCTCACACATGCGCACAGTAGTGGAACACACGCTCTGGAGGTATTGCGTTTCACTGAACACCGAATCGCACTACTGCGCATACATGAAACAGTGTATAAAAAATAAAATTGGTGCCAAATTTGACATTTTTTTTTTGGCCATAAATGCTGTGCAGAACCTGTCTGACCCCAAGGGTGGGTGTCCAGTACAGATTCTCTGTGTCACCACGGATGTGGGGTGTTTGAGGTGAGATTTTAAAATTAAAACTCCCTTGAACGCCTGTCACATAATGCATGCTTGCTGAAACAGTTTTTTTCGTGTTTTCTACAGATATGTCCAGTCCTATTTCTACGGATAAAGCTGAGAAAGAAAAGATGTCCGCTACTATCCCAAAAAAGCCACAAGCAAATCTAAGCACTTGTGTTGCTTGGAATGTGCAGTTCCTCTGCCTGACGGTTGTCACAAAATATTGACGCCAGAAGCGTAGGAGGATGCTTTCGGTTATTCGCTCACAGATGGAAGGACTCAACGTCAAATTGCTGGTTTCTAAAAACCATTTTGGAACATTACAGAATCAGTTTTCCTACAATGCCAAAACCATCTTTCCTGATTTCAAAATACCCGTCAAGAAAAAAAAATAAATCAGAGGCACTCCTAACAGAATCCTTAACCCTGTTACGCAAGGATGTTATAGAGAAGGTACCCAAAAACTTGGAATTTCAGGGAGTCTACTAACGCCTGTTTCTGGTACAAAAACAAGACCGTTCCTTCCGGCCTACCCTAGTGTCTGTGTTTTCTCAGAAGTTCCTAAGATTTGCAATTTTAACGGGAAAACTGAAGATTCTACATTTTCCGTTCAAGGCACTTCCCTTTGGCCTCTCATCAGCCCCTCAAATCTTTACAAAGATCCTGGCGCCTATAGAGGCATCCTTACGACTAAGAGGTATCGCAGTAGGTCCCTACCTGGACGATTGGTTCTTCAAAGCAGAATCAGAATAGCTCCTCAGGTCACACCTCAAGATTGCAATAGAGGTTTTGGAAGATCATGGTTGGCTGATAAACTTCAAGAAATCAGAGTTGATCCCTTCCACGAGTCTGGAATTCCTGGGACTCATTCCCTATCCATTTTTTCTCCTCAGGTCAAAACAAAGGAGGATTTGCAGGGCCGTTTCAAATCTATAAAAGGAATTATGCTCCATCAGAGAAGCAATGACTTTCCTAGGACTTCTCACTTCTGCAATACGAGCAGTGGGTGGGCAAAAGCAGAAATAAGAACATTCTTGCACAATGGTCAAGACAACAGGAAGATCTGGATGCCACTTTTTACCTATCCAAAAGAGTGTGAAAACAACTAAATTGGTGGAAAGACAAAAGCAACCTCTCAAGAGGCCTTTCGTTTGAACAAAAAGGTTGGATTACTGTAACTACAGATGCCTCCCAAACTGGTTGGGGTGCCCATCTAGGTTCTCGTTTTATTCAAGGAGAATGGATTTAGAAAGAAGCAAAGGCATCCTCCAACTTCAGAGAGATGAAGGCGGTATGGAATGCTCTAAAAAAATTTTGGTCCAGTTATCAACAAACAGGCTGTAAGGATCCAGTCAGACAACGCCAGCACAGTGGCTTACTTAAACCATCAAGGGGGCACAAAAGTTAAATCCCTACACAACCTGTGTTAACTGATCATGGTTTGGTCCCAATCCAGGCTAAGTTCACTCTTGGCAACCCATATCACAAGGTCTCTGAACGTCATCGCAGACATCATTGGTCGCAGGCAGACTGGGCGCTCACATCCCAAATGTTCTTGGAATTAGTGACCCGTTTTGGCTTACTGGAAATACAGTATGGACAACGCGAAACAGAAAAGTCACAACCTTTACTTCTATCTAGGCACAGGATTTCCTAGATGGCCTGTGCCTATAGTGGTCCGTTAAGTCACTTCCTTGTCCGTAATTTTTGCCTCTGACTTGCTTATCCGCAGATTTTTTTAAAAATCTGTAAGTCTTAAACATCCTCCTAAGCTTTCACTTTTTCCCACCTCGGATTTATCATTGGTTCTTCAAGCCCTTTGTGAACCTCCCTTTAAACCCCTTACGATCAAGACAGTAGTGCTGGTAGCCATCACCTCGGCAAGAAGGATAGATGAACTTCAAGCTCTTTCTTCAGCTTCTGAATTTAGAGTCTTCCATCAAGACAAAGTGGTCCTGTACACCAGACCTTTTTTGCCTAAGGTTATTTCACCTCAATCCATGACCCAACCTATTATCCTGCCTTCCTTCTGCCAATCTCCTTTGTCGGATCTTGAGAGAAAGTGGCATCTCCTAGATGTTAAAAGGGCATTGGAAATCTATCTTCAGGACCTCTGATCATCTCTTTTCAGGGCTCTGGCGAAGTAAGGCTTCCGGACCTATCGCCAGGTGGCTTACAGAAACCATAAAGCTGGCTTATGAGTTTCAATTGGATTTCCATTGAAGGCCCATTCCACAAGGGCTATGGCAACTTCCTGCGCTGGAAGATCAGCAGCTTCACCTGAAGACATCTGCAAGGCAGCTACTTAGTCTTCCTTTCATACCTTTTATTAAACATTATAGGCTGGACATCTTATCCTCTCAAGCAGCTTTTGGGTGTAAGGTGCTCCAGGCAGTGGTCTTCTAAGTTCCCACCCTTTGTTTGTTTGTTTTTTTGCAGGGATCTTGCTATAACCCACTTGTGAGTACTGCCACTCTACGTGAGGAAAAAAACAGTAATTTTACTTAATGTAAATTCCTTTTTTCTTAGTATAGTGGCAGTACTGCCTTTCACTAATTTTTATATGGATTAAATATCTTTTGCAGTACTCAAGTCTGTTTGGTTCTTTTGTATAACTGGAGTTCTCTTCTAAGGTACAGGATTTATAGGGGCAGCAGGTGGGGCATACAGGTATCTTCAAAAAAATAAAGGAGCTTCTTGTCCACTATAGAAGGCACATCCCATTTGAGTACTGCCACCATAACTAGAAAAAAAAAAGGAATTTACAATAAGTAAAGTTACTGTTAACACTATAGAGTGAGGAATGTCTTCCTGACCATATAATGTTCCTTTAACTATTGTATGTGTGTAGTCTTACAAGAATGAAGAAGCAGGCAAGCTGACGGTGATGACTGGTACATTTTTTTCCCCCCCTCTTACATGTTAATTCTGCATATGGCAATGTTCATATACCTTGCAAGAGCAAGTTAAACTATTTACTAGACCAGGAGTTGGCAAATGTTGAGTTCTAGTTGTTAGAACTGCTTATGTGCTTTGGCTACTCTTGTTCTAGATTAGAGTCTTGCGGGTTTAGTTGGGTTTCCCCCACGCCCCCTTACTAAAGAAATGGCAATCTAGGTGTTCTATACAGGCCAATTAACTTCTACAGTGTGTGGATACACTAAATTTAGGAAGAAACTGCAAGACTGGAAATCTAGCCTGATCCTATGAGTTACAACCTTTTTTTTCCTCATGCAAATGTGTTTGTGTGCATAAGGTATACAATTTATATCGTGCATGTGTAGGTCCTTGCTTTGAAAACAAGTGGTAGTGTTATTTTTGCTACTGTTTTAGATCCTGCACATTTTACATGTCAAATACCATTCTGAATAACTCCTATAACAATAGGTATTAAAATGTAGCTGTAGATAACAAGTATTAGAAATGCTATGTAAAGGATATGAGTTGAAAGAGTATATCCAACTATTTTAAGCAATAGTTTAGCTTCAACCATGATGCACAAAAAAGATATACATACCCAAAATGCACCAAGTCTAGAAAATGTTTTCCTTACCCTCAAGCACCCCTGTGTTCCAACAGCATGTTCTTTCAATGTAAAACTGAACTTTATATAGACCTCCCCAGACTTTACTCTGCAGAACTAGTCACACCTCCCACACATGACCTACAGTCTCCCTACACATTGCCTATAAAAGATTTCAATAAATTTACTGGCAGAGCTCACCCTGTCAGTCAATTGAGGTGAAGATAGAATCTGTATGGAAAAACACCAAATTACTTTGCAATGTATGTGCAAGAAAATCTAAGGTGGATTCTACAGTAGACTGATCTGTATGAATATACAATGGGTGGCAGACTTCTAGGAACTAAAGTCCCAAAAGTCAAGGTAGGCGAGATTCCAATTCACTGCAAACATGCATGTGGACATATCACCCAAGGATTGTCTAGGTCTCTGCAGAAAATGTAAAGCCCCAACAAACCAATTCTACTTTAACAGCACCCAGACTGCAGTATGTGCAAGGCATGTCATGAAGAATGCCATCAAGGATCAACTACATGATAGACAAGGTGTACTAATATACAGTAAGTCCTTGTCATAGGAAGAGGTCACAGATCTTGACCAGGCATCTAGTATAAGAAGGGATAGATCTTCACAAGAAATCTATAAATCCAGGATCTAACATGTCACTAAATTTTATGACAGAAATTGGGCAGCCCTGTTATACAAGAACCTAATTGGTAGATTCCTAGATGCAGAACGCCCATGATGCTTTGCATGTCTTTAGAATGACAAAGCATCAGGGAAGCTGTAGTTTTAAAACCTCTTGGGATCTACCTATCGGGCAGCCCTGTCAAATGAACCACAGCAAAACACTAACCCCCCCAAAATTCTCTTTAAACAGTGCAGCAGCAAGACGTTCGCATTACCTCATCTGCCCAAAAACAAGCGAGAAAGTATTTTAGGGAAGTTAGACAAAGGAACAGAATCACAGCTCCATAAGGCCCCCCCTTAGGGTTTGTTACAATATACTGACATTTGTTATATATCTCCAGAAAGCATAAAACAGCTAGTGCATGGTCTGCATATTAACATTTGCACATCTTAGATCAGAATGGAAGAATTGATTGGCCAAGTAATGGTAACTTCAGGACTGATGTGCTGAATGATGATTTATTGCACATTAGTGAATTCAAATAAGTATAATATTTTGGATTGGGCATGTCAAAGGAAAACTATAATGGTCAGGGACACAAACATGTATTACTGACCCTATACTGTTAAAATTATCTACTCCTCCCCAAACCAGTAAAATCTTACCTTTATTCCAGGCTCTGCCTCCTTGGCTGACATCAGAAGTAATGATCTGAGTCAATCACAATGCTTTTCCATAGGAAAGCATTGTATTGGAAGAGATTGACAAGGGTGCTGCTTTAAAGGAACCAAACACCATCCTGGCAGATTTTTAAGACACTGAAGGTCAGTGCTGCAAAGAGCGGCCATATGAAGAGCGACCACTGGAAGTGTCCCTAAGATGTAATGTAAACACTGCCTTTCCTCTTGAAAAAGTGTTAACGCCAAAAAGCCTACAGGGACTAGTTACCAGAACTACTACAACTTATTGTAGTTCTAGTGAGTATAGTGTCCCCCGTAGCAGCGCTGACTATTGAAAAGACCATGACGTGACCACTTAAAAGGCTGACGGCAGACATTCTAAGCTGAACCTCTCACTGCTTGGTGCTGCCATCTTTGTTTTGAACTCTAGCTGGTACAACCAAATATCAGCATGCATTCTTATAATCCGGACCAAAGAAAACCACCTGTGTGTCAATAGGCATAAAATGCCTAGTCTTGGTTGGTAATATTATAATTTACCAAAGACTACACAAACAGCTAATGTTTACTACAAAGCCTTGCAAAATGTTTAATCAATGCAATAAGTAGTATACAAAACCATACAAAAAATTTACATCCCTTTTCACAGGTTGATTGCAATTTAAAGCAAGCTACTGCTAGATTAAACACTTCAACTGCCAAACGGATTTAGCTTGTGCTAAAGAAAAACAAAAAACAAAAGGCTCACAGTAGGCCATTTGGCTTTAAAGTATATATTAAATAGAAACTGTACTTCACACATAAAAACATGTACACAAAATTACAAATCCTCTGTAAACATTGTACAATACAGTAAAAAGGTCCAAATCAGATATTAGGTTGTATTACACGCAGCCTTAGTTACTTCACAGGCTACTTACCCATCATTTTTAAATCAAGAACCAACAGTGCAAAACCACAATGGTTGAGCAGAAAAATTGGTTCTCCGTTACAGTAATGCTTTTTGGAATACACTGTGTTTTAGGTTGGGAAGTATTTAACACAATGAACTGGAGGAAAAAAAAATTCTGATATTAAATATTTAACACAATCCTATATACATATGAAATATCAGTCTTGGAATGTGGTTCATCACAAGCTTGTAAGAAGTTCTTTCCAATCTTATATTGAGGCTTTGTACACACTTAAAACAAACCGGTTTGCACAAGGTTAAGTATTCTCTAACAGTAACAGCTCAAAGCTGTGGCAGCTTATCAACAGGTGTGTCAAACTTGAAGTCTGCTGGAAACAAGTCTGGAGCTCTCGGATAGATCAATCTATAAGACTGCCGGATTGTAACATCAGCAACTCCTGCAATGTCACCAATTTCTGTTGAAAGAAAATAAAAAATAAAAAACAATTGGTAAATAACTTTGTATGTGTTCATAAAACATTTAGAAAGTTTTTTTAATGGCCTGTTTTATTTTGTTTTTTAACACCATGAATCACATTTAGTAGTGGGTTAATTGATATGAGCATTTTACGTGTCAGCCAGTCATTCCATACTTCAAGTACCTTTAAACCATTTTTGTAAAAGATGCCAAAAGTCTGAAATACTGCAAAATAAAGGATACTATATAGTGTGAAATATATTAAATGTATTTTCTCCCTTATCCCTGTGACATTCTATTTTGCATGTATCTGAAAAGAACTGGAATGTAGTTTCCTAAAATGACAGCTTACTGTAAAAGTCTGTACGTAGCATAATACCGTAAATACAGGTACCAAGCATTCAATAGGGCTTTTTGTAGACTCTGTAGGAAGCAAACAGATCAGTCTTTGTATGGTTAATGTCAGGGCTGAGGTAGAGGGGGAGAAGAACTATGTGATAAAGAGGTCAGAACAAAGGCTTGCCAAAACCATTTAAAAAGTACAGCTTTATGTATAAGGGACATTCTAGAGACTAAGACATATCACATAATTTTACAAACATACTTCAAATGTTATTTTCAGAACAGCTTTTACATTTACTTAAGCGAGTAAACAGCCTCATTTTAAATAACCCCATCCCTTTGCAGGAGCTCGTAAATTAGAAAAAGTTTCCAAAAAAATGACTAGACTAGTTCATGAACAAAAGGTGTTTTTTGAGCTTCTGTACAACTCAGTCACGATATCCAGCAGCAATAATTTCTTCTGTTTACTTTAACTTCAAACTATATGCCTTTCACAATAATGATTTTTTGTTTATGCTAATTAGGCATGCTATAATCGGCAGGGGGAAAAAGCTGACTATTTTGACTAAGCATGTGATGCCGCTGTTGAAAGTCTTGTTTTAATCCAATAGTTTACTGGCTATAAGGATATTCAGTGAGAAAGTAGCACGAGTTGTAGATTGACTATTTAAAATCCATGCCAATTTTAACGGATTTGTTTTAATTACCTTTTTGTGTTCTCTTCTCTGCAGATGCTTGTGAAGCCATGTAAATAGCAGCAGCCGCCACAGAAATAGGACTTCTTCCAGGAACCAAGTCTAATTCCACAGCTTTGCGTGCAATGTAGGTAGCTGCCATTTGTACTTGCTTGGTGAGACCCAGGTTGGAACAGAATCTCGACATGAAGTCTCCAGTTGTAATTAAATCTACATTTGTTTCCAGAGCTTTCAGGATAAGCTTAAAGCATCTTCCAATTTCTTTCTTTGAAATTCTGGACACTGCACAAATTTCTAGAGGAAATAAAAAGTGTACAGAGCTATAGCAAATATTGAGTAACATACACTTCATGATAGATTAAACTTACTGTTCGTAATAGATACAGACCCTGCAGAATTATGATAAACTGTCCGTATTAAAGTAAACAAGTGCTCTGTAGCATGTCCATGAAGAACTGTACATGGCCCACAAACTGATCAGCCATATTAGAATCACACGGGTGAATTACCATTGATTTAGTTTTGTCATCAGACAAGGGTTGGGATATATTGGACAAGTAAACAGTCATTTCTTAAATTCCATGTGTTGGAAGCAAGAAAAATGGTCAAGAGACAATCTGAGTGATTTTGACAAGGGACAAATAGAGATTGCTAGTTTTTTGGGTCAGAGCATCTCCAAATTCGTATGGGGTGTTTCCAATATGCAGTGGTTAGTACTTAAAAATGGTGCAAGGAAAGAACCTGTGAACTGGAGTCAGGGTCATGTGTATCGAAGGCTTATTGATGCACATGGGGAGCAATGGCTAAACCGTCTGGTCTGATCATGCATAAGAACTAAGGTAGCTCAAGCTGCTGAAAAACGAAATGCTGGGCTTAGTGGAAAATGTGTCAGAGCACACAGTGCATCACGGTTTAATGCGTACAGGGCTGTGTAGCCACAGACAGGTCAGAATGCCCATTATGATTACTGTCCACTGCCAAAGTATGTCAGTATCAGAGCTGGACCATGGAAGAACACTGCTTGGTCTGATGAATCACATTTCGCACACGCGTGCGATTTACCTTGAAAAGAGATGGCAGCAGTATGCACTGTGGGAAGAAGGCCAGCAGAGAGGGTAATGCACTGGTAAGCTTCGAGTCCTGGCATACATATTAATGTTACTTTGAAAAGTACCACCAATGTGGAGGTTGTTTCAAACCACCTATACCGCTTCATGGCAATGGTGTTCCATAATGTGAGTAGTGATGTTGCAGGATAATGCACCCTGCCACACTACAAAAATTGTTCATGAATGGGTTGAGGAACAAGGCCTACAAATTTGCCAGATCTCAAACCAATTTATCATCTGTGGAATGTGCAGAAAGAACTGATCCACTGAGACCCAACCTCAACTTGCAGGACTTAGAGGTACTATCACACTGAACTAACCCATCCCCTAATTGTTTACTCTTCTCTTCCTCTCAGAATCTGTTTTCTTTTTTTCTGATCTAGTTATCTTTAAAATAAGACACAGTAGGGGCCACTTTGTCTTATTTATTTTTCCTATGCTTGACTTTATTTGACCCGATGGAGTGCACTCCATTTCCTGTGTCAAAGAAAGTTTCCCCACAACACTCCTCCTTGACACAGGAAATGGAGTGGAATTATGCTCCTCCTTGGGTCAAAGAAAGTCAAGCGTATGAAAAATACATAAGAAAGTAATCCCTACTTTGTCTTATGTTTTAAAGAAAAATAGATTAGAAATAAAGAAAATAAAAGTTTCTTGAAGAAAAGAGGAAAAAATAGAAGGCAAGTTTGAGGTGACAGTGCTGCTTTAAAGGATCTACTGCTGTGTTTTAGATACCACAGGACATGCTCAGAGGTGTTGTGGAGTCCATGCCTCAGCACATTAGAGCTGTTTTGGCAGCATGCAGGGGACCTACATGATATTTGGCGGGTGCTTTTATTGTTAAGATCACTTCCTCCCCAGCACTTGTGAATGGGAGTCCACACTAGAGTAGAGCAGCCCACAGCGGGTTTCGCAGCTCCTGCCTTTAAAGGACCACTCTAGGCACCCAGACCAATTCAGCTTAATGAAGTTGTCTGCGTGCCAGGTCCAGCTAGGGTTAACCCATTTTTTTTAATAAACATGGCAGTTTTAGAGAAACTGCTATGTTTTTAATGGGTTAAGCCTTCCCCCTAATCCTCTAGTGGCTGTTTCATTGACAGCCGCTAGAGGCGCTTGCGTGCTTCTTACTGTGATTTTCACAGTGAGAGCACGCCAGCGTCCATAGGAAGGCATTATGAATGCTTTCCTATGTGACCTGCTGAATGCGCGCGCAGCTCTTGCCGTGCGTGCGCATTCAGCCGACGGGGGGAACGAAGGAGGAGAGCTCTCCGCCCAGCGCTGGAAAAAGGTATGTTTAAACCCCTTTCCCCCTTCCAGAGCCGGGCGGGAGGGGGTCCCTGAGGGTGGGGGCACCCTCAGGGCACTATAGTGCCAGGTAAACGAGTATGTTTTCCTGGCACTATAGTGGTCCTTTAACCTGGACCTGGTCAGCCCGGTCTCCACTGGACCCCAGGGAAGCAACCCATACTGCTAGATATACACAGAGCTACGAAAGAAGCCTCCCCACACACAAAACTACACAAGCAGCCTCTCACATGCAATACCACAAGCAGTCCGACACACACACCTTCAAACACGCAATGTGACATCCTACACATACACACTTCCACAAGTAGCCCCCATACATATGTATTAAATACCAATAACTCCTCAAAAACATATACAATATAACAAGCCCACATGTTCACAAATACAACTGTACAAAGCAACTGCAGCACCCAACAAGTAGAAACTGGTAACATGAAAAGCTTGATTAGAAAAAAAAAAAATTAAAAAAATATAGGACTTTCACACCAAGGGCCTTCAAGATCTTGTTTTGGCACAGTACTACTAAAATGTTGCCTATCCCTGATCTAGTCAGATGTTAAGCTTTGCTTTGGTAAAATCATCATCGCATGCAAGGCTCAGCCTTTTCTATTCAGTATGGTTTTTTACATTTAAAACCAATTTACTTGGTTACTTAAAAATGTTTGATAGGTGACTTTTTTTAAGAGATTAAACTATTTTGACATTAAGGAAATGTAATCCTTTGATTAAAAGGTTTAATAAGCCCTTTATATAACATAAGCAAATCTTGCCATCTTTATTTTATGTACCATTAAATATTAATACAGTTATTTTGAAACCATTTTTCTAGCCTGACCAAAAAAAAGGCATAGATAGCTCACCTTTAAACGTTCGGGGTACACCTTCTTGTCTACAGGCAATGTAGAGGCATGCAGAAGCTATGGCATCGTTACTTCTTCCCTTCAGGCTCTTTTGTTCATATACTTGCTTAAATAAATTATTTGTACGATCCTTATATATAAAAAAAAATAAAAATAAAGGATATATTACATTGAGAAACATGCCAGTTAATTATAGTTCATTCCATTAGGACTCTTACTTACGACTATATTACGAGGAAGGTTGATTCGGTCTGCCATATTTGTGATTTCTTTGAATGCATTCATCATTGCTCGGTCTGAACTGCTCATTGTCCTACGATTTTGATATTTTGAGTTTCCAAACTCATCAAAACTTGCTGAACCAGTACCCTGTGGTTAAGATATAAAAATACTCAGAAATATACAATATACAGAGCACAGTAAATGGAACAGTTTAATATTCTTTAAAATCAGCATGCTGGAAACTATTGCCTGGTAAACTGCCATAGCATTTGGTTACTTGGCAAAGTGGAAGAAAAGATCAGTTTACACTGTTCAAAATGATATAATCCTATTTTAAGAAACTGAACAAAGCAAGGGTCAAAACCCCTTCAGCCACTTTCCTTTATCCAGCGCCAGGCTCCCTCAGCGCTGGTGACCTCTCCTCCCCCGCCATCAGCTCCCAAGTGGAGCGGAATGCGCATGCACGGCAAGTGCCACGCGCGCAAAGTGTCCATAGGAAAGCATTTCTCAATGCTTTCCTATGGACGCAAAATTTGCATCCAGCGTCGCAGATGCGCCTCTAGTGGCTGTCCGGAAGACAGCCACTAGGGGCTGCATTAACCCCAGATGTAAACAAAGCAGTTTCTCTGAAACTGCTATGTTTGCATCTGAAGGGTTAAAACCTGAGGGACATGGCACCCAGACCACTTAATTGAGCTGAAGTGGTCTCTGTGACTATAGCAAACGCACAGCGAGCGCAACGAACGTGGAGTGAACGCAGCGAGCACGTGGAGTGAACGCAGCGAGCACGTGGAGTGAACGCAGCGAGCACGTGGAGTGAACGCAGCGAGCACGTGGAGTGAACGCAGCGAGCACGTGGAGTGAACGCAGCGAGCACGTGGAGTGAACGCAGCGAGCGCGCATGTGTAGTGAATATAGTGTGTGTGTGTGTGTGTGTGTATGTGTGTGAAAAAAATATGGGGGCGGCATAATTTTAATATTTAATTTTATTTAGTTTTAGTCCCACGCTCCCTGCTTCTTACTTGGCCAGAGATGGGGGGATATGGTATTCCCTGGTGGTCCTGTGGCATGGACTGCAGTGGGGGCCCGCAGCAAGCTCGCTCTTACCCTCCCAGCAGTTCCCTTCAGCAACCCTGTCTAAATCTTGCGGCCTGCGTGCCTCGTTGCCATGGTAACCCTGACAACGGCGGGACTTGCGAGATTTAGACCGGGGAGCTGCTGGGAAGGTAAGAGCTTGATGTGGGCCCTCCAGGACCGCCAGGCTTGTCATGGGCCTAGCGGTCCAGGTCTGCATTATCTGTTTCTCTATAGGCCGATACCAACCTTGCCAAAAATACAGAATATCGGCCAGACCGATAATCTGTCGATCCCTAGATAAAACACTGACAACCTTTAGCAACAATCTGGAAGACCTGCTGATAATCAAAAATAAATTGGTATTTCCATGCAGAACACTTAGCACTACTGCACATATGCAAAGGCTTTCCCATAAAGCTACTGAAATGTACATTGTACAGAATTCATTCCATGTGCTAGTGACTGAAAGTTTGCATCTTATACATTGTAACACTCGGGAGAGGGAGATAGAGATGCTTCTCCTCACGAACTTCATTGCCCCAGTGCTCAAATATAAACAGTTTAGAAATAGCCTGAAGCAGGGGTTATCAAATGGTAGATCCCCAGATGTTGTAAATTTACAACTCCCATGATGCTTTGCATGCCTTTAGAATGCTTTAGATTGTCATCATGGAAGCTGTAGTTTTAAAACATCTGGGGATCTACTTTATGGGCACTGCTAAAGCATGAGTACACTCACAGGACTTGTAATGCTTCAAATCTGCTTATTACGGCAGTGTGTGTGTATATATTATATATAAAAAAATACAGTGTTAACATTTCAGTCCATTACATCGAACTTCTCATGAGGATGAGTACCTTGCCAATCATTGTAGATAAATCTCCACCACTTAACAGGGGATTTTGAGTATCTCCAACTCTAGAAGGATCTTTTGTGGCTTTGTCATTGCTAAACGTTCTCCATTCTGATCCAACATCAATAACTCGATCACCTGAAATTACAAGCAGTAAAATATGTGTACAATGACCATGAAAGCCCTGCAGCTGCTGCATTACCACTCCCATGATTTACAGTCTATATTCTTGAACAAATAAGGTTTGAATTTGAAGTAGCTTTAGGAAATCTGTATATACAGCAATTCACAGACCCCGGTTTCCATAATTCAACGCTTCATAGTAATGGCCACAGTTATTCTTTATCTCACTACAAATTATTCTGCAGAAGGTGCTGTTAACACTGAAAGGATGACTGAAGCATAACATTCTTTAACCCCATAAGGACCAAACTTCTGGAATAAAAAGGAATAATGACATGTCACACGTCATGTGTCCTTAAGGGGTTAAAGTGACACTATAGTCCCTAAATCCACCACAGCTTAATGTAGTGGTTAATGTAGTCTCTGCAGACTCTTCAATTTAAACACTGCTTGCGCAGTAGCCTCCCAAAGCTTTCCTTTGGGGAAGAATGGGATTGGCTGAAATGAAGTTTATGATCGCAGCCATGGAGGCAGGGCCAGTCACAGTGAAGGAGAAAAAAAAAGGTAAAACAACCTTTTTACTGATGATATCATTAAGACCTTCATCAGTTCTCAAAATATGCCAATATTTGTTAATTGATTTAGTTAAAATATAAAGATAAACAAGTAACTAAACGGACAGAGGAACCCCTTTTGATTTTGGACTATAGTGGCGACGCTAGCCACATTAAAGCAATTATTAACAAATATTGGCATATTTTGAGAACTCAAGAAGGTCTTAATGATATCAGTAAAAAGACAAAAATTGTATATAGGAGGTACAAAAAACCTTCAAACCTTATTAGTCAAAAATCATAAAAACTAATGTCACTAATACCAATGTTTTTAACTAGAAATCTGGTTTCAATCCGTGTAAAATGTGCACAGCCTGTAAAAGGACAAAATTTTAAAAAGATACTTACACCAAATTTATTTCCAATACATCACAAAACGAATATAAAATCAATTCTATCCTCACATGTCACTCCAGCAATGTAATATATCTCCTTTGGTGCCCTTGTGGATTACAATACGTGGGAATGACCACAAGGACTTTAAAAACCCGCATGATGGAGCATTTGGGTAATATACAGAGAGGATATGCTAAACACAGTGTGTCTGCACATTTTTCACAATATCATAACAGTGATCCTTCTTATGTCAGTTTTATTGCTATTGCCAAAACGAAAAAGGATTGGAGGGGTGAAGATAACTTTAAAGAACTTTGTAAATTTGAAAGTAGGTGGATTTTTGCGTTGAATACTCTATCCCCCAAAGGTCTAAATTTAGATTTTGAGTTGGCTAATTTTTTATAGCCATTACACATGTTTATAATATATATATATATATATATATATATATATCTTCTATTTATAGATATTTTCTGTCTTATTTTTATTATCATTTATTTATATTTTTATTTTCATTATTATTTATTTTATTTATATTTATTTTTATACTTATAATTTTAATATTTATTTTTATCTCTATTTTTATTTCTTCTATTACTATTTTTACTTTTACTGATCTTGGACCAACCAATCCTATTCATATGGGCTGGATCTATATGTTATATATGTGATAAGTATTTGTATGACATTGCACAATATTTCCTTATTCTCCCTTTGTAAGATCTCCATAGGTATTATTCATATTTATACACACAATTGTGTTATATTATTTAATTTGTATATATATGCATTTAAGAAGTCCTAATAGATGCCTACTTACAATATGGAAGCTTTTGCTTCAATTGGGCAAACAACTTCAAGTGAATCAAGCTGATGAAATGAGCGCCGGAAAACCGGAAGTGATATCAGACGCCGGCAAGCCGAACTTCCGCCCACGTGATCGGCAACCACAGAAGCGGCGAATTTAAAAGAAAAAGCAGCTAGATGAATTCCTATGCACTGAAGAAAACGCGGACTGAGTTGAAATGCGTCTGCATTATTGTGACTGTGTATTACTATATGAGATCAACACAGTTGTGTTTATATTTTTTATCTACAATAAATTTGTTCATCTTTTATCACCATCGCTGCTTCTTCTGATTCTGGGGGACATCACCTGAGATTCTCAGTTTAGCCTATTGAAGCACCTTTGGGCACTATATACAGAGCCTGGTACGGCTCTGTAATCCGTGAGTGGATTCAATTATTTTTATTTTTCCATCTATATATACAGTCTATACTATGTACTGTTTTTTTGTTATAGGAATTTACCACATGGAATATCTTCAATATACACCTGTATATGTGTAAGTATTATATTTATTGTTATCTGGTACACAAAGAGTGGTGTGTGGATTTGGCATCTGATTATTCAGTGCCCTCATTTTATAAACTTGTATAGTAAGTGCTTGAAGGGGAGTGGGTGTTAATAGTGTAGACTGATTTTGACTGAATTTACCAACCTATTTACAGAAAACATTTAAAACCACCAGACTTACCTACTACCAAGCCACATTCTGAACAGATCATATCACCAGCTCTATAATCTTCTACAAGGAGGGCATCAGGATGATTTGGGCAGGTAACTTTTGGAAGAGCATCCACTCTGCAGAGAGAAAACCAAGACCAAAGAAGGGTTACCAAAAGTTTGCAGAGTTTAGGGGCCAGACTAACCTACATAGAAAACCATCTCACTTTCAGGAGGTATTCAGAGAGTTAAATATTACATTTTCATGTGACTCAGATTCTTTTTAGGAGCATAACCTCAAATTAAAAAGCCAAAAAAGGTCGCCTATCCATTACGCAAGCATATGTATCATTTTAACATAAAGGGTTACTCCTGCCACCATGACCAGTGCTGGTTTTAGAAGTGGCCAGGGTCGTGGGAGTTTGTATGTGCACAGTTTTTAATTGAAAAACTGAAGAGAGATAGTTGTACTATTGTGCTGAGCACTAGTTGCACCTGAGCCTTTTTTTTCTAATTAATAAGGGTACCTATTAGTGCTTGATAGGGCACTACAAAGGAAAGAAAAAATATGTATAAAAGGGTTGGAGTAACCCTTTGTCACTCCCCCAGCTAGCATGATTGTAGGATGGGTGTTACAAGTGATTTTTTACTCAGAACTAAATCGAACATAAAAATTATATATATTTATACACATATCTATATACAGAGACTTTAATGATCAGTGTGAAAAGGAAGTAGTAATTTTAGCAGTTTATTTGTGTGATTTACTGTGATGATTGTATGGTATGTATGAGCGCAATTAAACATTGCTATTTTAAAGATCATGTCCACACCCATTCCATACTAGTATGACTCAAGTGCCTACCTTCATTAACAGTAAAACTCCATGCTGGAATTTATCCTCACTTCGTACTGCATTATGCAGATTACAGAAAGCAAAAAAAAATCTTCACCATTTATACTATCCAAATTTTGCAACTTCTTCAGTAAGCTATGACAAAACCTACTGTCGTCAACAAGAGCAATAAGCAGCCCAATAACTAATGCCAATAAAAAGATTGTGATAGTCAACATTCCGGAGTTTCATTCATGAAGTCGTTCATGCACTCACGGGGATGCCGCAGTACAAATGCTTAAAGCTAAATGGAGCATATAAATGTAATTTGGAATCATATTATATGCATACGTACTGGTAGGGTTTGGGCTCATAGCTGCAGTGATTTCTACAAAGCTGGATTAGTAAAGTTACTCACTCAGTCACATAATGCCAAGTACCCAAATACAAATGTAACTACTTCTTCCCATCTAATACTTATAGGTCACCAGCCCCACCCATCCACTCCCAGCCTTTCATTCGCCAAGCCTTCTAGTTCAAGCACCCAGTTTTATCAAGACGTTCACCTACTGCTTTCACATTCTCCCCTCTCTAACTAGCATCCTACCTAGGGCCCCTGGGCAATCTTGAAGGGACATTATAGAGTTAGAAATACAAGTGTGTATTCCTAATTATAGTTTTCTTTCTGGTCTCTGCTGCTGGCCCAGCATCCTAGACAGACATCATTAAAGGACCACTCTAGGCACCCAGACCACTTCAGCTTAATGAAGTGGTCTGGGTGCCAGGTCCAGCTAGGGTTAACCCATTTTTTCATAAACATAGCAGTTTCAGAGAAACTGCTATGTTTATGAATGGGTTAAGCCTTCCCCCTAATCCTCTAGTGGCTGGCTCATTGACAGCCACTAGAGGCGCTTGCGTGCTTCTCACTGTGATTTTCCCAGTGAGAGCACGCCAGCGTCCATAGGAAAGCATTATGAATGCTTTCCTATGTGACTGGCTGAATGCGCACGCAGCTCTTGCCCCGGCGTGCGCATTCAGCCCGGAGGAGGAACGGAGGATCGGAGGAGGAGAGCTCCCCGCCCAGCGCTGGAAAAAGGTAAGTTTAACCTCTTTTCCCCTTTCCAGAGCCGGGCGGGAGGGGGACCCTGAGGGTGGGGGCACCCTCAGGGCACTATAGTGATCCTTTAAGAAACACCACATTTTTGTCTACTGGTGCACACCGGAAACAAACTTCCTTATAGTTTTGTGAAGCCTGTGGAATATATAAGGATTCTAACATGGGGTAGATTTAACAAGGATACCTATTCAGGTCAAAGAGCTAGTAGCCTAAGCACCATAACTTCAGGCTGCTGCCCATATCTGTACACCATTTTTGCTAAAAAATACCATCAGTTCACAGATCTTGCCAGGGTTTAGCTCCACTTCTAGGTCCTGACAATAAGCCAGGCTGGCTATACTTTATTTTAGCCATGTTTTCCATGTAGTGCATACAACACAAGTGCACAATTTCTTTCCAAAGATTAGATGTGAGCACTCCAATACAATTTTGTTTAAAGGACCACTATAGTCACCCAGAATAATTCAGCTCAATGAAGTGGTCTGGGTGCCAGGTCCCCCAGGTTTTAACCCTTCAGATGTAAACAAAGTTTCAGAGAAACTATGTTTACAATGCAGGGTTAATCCAGCCTCTAGTGGCTGTCTTTCGGACAGCCGCTAGTGGTGCTTCCTCGACACTCAATGCGAAAGTCTCATTGAGCACACAAACCATCAATAGGAAAGCATTGAGAAAGGCTTTATTGGGAGTTTTTATTGGGAGTTTTTAATAAAGGTAAGTGGCTGAAGCGGTTTTAACCCCTTCAGCCCAGTGGGACCTAAGGATTATATAGTGTCAGGAAAAAGTGTTTGTTTTCCTGACACTATAGTGATCCTTTAATGTTTGTATTATCTTTAGAATGCATGAAGAGAGCACAGTTTGTATACCACAACTTCACTTTAAGTGAGATATACAGTTTGTTGCGTCATGTAGGCTAACAAGTGTCGATGATGCATCATAAAGAGACAACGTTGTATGATTCAATGGTAGTACAACATGGGCAGAGCAAAAAGAGAAGCTCTGCTTAAATTGTAAAACTTACTCATTACAATGAACTGGTCCCTCACATGCAATAACCAATTACCTCTCGTTCGCCAAACTTGTTTTGTCAGAAATATTACATCTTGTACCCACTGCACAGTACTGAGGGGGTGGATATTTTAGCTGTCACTTCTGAGTACATCATAGAGGATAAAATCTTGAAATTAAATACTCCTTTACTTCATTTGAATTTTATTGCAATTCAAATGCAAATATACATTCTAAGACCGTAAAGACTATTTTGCCTTACAGACAGAACCGCGGATAAAGCTTCTGCCATCAACATATGAAGTCCCAGCAGAAGTCACCAACTATGGCTGTGGGAAAGGGCATCTACTCATTGTTTGATTAGTTCTCTCTTCCATAGACCATGGAGGAGAGAGCCAGTTAGAAAACCACACAGTACAACAGTGACAAGGACACCAGGCAAACAAAGGTGAACTCCTATTCCCTAAAGCTTGCTAAAGTGTTTTATGAGTTAATAGACTGCGCCCCCCGTCTTACTTGATATACCTATTGATTTCAAAAAAATATCAACACCTTCACAAAGCTCCCAGATGGCACCCTCCCACTGTCAGACTGATTCTCTTTCTTACTTGCTTTGTACTCAAAACAATATTGAGGTCACTGTCCCAACAAGAACGCTTACTCAAAGCAAAAGGCAATACTTATAGGAAAGCACTGAATTAAATGTTTCTCTAGGTCACAGGAATAGGCAACCTTCGGCATTCCAGATGTTGTGGACTACATCCCCCATAATGCTCTTACACACATAATGGCAAAGCATCATGGGAGGTGTAATCCAAAACATCTGCAGTGCCGAAGGTTGCCTATGCCTGCTCTAGGACATGCATTTTATTGGACAGCATGCATTTCCCTCAGCTTATTCCTACAAGCTCAACTTGAGTTCTCCCCTCTAACCCCCCACCACCTCACCAGTGAGGGATATCCTGACACCCTAAGCCTGTACACTATGGTGGCAGTTTCTCGTCACCTTACCAGTTGCTGCAAGCCTGAGTAATAGTAACACCTCTCCCAGAGAACCACAACCCTCACTATCTGAATGATTGATCACCTTTTTGCAAACTTCTGTGCCAATCTGTCATATCACCTATGCATTCCCTTGAAGGCTCCACTGGCAAATATGGACTCACCCGAGAGGCTGCCTTGATGTATTCGGGCCCAACACGCGGCCTCAGCCACGCCGAAGGTGCGCCTTTGGCAGCGCAGACCGTGCCACAGAACCGAAAGACTGCCATAAGTAATTATACAAAACTGGGATCTACTCAATATAGCAGTCCACTAAAAGCCATTTCACACCTGAGAATCTTAAACAGTTGTATAGATCACAATACATTTTGATCTTTCAACAGTTTAGTAGATAACTCAATCATGTATCCTTATCTTGGATTTACATTCAATACTAAATTATGGAGCTATATAATCAAACACATTCGCATGCACATACATATTCACAATCAGACATACAAGATATTTTATTTTAAGAGGTCTACTCAACCTTCCTACCTGTGCGGGCTGGAATGGATCTTCACCCTGGTGTCCAGAGGGGCTGCTGTGATTACTGTGCTCTTTCTGCACAGCTCCAATCCACACCTTTTATTGATGTCAGGGAGACTTCACATCCCAGCTGCCAGTATCACTAAAAGGAATGCGCAAGAAGAGCACAGCGAGTACAATTTGCAGTCGCCACCCTCTTACCAGTACATCTGGCCATGTTGGGAGGTAGGTGCCAAAGGAAACATGCAAACTGTGGGCAGTTTTTGCATCCTTCTCCAGGTTCTCCCTAAGATGGCCATCTGTGTTGCATTAGTATCGAACCTGCCCTACTAGAGGCCAAGTCCTAATATCTTTATGGCCTTTGAGGCCAGCAAATTGCATGTGGCAGTAGATTGATGGCCACTGTTGGGAGATTCTTGGACCTTGAATTTATTTTACCCTGGTCTACACAACTATTTTCAAACGAATAGAAGCTTAGTTTAATGGACTATTACAATTTAGGTCAAAATCTTTTAACTCTGATAACAAAAACAGGGTTAATTACTAAACAGTAAATACAATAAGTGAATTGAGAATGCAAACTGCTAAATTTAAGCCACAATAGTTGACTTTGCAAAATTATTCAGCTAGCAATTTATTGATTAATTTAGTCCAAGTTATTGTTTTGTGTTTTTTTTTTTGTTTTTTGTTTTTTTTATAAGTCACAATTCAATAGTCCGTGAAAAAGCCCAGTAGAGTCTGAAATTATGGTAGACTTGAGTATCACTCAAGTTTCTTTGGTATGATGGAATGACATATCACCAAGAGTTAAGCATCTCAATTCTAGTGTGAAATTCCATATTACTGGTCTTTGACCAATTAATTTAGGGCAGAGGAAGCCCCTCCAACTGCAACTCCACGTTAAATGCAGATAGCAAATATCGCAAATGGCTGGATAAAGTCACAAGGAAAAGCGTTCCTAGAGGACTGAAATTCATTTCAAATGGTCCAAATGACACCCAAAATTTAATTTTCTTTCCTTTCTACAAAACAAAAATACATATACTGTAATTGCAAGTGGTTCCCTATTACTTCAACATCGTAAGTGCCTAGAATTTAGCAAGACTGAGCTTAAGAGTATCTTAGCAACAGTTTTATATAGTTGGGTTTTTCTATTAATATTTTATAAATAATTGAAAAATACAATAAAAATAGGGATTTGGTAGCAATAACTTGTCTTTAAAATATTTTATTGAATATAAACGAAGGTAGATAATATATAAAAATCTAATCCATAATAAAAACAAAGTAAATAAAGTTAAATGTATATGCTTGCAATAAACCAAAAATAAAATTGCATATCCCAATTGATCAATCCAGGTTAATCTCTCATTCGTGTGTTACTGCAGCTGCAACAACATGCTCTCCCAATTGTGTCAATAATTGGTGTATACATAGATTTTAGATAGCAATACGTTCAGGCATTTCTGGACAGGAGTAATATCATAGATTAAAACCGGTAACTGCAGTTTACTTTCTGGTTAAACCGCAGTCAAACAAAAAATGTAAGTCTTGATTTCATGGCAAGTATACAAACAAGGCCAAGGCAAAATAATGAGAACTTGACCTGGCGTAGCAAGACTAAATGGTGTCTATAGTCTAAACATTTTACTTTCGAAGCTGGACGTGAAGCCAGATTGATAACAAAAAGAACAGGTAAAGATTTTAACAGGGGGAGGGGGTTGCCTATAACAATATAGGGTTATTCACTAAAGTGAGATTTCAATTTAAGGTTAAAATAGCCAAATTAGAGAAGTTACCCAAGTCAGCTACACTATGATTTGTGCAAAAATTAAAAAATTCTCACTTTAGTGAATAACTCTGTTAAACATATGTGTCAGGTGTATCTGTATAGTGTTAAGATAGGTTTGACATTCCTCTGGTCTGCAGAATGTCTTGATGGTAAGGTATAAGTAAGATGGTCTGAGATCTCAAGAACAGAATATCTAGACTCAAGCGGGAATAAGAAAAATGGAGACTGAGAACAGCTCTAATACTGGATCAGAAAAGCTTGTATAAAATAAGTATAGGTAAATCACTATAAAATTATATTGGGACTATCCAGTAGCTAGTAAACCTCATCAGTACACATAGGAAATAAACGTTGATATACATAAAAATAATGGAATTAAGGAAAAAGTCCAAGAGACTATCCAGCAAACTCACAATAATATAGCATAAGTGTCACTCCCCCTGCTTGTGAAAACAATACACCATTGGTGTCCAACCTTTTGTCTTCCTTTGGCCACATTGAGCACAGAGGAAATCGACCTGGGCCGCACAAAATCTATAACGTAAATAATTTATATAATAAAACCTTAAAAACCCTTTTCTTAAATTTGTTTAGCAGATAACTCCTTTATTGTTATCCTTACGTGGGATTTCCATATTTAAAGATACCAATGAAGGGACATACATACAATAATCCTAGCCTTTGCACTCTTATCTCTAGCCAAAGGACAACGGGTGCCTAGCCACACAAATTACAAAAATTGAAGACTTGCCGGCACGCCAGGATTTTCAGTGAATACATTTATTGTCATAAATGGTCGACGTTTCAGTTCCTAGTTGGAACTTTCATCAGGACACAAAAGCTTTCCAACGTTCCAACTAGGAACTGAAACATCGACCATTTGTGACAAATGTATTCACTGAAAATCCAGGAGTGCCAGCAAGTCTATTTTTGAGAGATATAGATAGAATATCTCTATATATACATACACGATCACAGTCGTCGTCGTCCCCCCCCACACACAGTCACAGACCCACCCACACAGGGTGCTGTGTGTGAGGGGTCATAGGGACGAGGTTTTTTTTTTTTTCCAATGCTTCATGTTCTCCCCTCCAAAGGTAGGGGGGAGAACACTGCCATCCCTGGTGGTGAGTAGTGATGATTGTGCCCTTTGTTAGTGAGAGGTAGTACCTGGGAGGCAGAATGCTCGCGGGAGAAGTGAAGACAGCCTGCAGACAGGAGAGCCCGCGTGCAGAATGCTGTGTCGGAGCATTGCCGTGGCAATACTGACCAGCATGCTCGAGGGAGGAACTGCCTCCCAGGTCCAACCTCTCACTAGCGAAGGGCCTCTGAGCAGGTGAGGGATATCTTTGATCTCCTCACCTGACCAGAGAGGCCTCAAAGCAAGTAAGCATGTTCGTGAATGTTCTCCTTGGGGCGGCAGTGGAGATCAAATGATCTCCATTGTCGGCCCCAGCACATTGAGAAAATCAGTCGTGAGTGCGGACGGCAACCGGGCCGCACTGAGAGCAATCCCAGGCGGTACACCATTGCAATACAGAGTATAGTAATGCAAATGGCAACTAATATCCTTTCTAAGAAAGATACAGTAACTTCCCACAGATGGTAAAGTATGTATTTTTGCTGATACTGTAACAGATATGTAACAGGGTTGATGTTGCAGGAGGGATAAGCCAAATGGAAATGATTTATGTAGACTAGAAAAATGGTCAGCTGACATTTAATGTGGATAAGTGCAAGATAATGCATCTTGGACATAAAACCCCAAGGGCAGAGTACAGAATATTTGATACACTCCTAACCTCAACATCTGAGAAAAGTTTTTTAGGAGTATTTATTTCAGATGACTTAAACGTAGACAGACAATGTAATAAACAGTAGGAAATACTAGCAGAATGCTTGTATAGTGAGCATTGTATAGGGACAGGTATTAGCAGTAGAAAGAGGGAAGTGCTCATGCCATTGTACAGAACACTGGTGAGACCTCACTTGGAGCATTGTACGCAGTACTGGAGACCGTATCTCCAGAAGGATATTGATACTTTAGAGAGAGTTCAGAGTAGGGCTACTAAACTGGTTCATGGATTGCAGGATAAAACTTACAAGCAAAGGTTAAAGGGACACTATAGTGACCTGAACAACTTTAGCTCAATGAAGCAGTTTTGGTGTATAGAACATGCCCCTGCAGCCTCACTGCTCAATCCTCTGGCATTTAGGAGTCAAATCCCTTTGTTTATGAACCCTAGTCACACTTCCCTGCATGTGACTTGCACAGCCTTCCATAAACACTTCCTGTAAAGAGAGCCCTATTTAGGCTCTCTTTATTATAAGATTTTCCTATCCCCTGCTATGTTAATAACTTACAGGAGGCTCTTGCAGGGTCTAGCATGTGATTAAAGTTCAATTTAGAGATTGAGATACAATTATTTAAGGTAAATTACATCTGTTTGAAAGTGAAACCATTTTTTTTTTCCATGCAGGCTCTGTCAAGCCTAGCCAGTGGAAGTGTGACTAGGGCTGAATAAACAGAAACAAAATGATTTAACTCCTAAATGACAGTGAAATTGCAGGGGAATGATCTATACATTAAAACTGCTTTATTTAGCTAAAGTAATTTAGGTGACTATAGTGGTCCTTTAAAGGATCTTAACATGTATAGCTTGGAGGAAAGACGAGACAGGGTGGATATGATAGAATCATTTAAATATAAAGAGGGAATAAACTGTAAAGGAGGAGACTATTTAAAAGTAGAAAAACTACTACAAGGACATTATTACTGGTATTTATATAGCGCAAGCATAGTCCATAGCACTTTACAATATTAACAAAGGGGGAGATTTAACAATAAATGAGACAATTACAAAAAGTTGCAGGAACAATAGGTTGAAGAGGGCCCTGCTCAAACAAGCTTACAGTCTATAGGTGGTGGGGCATAAAACAGGACAGGAGATAGCAATCAAACAAGTTAGAGTGAAGCAGGGCAGAAGTAGATAATAGAGTGTGGCCCTTTAGGAGAGAGCAAGGGACATGTATGTGAGGTAGAGGTTACTCTGGGAAGCCATAAACTTTCCTAAAAAGATGAGTTTTGAGGCACTTTTTAAAGGATTGAAGACTAGGGGAGAGCTTGGTCGTAGGCAGGCTATTCCAAAGGAAAGGAGCCATCTGCGAGAAGTCCTGCAAGCGTGAGTTGGTCGTACGGGTGCGAGCAGCGGACAGGAAAAGATCATGGGCAGAGCAGAGAGACCAAGAAGGGGCATACCTGCAGAACAGTGAGATATAGGAGGGGATAGAATTGGTCAGTGCATTATAGATGTGGATTAGTACCTTGAATTGACTCCTATAGGATACAGGAAGCCAATGTAAAAACTGACAGAAGGGAGAGGTGAGGCGGAACAGGAGAGGAAAATCAGTATGGCGGCAGCCTTCATTACAGACTGTAGCGGGGCAATAAGACTTGTGGGAAGACCTATTAGGAGAGCGTTACAATAATCCATGCGAGCGATTACTAGAGCATGGACAAGTTCCTTAGTAGCATCTTGCTTAAGAAAGGGGCTGATGCAGGCTATGTTTTTAAGGTGGAATCTACAGGAGTTGGTAACAGACTGGATGAGAGTCTCAAATGTGAGGTCAGCATAAAGTATAATGCCAAGACAGCGTGCTTGCAAGGATGGACTGATGTGAGTACCAGTAACTTGAAGTGAGAGCGAAAGAGAAGGATCAGTGTTAGGAGGAGGAAAGACAAGGAGTTTGGTTTTAGAGAGATTGAGTTTCAAAAATCAGGAGGACATCCAGTCAGAGATGGAAGAAAGGCAAGCAGTGACACGTTGCAGGACGGCAGGGAAGAAGTGAGGTAGTGTTATCAACGTACAGGTGGCATTGGAATAGAAATTAGGTAATAAGTTTACCAAGAGAGGCAGTATAAAGAGAAAATGGAAGGGTACCAAGTACAGAGCCCTGGGGGACACCAACAGAGACAGGATGAATCGTTAGAAAGGAGCTGAACAGAAGTGCAAATTCTGAAGAAATAAACAACTTTGCCTTGTGACAATAGTTACGGTGAAAAAGTCAAAATGTGACAACTGAACAGTGTCCAACTTTATTGAAGAAGCCCCACAGGACACAAGACAACATAGAAGATAAAAAATATTTTTTTGTGTCAGTGGTTATATGTGTATCACAGTACACATGAGTTGGGACTATAAGCAGTTATATTTTATAGAGGAGAATGTGCCAGAGTAAGCATAGCAATGAAGAGCTATGAGGTTTGCTTCCATAACTTCCCATATAATGGATGACGACTAATGGTTGCCAATAAATTCCATAGTGACTTGTGTCACCTCCACTGATTTTATCCTATACATCCAGCTGCATTATTCCTTTGTTTACCATACACAATATTACAGATGTACACAAAGGAAATCCTGTCATTACTCAAAAGCTTGTACAACAAGGGCCAGAACTAAAACAAGTAGAGAATTGACAAGAAATATAAATGCTTGTTGAATCGAACAAAACTCAAGTAACTACAGCTACATTTTTCCATATGACCACAGCTGAGCAATCACATGAACGGTGCTAAGCAGCTGGAGGGACACAGTGGATCCATTACGGACTTACAATGAGCCTATTGAAAGAGTCTGTGGAATAGTGCTGTATGTGTGTATTCGCAGTGAGACACTATGTATTATAGTAACACAGCCATAGTGGATTACACAGCCCCCAGAAAACTAGGTATTGGGAGTACAGTCCAGGGCACGGTGACCCGCCAGGACACGGCGAGGCAGCCAGGGACCCCCCCAGGACCCGACGAGGCACGGGGACCCCCCCAGGACCCGGCGAGAGCTCCTGGGGAAAGGTGACCTGCCAGGACCCGGCGAGAGCTCCTGGGGAAAGGTGACCTGCCAGGACACGGCGAGAGCTCCTGGGGAAAGGTGACCTGCCAGGACACGGCGAGAGCTCCTGGGGAAAGGTGACCTGCCAGGACACGGCGAGAGCTGCTGGGGAAAGGGGACCTGCCAGGACACGGCGAGAGCTGCTGGGGAATGGGGACCTGCCAGGACACGGCGAGAGCTGCTGGGGAATGGGGACCTGCCAGGACACGGCGAGAGCTGCTGGGGAATGGGGACCTGCCAGGACACGGCGAGAGCTGCTGGGGAATGGTGGCCTGCCAGGACACGGCGAGAGCTGCTGGGGAATGGTGGCCTGCCAGGACACGGCGAGAGCTGCTGGGGAATGGGGACCTGCCAGGACACGGCGAGAGCTGCTGGGGAATGGTGGCCTGCCAGGACACGGCGAGAGCTGCTGGGGAATGGGGACCTGCCAGGACACGGTCAGAGCTGCTGGGGAATGCCAGGACACGGTCAGAGCTGCTGGGGAATGGTGACCTGCCAGGACACGGTCAGAGCTGCTGGGGAATGGTGAACTGCCAGGACACGGCGAGAGCTGCTGGGGAATGGTGGCCTGCCAGGACACGGCGAGAGCTGCTGGGGAATGGTGGCCTGCCAGGACACGGCGAGAGCTGCTGGGGAATGGTGGCCTGCCAGGACACGCCAAGAGAGCTGCCAACGGTACCGCTTGCATACCTGAGCCGCTGGGGAATGGTGCCTGCCAGGACACGCAACGCATGAGCTGCTGGGGAATAACCGCCGCACACCCAGCGAGCCGCCAGAATTGGTGGCCTGCCAGGACACGGCGAGAGCTGCTGGGGAATGGGGACCTGCCAGGACACGGCGAGAGCTGCTGGGGAATGGTGGCCTGCCAGGACACGGCGAGAGCTGCTGGGGAATGGGGACCTGCCAGGACACGGTCAGAGCTGCTGGGGAATGGTGGCCTGCCAGGACACGGCGAGAGCTGCTGGGGAATGGGGGCCTGCCAGGACAAGGTGAGAGCTGCTGGGGAATGGTGGCCTGCCAGGACACGGCGAGAGCTGCTGGGGAATGGTGGCCTGCCAGGACACGGTGAGAGCTGCTGGGGAATGGTGACCTGCCAGGACACGGTGAGAGCTGCTGGGGAATGGTGACCTGCCAGGACACGGTGAGAGCTGCTGGGGAATGGTGACCTGCCAGGACATGGTGAGAGCTGGGGCGATAACAGGAAGTGATAGTACAATATATGACCGTGTCACATGGGGCATAATACACCGAGTCCGATATTGTTTACAAGAAGTGAGGCCTACACCCAGTCCTGGCACTGTGCAGCCTGTGTGGTAGTCGTGTGAGAGCCCCATGGAGCTCCTCCGTAGCCGGCAGAGAGGGTTACTGGGGGAGACAGAGCCAGGCACTAGGCCGCCTCCTCCTCCTACAATCGCCTTCAGCAGAGAGGTAGGCAGCTATTGAGACAGCCGCTACTCGACGACATTACAGCACAGCAGCTGCGGCGAGACACTCACCGACTCGACGACGCCATGTTCGCTGAATCTGGGCAATGAGTAAAAAATTGCCAGCGTTGCGATCGGCTTTTTATAGACTCGGCTGGTCACGTGCCGAAGAGGGGGCGGGTCTAAGGCGGTTTACAGCGGCGCATTGTTAGTGCGCGTGCGCCTGCCTGCTTGCCCAGTACCCCCTGGAGACTCGCAGTGCGCGCGCGCTCGTGCATGCGTAGCTCCAGCGATATGGCGTTAGGAAAAACTAGCCGTCTCCGTTGCGCATGCGCGACATTTAAAAAAAAAAGAAAAACGTTAAAAGATAAAGTTTAGGTGCTTTTGCCCTTTTTGAAAAATGGCAGCTTTACCAATGTCTGAGCTGCAAGTTATCATTCTTGAAAGAAAATAAATAAATAACGGCCTTGTTGATTTGCATAATTAACCCCTTAAGGACCGGCCTGTTTTTGCGATGTTGTACGTTAACCCCTTAAGGACGGAGCCAAATGTACACGTTGTGAACAAAACAAAATGTAAACAAAACCTGGCATTTGCGCTACATGTCTGTCCAACCGTAATACACCTCTTTCATAGTAAATGCACCCACCTTTATTATATATCATTTTATTCAGGGGAAACAGGGCTTTCATTTAATATCAAATATTTAGCTATGAAACATAATTTAATATGAAAAAAATGGGAGAAAATACGATTTTTTTTGGATTTTTTTAGTTCTACATGACATTTTAACGGTCAATGTCATAATACTGTTTGCTTTTACTGCAATAAAATACACATATTTGTATTCAGTAAAGTCTCACGTGTAAGACAGTACCCCTATGTACAGGTTTTATGGCGTTTTGGGAAGTTACAGGGTCAAATATAGCACGTTACATTTGAAATTGAAATTCGCCAGATTGGTTACGTTGCCTTTGAGACTGTATAGTAGCCCGGGAATGAAATTTACACCCATAATGGCATACCATTTGCAATAGTAGACAACCCAAGGTATTGCAAATGGGGTATGTCAGTCTTTTTTAGTAGCCATTTGGTCACAAACACTGGCCAAAGTTAGCGTTAGTATTTGTTTGTGTGTGAAAAATGCAAAAAACGCCAATTTTGGCCAGTGTTTGTGACTGAGTGGCTACTAAAAAAGACTGGACATACCCTGTTTGCAATACCTTGGGTTGTCTACTATTGCAAATGGTATGCCATCATAGGGGTAATTTTCATTCTTGAGCTACCATAGGGTCTCAAAGGCAACGTAACCAATCTGGCGAATTTTAATGTGAAAAAAATGAAGCGCAAGCCTTATATTTGACGCTGTAACTTTTGAAAACACCATAAAACCTGTACATGAGGGGTACTGTTGTACTCGGGAGACTTCACTGAACACAAATATTTGTGTTTCAAAACAGTAAAAAGTATCATAGCAATAATATTGTCCGTTTAATGCTGTTTGTGCGTGAAAAATGCAAAAAACGTCACTTTTACTAGCGATATCATCGTTGTAATACATTTTACTGTTTTGAAACACTAATATTTGTGTTCAGCGAAGTCTCCCGAGTAGAACAGTACCCCCCATGTACAGGTTTTATGGTGTCTCGGAAAGTTATAGGGTTAAATATAATGCTAGCAAATTAAATTCCCTTTACTTTCGGCATGGGTTGTCATGCAGGTCCTGCTAATTGTAATTAATTAAGATACCTAATTATGTAAAAATATTACATAAATATATATGTAGAATTAATATATGTATATATATATATACGTATGTGTATATATATGTATATATCTATATAATTTTTTTTAAATATTTTTATTTATATATAGGTATATATATAGTAATATATACGTATATATTTATGTGTATAAATATATATATTATTTCGTTCTATGTGTATTTTGATATATATATATATATATTAATTTCACAATACAGTTAGAACGAAATAACACATCTATATATTTTTTAATTATTTATTTTTAATTATTTTTGTAATTTTATTTTTAACGTATTTACATTTTAATTTTTTTTATAATATATATAAATATATATATAACAATAATTATATATATATTTAATCAGTATCAGTGTACGTGTAATTTGATATTAATATATATATATAATTATATATATATTAATAGTAAAATACACCTAGACGGTGTACATGTGTGTATGTATATGTGTATATATATACTTTGATCATATATATATAATATATATATATGATCTAAGTATATATTATTTATTTTTTTACACTATTTATTTATTTCATTTTTATTTTCAGCCAGCAGGGGGACCACCTGTCATTACAGGCAGCCCCCCTGCTGGCAATCAGAAGCCAGCTATCCCCGGCCATGTGATTGTGGGGTCCTCGCAAGGACCCCACTCTCTACGGCGAGAACTTTGGAGGCGGTCGTGCGCGGGGCTCCCTGGGAGTCCCCACATGACGCCGGTGGGACCGCCGGCGATCGGGTAAGTACAGAAAGACCGGAGGGCGTACTATTACGCCCGGCGGCGTTTAGAGCCGCCTATTAGAGGACGTAATAGTACGCCCTCCGGTCTTAAGGGGTTAAGAACCAGAGCAGTTTTGACACTTTTGTGGTGTTTGTGTTTAGCTGTAATTTTCCTCTCTCTCATTTACAGTTCCCATACAAGTTATATATTGTTTTTTTCAGGACAAGAAGGGCTTTCTTTACATACCATTATTTGTATCATGTCATATATTTTATTTAAAAAAAATAAAATAAAATATGGTAAAAAATTGAAAAAAACAACAACATGTTTTTGGACTTTTACTTGAAAAATCTTTTACTTATCTACAAAAGCTAATGAAAAAAACTGCTACATAGATTCAACATTTTTTCTTAGATCAAGTCCTACGGGTATATAATATACAGGGTTGGATACTAGAGGCAATTATGGCCTTATAAAAATCAGCTAGAGTTGTTGGGCCAAATATCTGCTCAGATTGGATTATGATCAACAATAAGACTAGGCAAGGATACCCATTATCTCACTTACTATATATGCTCTCAATAGAACCGCTGGCAATTAATGTTAGGAATAATCAAAATATTTAAGCGTACAAGGTTAATAATGATGAATATAAAATATCTTTGTATGCAGATGACATCTTATTAACAATTGAAGATCCTAAAACATATTTGGATGTATTAATGGGATAATTTAAAAAGTATAGTGAGGCCTCTAACTATAAATTGAATATTGATAAGACCATTTTGATGGAAGTGTGATTGGATAATATTACCCAGAGTGATATACGTGAGGCATATGGATCTACCTGGGCCAAGAAGAAATGTAACTATCTGGAGATAGCAATTACTAAAAATATAGACAGAATGATGGAAATTAACTATATGCAGGGCCGGCGCTACCTGTAAGGCGACCTAGGCAGCCGCGTAGGGCGCACCTTAGCAGGGGGCGCGGATCCCTGCGCCCGGCGGCTCCTCATGCTGCGCGCAGCACTGCTGTGGAGGGCGGCCGGATTTGAGTGACCGCTCTACGCTTCTCTCCTGCCAGTCTCTCAATGTAGCGTGGCCGGGCGGCGCGGAACAGGAACCTCTGTTTCACTGAGTGAGCACTTCCCTTTAGACCGCCGGCGGCCGGGTACAGGAAACAGAAGTTCCTGACCCTTGTTCCGCGCTGCCCAGCCACGCTACATTGACAGGAGGGAAGAGGAGGGTAAGGACCAAAGGGGGAGGGGAAGGATCTCTAGGGGGGGGGAGGACCACTGGGGAAAGGACCACTGGGAGGGGGAGGATCACTGGGGAGGGAGAAGGACCACTGGGAGGGAGGGAAGGATCACTGGGGGAGGGGAGGATCACTGGGGAGAGGACCACTGGGAGGGAGGAGAAGGATCACTGGTGGAAAGGACCACTGGGGATGAGGGGAAGGACCACTGGGGATGAGGGGGAAGGACCACTGGGGGAGGGAGTAGAACCACTGGGGAGGAAGGGGGGGAGTTAGGGCCACTGGGGAAGGGGGATGAAGGAACACAGGGGGAGGGGGGGAGGAAGTAAGGGCCACTGAGGGAGGAGGGGGGAGGTCCTCTAAGGGGTTTGGGAGAGGGTGGACCACCAAGGAGAGGGGAGGAGGGTAAGGACCACTAAGGGGGGGGGAGAAAGAGGATAATGACCACTGAGTGGAGGAGATTACCACTAAGGGGGTGGGGGAGGAGGGGAATGTTTACTAAGGGGTTTGGGAGAGGGAGGACCACTAAGGGGGAGGGATGGAGGACCACTAAGGGGGAGAGGGGGGAGTGAGAAGACCACCAAGGGGGGATTACAGGGGGCCAAGGGAGAGCACTAAGGGACAGAAGGGGAGAACATGGAGGGAAGGGGAAATCAATAATTGACAGGAGGGGAGAGCACTATGAAAAAAATAAAAAATAAAGTGTTGCTCCCCTCTCCCTATCCTACCCCACAAACCTTCTCTTTTACACTACACACATACACAATGCATCCCCCCCACACACACAGAAACATACAATGCATTCCTACTCACACACAGACACACCCGAAACACACAATGCATCCCTTACATTCACACAAACACTCATTCTCTTACACACAGAAACAAAATGCATCTCTTACACAATCAATGCACCCCTTACAGACACACACTGCATTCAATTAAATACACAGAAACACACCTTGCACCCCTTACACACACACACCCAGAAACATACAATGCATTCTTTACACGCAAACACACACTGCATTCACTATACACACACTACATCCCTTACAGAAATTGGTATCCCTATACACTACATTATATAAGAACACACACACATTGCATCCTCTACAATAACACATAAAACATCCCCTACACACATACACTCCACTTCCTGTGAGAGAACTCATGGGTGGGCCATGTAGCTGAATTTATGGGTGGGCATTGTAGGCATACTCACGGTCAAGCCCTGGAGGCCCAGACCTTGAGCTCTGTAAAGGGCCCTAAAAAAATGGAGCTGCTTCCTGTTTGTTAATTGTTGTGAGCACTGTTAAAAACAGCCTCCAGAGAGCCTCTTCTACACCAGACCTGTGGAGCCAGACTGAGCCCATCATCAGCCTCTTGTCCTCATCTGGTGGTAAGTAGGCAATCCAATATATTATTAGTGGTACTAATCTCTAATTTACCTCACATTAAATGGATACTATAGTCACCAGAAGCACTACAGCATAATGTAGTGGTTCTGGTGTCTATAGCATAGCCTATGCCTGTAGGCTTTTTAATGTAAACACACTGTCTTTTCAGATAAAAGACACTTTGTGAAGACTGGCGTTGGCCCATATGGCATATGGGCTGGGCATTGTGATGTCACATGATGGGCAGGACATATGGGGGGGGGGGGCGGCAAAAATGTTTTTGCCTAGGGAGGCAAAAATCCTTGCACCGGCCCTGACTATATAAATCTCCTTAAAGATGCAAACCGTTATACTAAAAAAGGACAAGTGAATATACACGCGCTAATAATACTCGACCCTCGTCCTCTGGATAAATATATAAGACGTAACACAATACTCTTGAAAAAAGCAGCACCTTAAACAGTGTTATAGCTCATAACAACACACAATAAATACAAAAAATTATATATATATATATATAAAAATATGAGAGAGAGAGAGAGAGAGAGAGAGAGATGCACTGTGCCTTTAAGACAAAGTTATTTAAAGTGCAACAAGTGATTTATTGTGCAAAAAAATGTGGTTTGCATTAAAGTGCATACAAATGTTTAACACATTATTATTAATATTATTATTATGATAGTTATATAGCGCCATCAAATTCCGCAGCGCTTTACAATGGGTGGACGAACAGACATGTAGTTGTAACCAGACAAGTTGGACACACAGGAACAGAGGGGTTGAGGGCCCTGCTCAATGAGCTTACATGCTAGAGGGAGTGGGGTAAAATGACACAAAAAGGTAAGGATAGTATTAGACTAGTAACAGTTGCAGAAGAGGAACCAGTCAGGAGCTATTAACAATTTAATTGATACGCTTTTATTAAGAAGTGGGTTTTTAACGATTTTTTTGAAGGAGTGGAGACTGGGTGAGCATCTAATGGAGGAGGGAAGCGAGTTCCACAGGAACGGTGCAGCCCTCGAGAAATCATGAAGGCGAGTATCAGAGGTGGGATTACGGACAGAAGATAGACGTAAGTCTTCAGCAGATCGTAAGGGCCTAGATGGGACATACATGTGTATAAGGGAGGATAGATAGGTGGGAGCAGCATTATGTAGAGATCTGAAAGCAAGAACCAGAATTTTAAATTGAGCTCTATATTTTATAGGAAGCTAATGTAGGGACTGACAGAAGGGTGAGGGTTATGGGAAGTGCGGGCGGACAGGAAGATGAGCCTCGCTGCCGCATTCATTATGGACTGTAACGGCGCAAATTGGGAGCACGTAAGACCACTGAGAAGTGGATTACAGTAATCAAGTCGAGAAAGGACAGTGGAATGGACCAACACCTTAGTCGCATCTGGCGTTAAGTAGGGGTGGATGCACGCAATGTTTTTGAGATGGAAATGACAGGATTTGGCAATAGATTGAACATGAGGCTTGAAGGAGAGGTCGGAGTCAAAGAGAACACCTAGGCAGTGAGCCTGCGTGGTGGAGCTAATGGTAGCACCGGTGACTTGGAGGGAGACAGGCACAGGAGTAACACACTTGAGGGAGGAAAGACCAGAATTTCAGTTTTGGTCAAGTTTAGTGTAAGGAAGTGGGCAGCCATCCAGTTAGAAATAGCAGAGAGGCAGTCAGATACTGCCTCTCTGCTATTGGGAGTTGGGGAGAGTTGGGGAGAAGAAGCAGAGCCAGAGAAAGAAACACTGAAACAGCGCTGGGAGAGGTAGGAGGAGGACCAGAGAGAGCAATATCTTGTAGACCGATATTGCGGAGGATGAGAAGAGCTCCTACACACCGACTACATACAGCAAATAAAAGAGCATCCTGAGACATACAAGAGTCCCCACTCCAGTGGCCGACCACCATGATACATCGCTAAAAGTCGCCAGATCTCCAAATATCTGCACTAACATCGCCATGTGTGCGAAACCAAGATTGCGTCGACGGCCCTAACTCCCTTGATCTTGCTCAGATAAGAGCGATACCACATCCATCTCTGTGCCAGCGATGGATTCATCTATATATAAAATGCTGTCTGAACTGAAAAGCTCTATGCAGCTGGAATTCTCAAAATTGGCGTGTGACATCAAAGCCGACATACAGGCAGTAGGTGAGCGCACTGCACATCTAGAAGGCAAGACAGATGGAATTATCAGTGCCCATATGTCAGGGCTTACCTTAGTTGGGAGTCCAGTAGGCAGAGATTTATGCTCACCCTTGCAATTAAACACAGGCCAAGGTGGTCAGGCAAGAATTCACCTGGCCTGTGAGTCTGTGCATGGGGGCTGTGCAGGATATTGCTCCAAGTCGCAGTACAGGTAAGGACACAAGCAGGAGAATCGTCAAGGGTAAGCCAAAGTCAGAGGATGCCAGAAGTCAGGATACACGGTAAGAAAGCCAAGGTCAAAGGAAGCCAGAAGTCATGATACACGATGCGAATAAGCCAAGGTCAGGAGCAAAACGATCTGGATACACAAAAACAAGAACCAGAGTCAATGAACTGACACTGCCCTCAGGGAGAGGCAGTGTCTTATACCTGGCTAATTTGGCCATCAGCTTCAGGTGGGCTGAGATTGATAGGTGAGAGCCACTGTTGAAGTCCAGCCCCCTTGTGCTGCAGATAAGGCAGGATAGGACATAGGCAGAAACAAAAACTGGAGAGTGGCCTGAGGCAAAGCTGCAGGACCACGGCACAGAAGAAGCACAGTTCAAATCCTTTGTTGGGCACCCCTGGGTTGACCACGCCTGGCCGTCTGGATGTCATGACGAGAACCGTGACACCATGATACCTTAGCAGACGCCTACACAGACTAGACCTCCTCACTAACAAGGTGGCAGATCATGAAGACCAAGACAGGAGGACCAATGTACAACTGAGAGGAATACCTGAAGACATAGCCCCCCAGGATCTACACTTTTTTGCTTCAGACCTCTTCCGCACACTGTCACAAGATCTGTCCACACAAGATTTCCTATTTGATAGGGTCCACAGTCTTCCAAGGCCACAGAAATTACCTGCATCACTACCACGTGACGCAATAGCGAAGTTCCACTATTTCACTTCCAAAGAAAAGGTTATGAGAGCTTCCAGACTTCTACAAGACCTGCCAGGCAAATTCTCAGCGATCAAAATCTACGCGGACCTCTGCGCTGCCACACTTCTTGAAAGGAAAGCCCTGACGCCCATAACATCAGCCCTGAGAGAACTCACTTCCCTCCTCCGTTAGATGCTCACCAAGTCTCCACTCCTTCAAAAAGTCATTAAAAACCCACTTCTTCATAAAAGCGTATCAATTAAACTGTTAATAGCGCCCAACTGACATCTGCAACTGTCATTAGTCTAATAATATCCTTACCTTTTGTGTCACTTTAATCCACTCCCTCTAGCATGTAAGCTCATTGAGCAGGGCATTCAACCCCTCTGTTCCGGTGTGTCCAACTTGTCTGGTTACAACTACGTTTGTTTGTCCACCCACTGTTAAGCGCTGCAGAATTTGTTGGTGCTATATAAATAATAACATAATAAACTTAATGTTAATTTTTATTATGTGGATTTTTTGTGGCAATTGTATTTACCCTGTGAAAACTGATACTTCCTAATGGATGCCATTACTAATTATGATGTTTATACTCTTTCCTTTATATGCACATGTTGTATGATGAATATAGACTATTTGGATGTGCTCAGATGATTCAGTCAGCTTGAGTGGGTCTGTGGCATAAAATTTAAGAGGAAGGAGTAATACAGGAGGTGAGTGGGTTTTCATTCACTCGTCTGAGGCTAGAGCGACCCTTTCCCAATTTGTCTTTCTGATATTTTGGCCGCTTTGTCTAACCGTCGGATGGTATTCCACATCATGCGCATTCAACAACGCGAGACTTCACGTGTGCGCAATGACGTCAGACATCGAACATGGAAGTTAATATTGAGAATAGTGCCGGTAAAATATATGTTATAGGTGGCAGATATCGATCCTCCTCACAGGTGTTTTTAATCGTTTGTACTTACACAAATTAGATTTGTAGGGTGTTTAAATGGGAGTTTGGAACATTAACTTTGAGTTCCCCTTGAGAAAGGTCAAGGACCGAAACATTGGGGTTTTGTGGTCTTCAGCTCGAAGTCAGTATACCTTGTATGGGTTTATGGTGATAGCACTTTATGTCTTAAGCACTTTATTGCTATGCATGCAGTTTTGTACATTTGATGGTATTTCATTGTACTTCTGTTTTTCACATTTGCACTTTGCTAATACGCATATATGAAAAGAACCTTTCTGTGTACTAAAATTACACGATTTTGCTATTACACGATGAAAAGTCATGATTTTGTAAAAGACACAGAGGCGAGTATTGCATATCCCTTTCTTTACTGTCCACTAATAGCAGCAAATACAAAACAGTAAGAAAAAATGGCGTACATAGTGATAAGCCACTCCCATAACAAGTCCCAGTATAATAGTCAGCACCTCCCTACACATTTCCTCTTTCTTTGGAGATGTGACCACAATAAACAAACATCAAACAGAAACCGAGGGATTAGTCCAACCACACAATAACAACAGCCTTTAAATCCAATCGGAGTCCAACCAGGTAACAATCCGATGAACCGGGACAAATTCATCACAGGAAACAAGAAAATCGCCAACGTAGATGACTGCAGTATACGATAATCAGTTGGAGTCCATCAAACCAGTCCGAACTAGGCTGTGAAAACATAAATAGACAAGTCCTTGCAACTTAGTGCAATCATAAGGGAGAGACAGACCCTTTTCTCAGATAAGCATGAGACCCAAGAACAAACCCGAAATCAAAATATATACCATAAAGGTTATAACAATAATATCCCCACTTACCCTAATGCAAACCTTATCCAAACATAAACCTATCAGGGACGGAAGATGTAAACCAAGACAAAAGTGTATCTAAGTGTATGTAATAGCAAAATCATGTAATTTTATAACAAGACACAGAAGCTCATATTGTAAGTTGAAAGCTAACTGACAACCATATAAAAAACATGAGTCATTGGTCGAAAATAAAATTCACAGAAAGTAGATTCCTGACACCAGTCCACCGTCCTCATCATGTCATCCAACCGCGTTCCCAAGGTCATCATCGACGAGGCTGAAGCACCCGCACAGAAAGGGCTCCAAACACCCGCCTGTTGCAACACCTATTTCAACCAACGAGCCATGGTAGTATTCGTCACCGGGGATAGAAAAATATGAGGCCTAGATGGCTAACGATGCGGCTCAGTGCGAATCTCATATTCCCGCCCGTAAACAAGCTACCGGGCACAATGCTGGAGCCGAAGGGAAGGCCGGATTAGAAACCAATCGAATTGAAGTCTTCGTGTGGCTGGATATATTATAAGTCAACCCGTCGGGAGTGAAGGAGCGAGCGTCGAAATCGAAGGCACGAACATCCGAAACCCTCTTACAGGATTCCAGGCAAAGCAGTGTGACCAATTTTGCCGATAATTGGCGCAAGGAAAGGTCTGCATTAGATGGCCACGAGGCAAACAGTGATAGCACCAAGGAGACATCCCATGTAGAGGAGTATCGTGGTCTAGGTGGGCAAGATAAGCGGGAACTAGATGAAGTTGTCTTACCAGACAACCCTCGAAACCCTGATGGGCCGAAGAAATGGCTGACCTGTATACATTTATTGTTCGGTAGGCCCGGCCAGTTTCAAACAGAGATGTGAGGAATTGAAGAATTGCTGCTATGGGCGCTGAAACGGGATCCGTGTCCCTAGCCAAGCACCAGCCAGCCCAAGATCTCCAAGCTGACCCATATGATCTTCAAGTCCCGGAAGCCCATGCATCCGCCAAGAGGCGCCGAGTTGCGTCCGGAACTTCCGAGATCTGCTAGGGTCCCCTGAAATCCGCCAAGCCATCAACAGGAGGGATCCTTGCAGGAGGAGAGGATGGTGATGTCCTGCTGGGTCCTGAAGTAGGTCCGGCCGTATCGGCAATAACCTGAGAACATCTATTGCCATCTCCAGCAGTTGAGGGAATCACGACGGAGTCCCCCAGAATGGGGTTAAGAGAACCAACTCCGCCATTTCGCGGCGAAACTGAAGCAGCGTCCTGAGAAGCATGGCAAATGGCGGGAAAGCATAGAGAAGAGGTCCATGCCAATCCTGCAGGAAAGCGTCCACTGCCTCTGCGGCTGGGTCCTGGCGCCAGTTGAAGAAACGGGGCAGCTGGGTGTGAGGCAAATAGGTCTATGATAAAGGGACCCCAAAGGGAGGAAACTGTGCAAAACATCTCTACATCAAATCTCCAATCGCTGCTGTCCAAGAGATAACGTGAGTTCCAATCTGCCTGAACATTGTGCAGGCCCGGTAGGTAATCCGCCTGGACCACCAGATTCCATATTAGACAAAACTCCCAGAAGTCCGTTGCCAAGTGAGCCAACAGTGCCGACTGGGTGCCACCCATGTGGTTGACCTGTCGAACTGCCGATATGTTGTCCATACATAGGCGAATGCAGGCATTGACGGTCCTCTTCGCAAAACTCTGAATCGCAAAGGAGCCCGCTAAAAGGTCTAGAGCACTGATGTGCATTCTGGATTCTCTCTCTGACCAGCACCCACCTGTGGACACACCTTCGCAGTGGGCGCCCCAGCCATGGAGGCTCGTGTCCGAGTCTATGGTGAACTCTGAGATCCAAATACGGCCCTGCCGTTCCACCCACAAAGATTGTGAATCCACCAACGCAATTCGTCTTTTGTTTCCCTGTCCATTGATACCAGGCCCGCATATGACGCTCCCGCTCGAAGATATGCAATCTTCAACCGCTTGAGAGCTTTATAGTGGAGGGAAGCCGGGAACACCGCCTGGATCGACGATGCCAACAGTCCGATGAGTCTCGCCAAGTGACGCAGGGTGAGATGGGGTCGGGTAAGTGCCCTGCGAAGTTCCTTGCGGATCGTCTGAACCTTCAACGCAGGTAGGCTCAAGGAGTCCTCCTCCGAGGTCACAAGGAAGCCCAAGAATTCCATGCGTCTGGATGTTGACAGACAAGATTTTTCCCAGTTGATGAGAAAACCCAGTCGGGTCAGCAGATCCACCATCCATCGCAGATGCTGCAGGAGGACGGAGCGATCCTGGACCATGAGCAGAATATCATCCAGATAAACAATAAGACGAACAGGTCACAGCTGGACGTAGCAGCTTGGTGAAGAGAGACCAAACGGTAGACAGGTGGAGCACCATATGCGTTCCTCCCAGCGGAAGTGTAGGAGGTCCCTGGAAGTCACGTGCACCGGCAGGTACGTCTTTCAGGTCTAGCTTCGCCAACCAATCCCTGTGCAGGAGTAAATCCCTAAGATCTTGAAATGCCGGTAGCGTACACTGGAGTTTAGCGGGTGCATGTTGATAAACGGGCGCATTTTACCACCCTTTTTTTCTACCAGGAAGATATTGCTGATGACCCCTGGCGTGCCTAGAGGCGCCAACTCTATAGTCCCTTTTGCACGTAAGGCCAAGAATTCCTTGTCGATCAATCTGTCGTTCCCTTCGAAATCACAGGTTGGTCGAGGTGAAGGGATGTAACGAGGTGTCCTCACTAGTTCTATGTGAAACCCCCTCATCGTGTCCTGAACCCATGTGTCCAATGTGATAGACACCCATGCTGGGGAAAAAAGACGGAGTCTGCCCCCTACACAAACAGGAGAAGAAACATGTGGAAGAATCTAGCTTACTGTAGCGTCGTCTGCCACCGGAACCACCTCTGAATCCCTTGAATACCATGGTCGACCGCGGGATGTGATGTTCTTTGCCTCATGGAAGTTGGGGTGTTGATAGAAGGAGCCTCTTCCCGAGCTACGGGAATAGAAGTAGCTGCGGCTGGCAAGATGGCTCATGGACCCATTCATGGAACACCCTCCTCGTGGAGGGCTGGGCTTTATCTAGGGCAGTAAACGCCCCAACGGTCAAGGTCCTTCATAAAGGAGTCACCAAACAGGAGGTCTTGGGCATCCTTGCCAGCCTCAGTGAGGGCTGAGATTAGCCAGTTTCGGCTTTACCTTAAACAGGACGGCTTGATGTCGCTCCATAGATCGAGAAGCATTGATGCTGCCTGCAATACAGAGGGCCCATTGTACCCAACCACGGAGTTAGTCCTGGTCGACTAGCCTGTTATCAGCCCTGGCATCGTCAGCTAGATCAAAAAGCTTGGCCAGGGGTCCAAAAATGTCTAGATGTTTTTCCTGGAATGACCTGAGTGCCGAGTCCAGGCCTTTATGTGGGTTCCAACCCATCTTTGATAAGAATTGTGTTATTTTGGGGTCCACTTCCGTGGTTTCGCACACCTTGTTAGGCACCACCGGTCGAGGGCATTCAGCTCTGAGCTTATTACGTGCGCCGCACCCAATTTTCCAGGTAGCGGTCCACATGGTCCGCCGGGAGCCACTCGGCTGACCTCGGGTGGTGAAGGTCATCCAGGTTGAACAATGGCTCGCCCAGCGGGTCCATGAGGGCAGTCCCCGCAGTTGCGGGAGGATCAGCCCCAAAGTCACCTCCTGTCATCCCCACCGTGGCGGAGGTAAGGAGATCAAAACCCAAGTCCCCATCATCATTCTCTGAGGTCACTATTGGACTCTGCTCCAGCCTCCTCACTAGTCCAGATTTCTGAGTCGGAGTTACTCTCATTTTGTGCTCTCCCACATTTCCACAGCCGCGCCCATTCTGCCTGGCGTGGAAAGGTTCTTTTGCGTGGATTTGACACGCTTTCAAGAGCACCCTGAGATACACCAGTCATATTGTTTCTGGAGGCAGATGGAGAGATATGCCTAGATTTATGGCTAGCATTTCTTTGTGCATTCCCAAGGGAGTCCCACTCAAGACGCGGTGTGCGCGTCAAGGGATCCATGGTCCCCGTGCCCGAGGGGTGCGTCATTAATGCTTGGGAAATCGTTTGGGACATGGCTGAGGACATAGTGCCCACCCAGACCAGCAGCAAGAGACACAAGGCAGAAGGAGGAAGGTACCAGCAGAAAACCATAAGGAAAAGACGTGAAAATTGCGATATCGCGGTGAAATTCCACAATGTCGCGAGGAGAAAACCTCCCGAACGGGAAAATTTGTATAGCAACCAAGACGCGTTCGCGAGTCAAATGCGACTATGAGAAAACCCCGAAAAAGCGGCTGAATGAACGAACAAATGGTTGGATACAAAGGAGCTCGCGGCCTGAATAACAATGAGCAAAACAGGCGAACTGGTGTTCGTGTGCGAACTCCCAAACGTCATATACCACAATGGTATGAATAGTGCCGAACGGGGGCAATAAACACTACAAAAATGGCGCCAAAAAGGCCCCGGTACAGCGGGCAGGGGAGACAGAAATGGCAAGACCCAAGCACCCCCGCAAGCAAAGTCATAGACCCGGAAGTAGAAAGGAATAGAAAAGGGGGAACACCCCCAAGTGAGAGGAGGAAGAAAAACCCCAGTTGGTATGGGACCCTGAGCACAGAACCAAGTAAATACACAATAAACAGATACACAAACAGTCTTTACAAGGTAAACCCAAAGGTTAAGTACACAAAATTAGTACAATCGAAGTCACAAGAGACAAAATAAATGGTACTTAACTGACTGTGGAGCAGCAAAGAAAAAGGAAATGTGTAGGGAGGTGCTGACTATTACACTAGGACTTCGTATGGGAGTGGCTTATCACTACGTGTGCCATTTTTTCTTACGGTTTTGTATTCTTTGCTGCTATTGGTGAACAGTAAAGAAGGGGATATGCAATATGAGCCTCCGTGTCTTGTTATAAAATCATTGGTGTGCTTGGGAATTATTTGTATTCTTTGACTATGTACCTGGAAAGGGAACAGGTGTTTTCCTTTTAGCACCCTGTTTGCTTTTCATTGCATGGCTCATTGAATTAACCCATACAAGTTGAGCATTGACTCTATTTTGCATATGTAAAACTATGAAGACGTGCCTGATAATTTTGTCCCCTCAATGATTTTGTTCTTGGGTAGGCAGATGCGTGGGACTCCCAAGATTAAGTCTCATGGGAGGTGGGGGGCGGGGAGGCGTTGCATCTATTTATAAGTAGGTTGAAAGTATATAAATACAAATAGTAGTAATTTGCGTGGAGGGGGCAAGGAGCATGGTATGGAGCAAGGATGGAACAGGGAAAATCGGGTAGCAAACAAAAGGGGGGGAGGGGAAAAAAAACATTCAAAGAGCTGGGGAGGGGGAAAAAAAGTATTGGTCTCACTTGGGGTTTTATTTAAATTTCTGTTCATAATCTAGTAGCTGCTTCCTTCCTCTTAATCTCTGTGGGAATACATGAAATCCAATAGTACCAAATCTCATATGTTTGTGTTTTTCTCATTGCTATAAATATGGGCTCCTCGATTCCCCAGCATTAAGTAAGTGTGGTAATATTGATCTCTTGTAAGATTTGAGTGGAATCGTAGTTACTTGAAGTAGTTAGGTGTCCGGTGAAAATTTCAATTGTGCTTCTGTGATTAAGGACACAGTCTAGTATAGCTCATCCCAGAAAGGTTGTATCTTCCGGCACCTCCACCAGCATTCAAGGTCACAGTTGAATCCCATAGTAAAATGTCTTTCTGTACTCTTGTACCTGTGGGACACCATCTTGAAGCTTGCCTCTTGGTGCTAATGGATGATTTGTGCGTTAGTGCGAACAGTTGGGTCCATTGTTTAGGTGTTAGGGGGTGTCTCAAATCTGTTTCCCAGTATTTAGTAAAGTATGGGAGCTGTTGTGTATGCAGTAGGTGATATGGTACCGAAATGGTGTGGGCCAGCGGCAGCGTTTCCGTGCAAAGTGCCTCGTAGTCGGTTAGTTGTCTGTTCGCTGATTCGAGGTTCAGGATGTTTTTCACAAACCTTACTTGTTCGTGGTAGTGAACATGTGTGATGAAGTTGATTGGATGTGGGGCAGGGAGGTGCGTTAACGTGCCTCCTGTATAGATATCTTTCAGTCTGCAGTGTTGGTATGCCTAAAGATTTCAGGTAATGTGGAGATTTCACCGGTTCCAAGTCCAGATTACCCACTAACGGGTATAGGGGAGAAACAGGTGAGGAGAAGTCACTGCAGGGCAACAATTTCTACCAGATAGATATAGTTGAGTGTATGGTAAGTTGGTCTTTTTGGTAAAATGGGCCTTGGTTCTCTGGGTAGGCAGTGTAGTCCCGCGAGGGGTGTTTTGGTGAATCTGCCTTCAATAGAAATCCATAGCTTGTCAGATAATGGAATTGGGTCCATTTGATAATTCTTTGTAAATGAACCACTTGGTGGTATTTAGCTAGATCCAGAAGACCTAGACCTCCCTGCTGTTTGGGTCTAGTTAGGATAGAGTAGTAGTCTTGCTTGTTTCCAGAGCCAAACGAATTGTGTGAATGTTTTGCTGGCTGTAGAAAAATATTCCTATGGTATGGGGACCGGAAGGGTCTGCAGGAGATAAGAATCTGGGCAGAACATTCATTTTATATATTTTTGTATGCCTTTATAATGTCTAATTTGTTTATCCACAAGCAATGCTGAACTTGTTTTTGTCTTGTCTCTTGCAGATCTATCTGAAGTTGCTGTAAGAGATGGCATTAACAAATAATGAATGGTTTAGTAAAGCTATGTATTGTATTACCTGGTGTGGGGTGGCATAAATTTAAGGGGTTAATCACAACACAGAGACCATCTTGGTTGAGGGGACAAGTTACTGATAATCTGGGGTAATGCTTGGAAGGATTTGGGATTTCCCAGAGGAATACGATTGTTAATCATACACCACTCACTGTAACAACTTGGAAGGAGACCTGTTCATGTGCCCCTTGTAACTGCATCTTCCAACAATAATCCAAAAGTACAGTTTCATGGTCATAAAGTATAGTATAAAGTGCGACCATGAGTTCTGGAACAAACTATTGAGATTGTGCTCTGCTATTGCAGATTGCAATTTCGGCAACACTATCACTGTGCATGTGTATTCTTGCCAAAGATAGTGCCATCAATATCACTCATGCCAACAGTCTGATTTCTTTTATTTTTAAAGGCATGTTTTTTGTTAAAATAATTAGTTAAAACTTAATGGATTATAGTCACATATAGTCATAATTTTTTTAATATGTCTTGAGAATCTGAGCACTTCTAACTGAAGATGAACAGTACTTCCCAATTTACAAACAGCAGCAGCATAATTCTTGTATTTCTAAGACTTCGAAAACGGAAAGAACACTAAAAAAAGAGAGTGGGAGAGGAACACTAGAGGGGGGAGAGAGGAACATTAATTTTGATTACCACACAATATTGCTATAATTGTCCCTGTAGTATTTGTTAAATGTGTTCCACAATGCACCTAGATTGCCATTATCCCATAATTTCGTCTTAATCAGTCCTTATCCCATTGTTTGCTTAAAAAGGTACAGTATTTCCCAATCTTCATTTGTTCCAATTTTTCAGGATCACTTCTGCTGCATTCAGTGTTTCATCTTGCTGTAAAAAAAAAAAATAAAAAAAAAATTAAAAAAAAGGAAATTGTAAAAAAACACGTACTTAAATTACAAACACTCTTTAGCCCCCTACTAAATGACTGTCAGGCATAAGGAAATCACATTAATTTTAAAATGTTAAAACTGTCCAATCACACTACAAGGGTAGGGCGCAATCTGCCCTTATAAGATGCCCATTTCATCAATGTCTGATACTCACCTACGTCCTGACGAAGCCAAAAGGTGAAACACGCAGACGCACTTACATCATGCTGTGGGCGGAGCTTTAATTCCGCCAACTTTCCACTGGGAGTTTCAATTCATCAATAAAATTGTTTGCCAATCGGTGATGCAGAGAGGGCTGGTTTATCTACAAGTTTCCGGCATCCCTCACATACGCTTGGACCGGGTTGGCAGTGTGAAAGACATCTCCCTGCACTTGGCTATTTGCCATAACGGCTTGTTTGAGTAGCGGTATCTGTAACCGCACATACTCACTTTCTTTTATCTTGTAAGCAGCTGTATGATTGATGTTTTTATTTCTTTATTTTTTGCAATAAATTGTTATTTATTTTAAATATTCACAAGCTTGTTATACAGACTCTACTATTCTCTATTCTTTTGTATTTTCCTTTTTATGTACATGATTCCTCATGGAACTTCTCCTGAGCAATACTAAGTATCCATATTTACATTTGTACTCTATATGCACTATTTGATCTATGATCACTAGCTATTTATGCACTCCACTTATATCCTGTATCTAAAATGTTTCCCTGCTTTTCCCATCTCTGAGAAAGGCTGTGTTAGGAGGAAAACCACAAGCACCCATACATGTTGGTAAACTATGTGCAGGGTAGGTAACAGCTAAGCTAGGCTTATTTATTTTTATTATATTTTTTTCCTTCAGAAGCCCACACTCTGTAGGGAAACCCACTTCCCTACTAACCTGCTCCAAATAGAGAGCTATATGGCATGTCATGATCTAGGTTTCACAGAGTTGTAGTTTAGTTGTTAGCTTTACGCAGTAGAAAGCAACTAGACTAGATCACCCCTAATTTTTACCCATCGTGTACTGCTTAAAGGGATCCTAGAGTGACAGGATAACAAAGCCGTTTTCCTGGCACTACAGGGTTAATAGGTCCCCTCCTCCCTTGCGCCACCCCTCCCGCAGGGCTGAAGGGGTTGAAACCCCTTCAGACACTTACCTGAATCAAGCTCCAACAGGGGAGACCTAATGCGCATGCACGGCAATGGTCGTGCACGCATTAACACTCCCCATAGGAAAGTACTATTCAATGTTTTCCTATGGGGAAAATCTGACGCCGGAGGCCCTTGAGGACGTCCAGCGTCAGATAACAGACCAAAAGTCAGTTTGAATTCTGGTAGACAGCCACTGGGGGCAAACTTATCTGGAACTGCAATGTTTACATTGCAGCACTAGGTGCAAAAGGGTCACAGCACCCAGACCACTTCAATTAACTGAAGTGGTCTGGGTGCCTACAGTGTCCCTTTAAGAAAAGTTAAAGTTTTACTCCATTCCTAATCTATATGTAACTATCTACTAAGGCACTTATTGCCCCCCACACCTCCTTTTTTTTTTTACACTATAAAATTAATTAAAGGGGAAGGGCAGCATGGATCGAGAGCTCAATGTTTTAAAACTAAGTGAAGGGCTTCGTATTACAGATGCACTCACAGGGCTGCCTTCAAGTGAGGAAACTCATTCCATTTGTCACCAGCTCACAGTAGGTGTAACAACCAACGTAAGATTTAAACTAACAGTAAGCAGTCTGGAACAGAGTTCTGGGCACCTTTAGACATGTGCCCCAGAGGTGTAACTAGTGCCACGCACAAAAGTGCACGTTACTTTGTACAGGCAGTGTTTCAAGCCCAAAAGCTGCAAATACAGATTGCTTTCTCCATGATCACATCTAAAAGCAGAAGTGGTCATGCTAGTTGGAGTAACCCTTTCAGTGAGCATGGTAGGCGGAGTCACTTTGGGTTTCCTAAGAACTCCTTTCAGAAGCAGCAAAAAAAAAAAAAAAGGGTATTTGCAGGAGGTATAGGGATTTTCAGTATGAGTATCTTTTTGAAGTTCATTAGTTTTACTTGTTTTTTTATATATATTCTATATTCTTACAATGCATTAAAATTGCTTAAGTAAATGGGTAGCTCAGTTATCCCAAACCTTGCATATAAACATAACCCTACAGAGGGAGTGGAATTGTGTCTTTTTCATAGGCAAAATAGATCAATACAATTTTGACTTTGAATATCCATCAGATGAATTATCATATTGCATTGATTTAATGTATTGCTGTCAGTTTAGGGTGGTACTAATAAAGAACCTCTAATCCTACCACTAAATGTATAAGTTGGTTACTTGTGTAGTTTCTTCCCACTTGCTGTGAAAGATAAGTGTTTGCACTCCTTCTCAACCCTTTTCTATACCTGTCCCAATTGTTCATGCTGCCATGAGGTTTGAGTAGGTCCTATAACTTCTACTATATTCACTAACTGAAATATAACACTAGAAGCTGCTGAATCTCAGTCAAGGTAGTCAATGTTTTTGATTGTTGTCATAACATCAGATCAGACGTTCCAGGATGCAATTTATAGTGCTGAGACACAACGCTTCCTGATAAGAAAACTCAGTGGTTAATAAATAATTAAGGAGTGTGGCGGATTAAACGGACACTATAGGCATCCACACCACCTCATCTCGATGAATTGGTATTGGTGAAGTTCAGGGTTAACACACTTCTAGTGGCGGTCTTCCTGGCATTTTGCTGTACATGTAAACTATCCTCCCAATGCTTCCCTATAGGGAATCAATGGATTGGCTGAGTTCATCAACACTGATGATCACAGCCATGGAGGTTTGGAAGCAGCACAGAGACCAGCATGCCATAAGTTAAACCTTTTTTTTACCCTTAGAGTGCTGGGGGGAATGGGACACCTACATAGGTAGGAGTAGAGTATAATGCAAGGAATACCTGTTTGTATTCCTACTGCTATAGTGTTCCTTTAGTTCAATAGTTTCCCTTACCTTAATAAAACAAAACCGGATGTATTTTTCAAACTGCTTTGTAGTTTCTGGTCCACAAAATGCTGTTACAGGAATAGCTGCTAGTTTCTGGGAGAAAGAAACAGTAATATGCATAAAATTGGAATTTAGCAGACAGTCAGATAAGGGGTATTTGCTTATAGAACAGTGAACTTGTTTTTCTTTAAATACATTATTCACTAAAGCGAAGGTGACAACTATTCTCCTATGCTGATCAGTAGTCACACCACAGTTCAGTAGTTTTTGGATCTGCTGATTATACTGCAATTTCATTCATGGATTCATGAGTTCCAACACCAAGCTAATAGCAAAAGTCCTCTCTGAATCTATGACATATTACACAGACTGACAAACTTAAAGGGACACTATATGCACCAAAACAACTTAATGTAGCAGTTTTGGTGTATAGAACATGCCCCTGCAGTCTCACTGCTAAATTCTCTGCAATTTAGGAGATTTTGTTTATACAGCCCTAATCACACCTCCTTGCATATGACTTACACAGCCTTCCTAAACACTTCCTGTAAAGGGAAAGCTAATATTTAAACTTACTTCATTACACAGTCTGTTTAATTTATCATTTTGTATCTCCCGCTCTGATAATAGCCTTCTAGACCCTGCAAGAGCCTACTGTGTGTTAATAACGGTTTATTTACAGGCCGAAGCCAAAAAACCTCCAATGCAATTAACACCACAAACCATTAATCCCTGCAATATGAAGGCCATTTAATTTTGAATACTGCCGCTTTAAAAGGTACAAACAGATGCAGAAGATATTCAACTGGACTTCTTCCATTTTGTTACTAGGTTATTATTTTACTATAATGATTCTACCATTATTACATATAGTTTACTACTGTCATTTTTTGTACTTGCTGTTACATGTAGTTATTAATAATCTGTCTGATAGAATTTTGGTTAGAAAATATTTAACGCTTTATAACAAATGGCTGGCCTGCTCCATTCTGTCTTCCCCCACTTGCCGCTCCCAGCAGTAAATTCCTTTTAAGTAACAGTCTTATCTCTTACCTCAGACCCAAACCATCCATCCCTGCAACATGAAGGCCATTTCATTTTACTGGGCTCTACCCACCCGCGTTCCTTCTAACTATATAGCATGCAGCTCCAGCTGTTTGGAACCACAGCCAATCACCTCCCTATTACCTTCACATGTTATCAGCTGCTGCAGTTATACCATTAACTCTCTCTGTCATCACATACAAATTCCTCTGCTACCTCTTGCCTCATTTCCACATTTTAACCTTTAGATTGTAAGCTCATGGGCAGGGCCCTCTACCTGTTTTATCGGTCTGATCTTATTGTATTTGTCTATTTCCCAATTGAAAAGCGCTGCAGAATTTGTTGGCGCTTTATAAATGACAGTAATAAATAAATAAAACGCCTGATTGAAAATTACAACTTTTTTTTATGCAGGCTGTGTCAGTCACAGCCAGGAGAGGTGTGACTAGGGCTGCATAAACAAAAGTGCTTTAACTCATAAACGGCAGAGAATTGAGCAGTCAGATTACAGGGGCATGATCAATACACACCAAAACGGCTTAATTAGGCTAATGTTGTTTTGATACCTATAGTGTACCTTAATATGTACTATGGTATTTAATATTAATTTTACTATCAAGTAGGACTGGGCTGATTTAGCTAACTCATTCCAGAAACTAATAGGCAATGATGTAATGATGGCAGCTATTACATTTGACATTATTTAAAAAAACAAAAAAAAACACATGTATTTCTAAGAGGTTATTCAATATGAACAGATGCCGATTTCAACTTGCTAAATTCTGAAAACGTAGGCAAACTAAACACAGTTTATTTTCTTTCCTACCATAAGGGTTATTTAAAAAAAAAAAAAAAGAACTCAAAGTGATTTTAAAGTAAATTTCAAATATATTACTAAAATAGCCAAACTGCAAAAATTCAGCTATGCTTCCAGTTAAGCTGCTTACATTTTAAATTCACTTTAAATCCCTTTAAGGGAAAAGTTGAAGAAAACAATGCCATTCCAAACAAGAATACTTTGGATTTAAAGTAAGAAAATCATTAAACTAACATTAAAGAGATACTCCAGACCCATAAAGCACTGCCACTTTTATAAACTGACCTTGCTCCACTACCCTGGCTGTAAATCAGACAAACAGTCCTGTTACTTCCTGATTGTTTACTCATGGGAGCTAAACTCAACAGGCAGGCAACTGTCCAGAGCACCTGCCTCGCTAAAACTTCTCATTGAGCTGCATTGGGAAGTCTGTGATTGGACAGCCACAGAAACTCTGAGTGGGTTTAGAAGGGGAGGGTTTGCAAAGACTTCAGACAAGAGATCTGCATCTTGTGACAGCTGTTTAAGATACACTCTAATGGGAAAAAAATTCATAATTAAATGCATACATGTTTCATTGGGGGTGTATCTACTAAACAGTAATTTCCATTTATTTTGTTTTTGTATACGGACAGTGCAGGTCCCTATTATGTACAATACTACATACACACCTTTGTTTTAATCATCCATTTCACAAACTTGTAGTCATAAGGCTCATCCTTCTTGATATCAGATAGATCTACATCTTGGAAACAAAAGGGTACACAAGATAAGTCTACAATTTTAGATATACTAGACAAAATGTTTAATGTAGCCAAAAATTGCTATTAACCCGTTTTTATGCCATAATTGTTTTTCCTTTTTATTTTTCCTACGCAATGTAACTCAACACTGTTTATTTATGTAAATAAAATCAGATAAATTGAGATGTAGTAACCCATGCAACAAAGAGAAGGGAATAGAAAATGTTGATGATGATACGGTTTTACAAAGAATTTAACAAAATATCTAACTTTTAAAATTTTACTTTTTGCTATTTTCAAAGTTCATCTTCATTTTATTATTGCCAAACATAACGGTACTCATGCAGAGATGAAAGGCAGAGTTTACCATGCTAGGAATTGAACATGTAACTCTTGGCTACTTTTACTGATGTTTTATGATTTAATTCACATGGAAATGAAAAAACGTGTGGGGGGTGGGATTTTTACTTAGCAAACAAATCTGTCACACTAAGTATATACTTTAAGCAAAAGACATTTAGTGTATTTGTCTTGAAAAATGCTTTCTAAACATTTTTAAGCAAATTAAAAGAGCCATCAATGGCTGGTTGCACTAAAAAAAAAACAAAAAAAAACATGAATGGCAGATTGTAAGGTTTTTGTAGCAGTAATTCTACTTGAAAGAAAAAAAAATCTAAATAATATACTAGAGCACTTTAAATTTTATGTAACACTGTTTACTGCTGGTTGTCTACTGAGCAACCACAAGATGGCACCAGATTATAATCTAATTTACATATTGTAAAAAAATAAATAAAAAAAAATTAAAAAATAGTTACCTGTGCACTAGACCAAATCCCTATGCATATTTAAATAAATAGAGGCTATTTAGTAACTCCAATGGCCATTAGATGTAAGCCTACCTGCCACGTCAAGGCAAATCTCTTAGGTGGGTCCTACACTAACAATTCACCTTGCTTCCATCTACTGTGCTTCCATCTACCCCCACACATTTCGTATTTAAGATTAAATAGATTGGAGGAATTCATAAGAATACTCTCTACTGATTTATTTGAGATTTACATGATCTGCACTAATTTGCAGCAATGTGGCGAGGTGAATTTTTAGTGCAGGACTCACCTAAGAGGTTTGCATTGATATTGGCATGATGGATATCATTGTGATACTGAAAACCTTTTATTTAAAATTGACCATTGGGGTTTAGAAAATCATGCAGGTACCTTTTTTTGTTATGGGTTACAATATTTGACAAGAAATATTCACTTTCTTGTTAAAAACATGACAAGTTTCACATACAAAAAATGGCTAAAGCCATGACATGGTCCTGTATAAACTGTTAGTTTCAAAAAATTGGGCCAGTTGAATACATGTTGAGCTCAGAATTTTACATTCCAGATAAAAATATTATTTTTTTGCTGCAGAAAAGCCCATATTGTGTGAGATCTCTCTTTCATGTGAGAAAAAGTATGGTTGTTTTTTTTAAAAAATTTATACAATCTGTTTCTGAAAATATTTTGTTGAAAATGCTGTCAATTGAAAAATTTAGTATCTGTTTCAGGGGAGTCAATCCTTAGCTCGAGCTGTTTGACTACATTTCCCACACGCATTTGCCATTCCAACAACAGATGGAGAGACAATGCAGAACACCTTTCAAGGGCTGCGGAAGTGATAAAACTGTATGAGGAGCTTGCTAATCGACCACTGACAATCAGATGTGCCTCTCCAATGTGCCTGCGATGTCCTTTATCTGTGAAGTGGTTGTTGGCTCATGAATGGTTTCCAAGTAGAAACAAAAAGGTTTCTTTACCTAGTACTGAAATATCTGCCAGCATGAAATATCCTCCTTCTGGAATAACTGGCTTTAGTCCAGCTTCTTGAAGCAGTTGTGCCATCCTGTCACGCTTGGCTTCTAGTTCCACGGCTAGTGAATTAAAGTAACAATCTGGCTCATCCATCCTTTTAAAGTCCTTGAAAAGAGCCTGAGCAAGTGCCTCCTGCAACGATCAATATAAAAAATGATTCAGTGCATTAAACAGAGGATAATCCTATTATGTGGGTGTTTTTCTGCATTTGATCAAGTATACACTAAACTTTATTCAGGATGTGACATTATACCCATGCTTAGGCGTCATGAAACAACCTGAAAAGATCTCAGAGATCTGAGGAAAGTACACACATCTTTAGTGTTCTGCCAGGGACAAACACGTCTGATCTTCTAGACATCAAAGTGTCAATCACGAAAGAAGGTACCCACCTAGCTGCATTATATTGTCACTAATGTATGAATCCTGCTTACAGAGTTTAGCAAAGCGTTTCTGATTAATCTTAGTCTATTAGTGCTATACAGACTATTTATTATTATCACAACTTTTATATTATCGTATGTTACGTTTTGGCTAGCATGTTCCATTTATTAACCCCTTAAGGACACATGACATGTGTGACATGTCATGATTCCATTTTATTCCAGAAGTTTGGTCCTTAAGGGGTTAAGTCATAAAATGCCCCACTCTTCCCATAGAAGTTCAGCCTGCTTCCTACATTAATTGGTAATTTACTGCATTTGAAAAGGTCCTACGCGACCACTGATGGTTTCTGTATCTGACGACTTTGTATTCGGTTCCTTTCTTGTTATTTTACACTATCCTTGTTACTGACTTTTGTTTATTTGTCACTTTATCGTTTAGTTCACAAATTCCAAAAAAAGAACTATCAAAACTATATGCAATATTTACAGGAGTGTATATGTTTATACATTCCTGTACACTAGAAAAGTATACTATTTTATGATGAGAATACTCAAGAACATCATGGAAGGAAGATCACAGTTTAGGAAGCCTATAGTTGTGAGCAGTGTAAGTGTGATAAATCCTGATCTAATATATGATCTAGGAGACCTACAAGCTCATGATATGTGATCTATGAGAAATGCAAGCTCATTATATGTTATCTAGGAGACAGCCCCATTTACACACCTCAAATGATTTAGACTCCACATTTGTAAAGTGATAAATATAAATCTGTAGTTGGTGTACCTTACTTTCCTAATGCAACAAAAAAATCAGTTTCCCTTCAAATTTGGCATGGTATGTTCACTTACTTGTAATGGCGTAGGACAGGTGTATATGCTATTCTGCTGAACAGTCTGTAAATGCTTTATCAGATGTGCAGGACCAATGGACCAACCGAGCTAGAAGAATATTAAATGTCAGGGAAATGCTGTTTTAACATCAAGTGCCATCTAGTGGTGAGAATCTTGCAACATTCACATAGCGGTGGATTTAGCTATAAATTGACACTGACACCACCCACTGCTGCTCAAGCTCACGCAGAGCATAAGATAGTCCTTGCAGCAGAGAATGACACATTAGGGTAGAAAAACAAAGTAGCCCCTAGAAAAAGCTATAGAGAGGAAGAAATTAATTTCCATTGATGTAATCCATGCCAATGATATCAGCTGTCAAACACAACAATGGACTTAACTGAGATCTCGTCGTACAATGCGCAGTAATTGTCCAGGAAAATGTACTTTACATTCTCAGGAGGATTTGTGGAAGGTAATTTTCAAATCAGCTATCTTGGTGGATCTTCCATAAGTGTCATTTTATATCTTCAACAATACAGAGAATATAACAGTGATACACATAGCAAGGTTGCCAGAAGGAAATTGAGGCAGCAGTTTAAGATATTGTCCAGTTTCCTATTTAGCTTGTAACAAAAACCATGGCTGCTGCACTGCAAATGTGACTATTCTTAATATTTGCAAAAATGTAGATTTAAAAAATAAAGACCCACTTTAATAACAGCCAGTACAAATTTGGGTATTTGACATGCCCTTAGTGAGATGTAGTCTGGAAAAGTATTTCTTTAGCCAATGCAGCTCTAACACTTTCAGGTAATGCTGGAAATCAATCACCTATACAAATTGTTCACATTGTGACTTACCTTCCACCCTGTCACACTAAATGTCTTTCCTGCACTTCCAATAGTTATGGTCCTATCCCACATACCAGGCAAGGTAGCTAAAAAAAATAAAATAATAATATAATAATCAAAATGCAAAAAATAAACATTTTTCATAAAACTATTTTATTGTTGATTTTTAGTGTACAATATCTAGGTTTGACAAAGTGAACACGCGTCTCCCCTGACCTTCTTCCCTAACAAACACACATCTAAAAGTCCCATTATTCTCCCTCCTGCTGCTCAACGTTAGCAGAGACAGGGGCTCTGCAGAATTATCCTGGTGTCACTGGATGAGCAGGCTTTCTCTGCATGATGCAGTGTCAGAGACATCTTCACCTGCCCCTCCTTGCAATCCTGCAGAATCATAGTAATCGGGGTTTATCTGTGGTTTTTGCTGCCTTCTTAGTCGCACAGGAACAATTTGCTTTCAGTCGATATTGTTCCTTCAAATAAATGTGTACAATAATAGAGTTTTAGCGTTTCTGTCTATAGATTATTTCACTGCACAGCAAATCCATACCGATTTTAATATGCTTGTTTCCAGGGTATACAAGCCATTCATAAACTTCATCACTGATACAAATGACATCATGTTTAATGCAGAGATCAGCAATTAACTGCAGTTCTTCTTTAGTGTAGACCTGAAACATATACAATTAATTAGCAGTTTATAGTGCACATGCACTGCAGTTTATAGCTCGCTATGTTATTTGGTATTTTTTTTATTTTAAAAGTTTATCCACAACTATAACCCATTTGAAAAGCTTACACAATTATAAAAAAAAAATCAAGCCGTGAGAAAGAATCTATTTACTATGAAAAGTTGCAACACAAGGACTAGTGTCTTTTAGCACACTTGAAAGATTTTTCTTACCTTGCCCATGGGGTTGTTTGGTGTATTCAATACTATTGCCTTGGTGCGGGAACTGAACTTGCTTGCCAGTTCTGCTTGGTCTAATGTCCAATCAGCACTAGAGATTGTGCTCTTGCCACTGCACTTCTGAGAATGGCAAATTAAAAAAAAATTAGATTAAAAATAGTTGCCTATTTGCATACATACAATGCCATCTTGTTCTCCTTTCCGTGAAGGGAAACTGTAATTTCGGTGAAGGCATCAGTTATGCTTTCCATGGGTGCATGCACATCAGTCGCCAACTCTGCCAAACCTATGCCCCCTCACAAAGAAGCACTGAATTCAATGCTTCTCTGTGAGAAGTACTGGATGTGTTTGGTGTCATCACTCTTTGAGCACTGATATTGAAAATCAAAGGTCTTTAACGAAGAAACACTTCTAGTAGCTGTCAATCTGAAAATCCCTAGAAGTATGGTTAAGTAAAATTGTAAACATTGTCATATCTCAATATCAATGTATTATTTTGCAAGAGAAAATGAAAATGCTCTCAATCCCAAGTTGATTGCAAGCTCTTAATGAATTACATCGATCTGTTGTAGATCTCATGCCTACTCTAAAGGATGTTGCTTGTGTCCCTTGGCAAAAATTTACATGGCTCCCCACAAGCAATGAAGATGGTTCAGGATGCTATTTTCTTTGAAATCTATAGATACATCGGCTTCCGGAAGTGCTAAACCAGAAAATGTGATTTAAAATAGGCCAAACACATGATGAGCGGTTAGCTTGCCCATTAAAACGTCATTGCAAGGATTCTGGATCTAATAAACTATACAAAGTCTGCTTTCATAACAGCACATGTAATGTTGAATTAACGAGCGAGCAATGTTTGTAAAGGGATTAAAATGTTCATTGAACTTACATATCTTAAAGGGATGGAGACAGGAGTGGCTCCGGCCATTTTCACCATGGGGTCATAACAGTCATAAAACGGCTCAATTATTATCACCTAATTCATAAACAAAAAGAAATACAAAAAACGGAAACATATCAGTACATAAATACACACAAAAGGACAATTCTATTAACACATTTTTATAGTGAGGATGGAAGAAGCTGCAGTAAAAGTAGTACATATAATGGAGAAAAATGATCAGGAGCTGGATAAAATAGATCAGATAATCGAGGTTTATAAATGCTTACTATGGAATCTGGGTAGAGGTAGCATTAGAAAGATAGGTTTACCAGAGTTAATTAGACATTGATATAATAATAACAAATAATTTAACCAGGAAAGGTACATTCAGATTACTCTGGTTTCCGAGTACGTCCAGGGGATGTTACTATTACCCAATTTAATGGTATTCATTATATTTACCTCGGAAGGATAAAGGGTTGAGTCAACCCTGCCGGGATTTGAACCTGTGTTAAACAGATTCTCCTGATGATGCATCAGCCCATTGAGCTATGTTATCAGGCTCATAGATACAGCAAATAATTATTTTTTTTCTGAATATTATTACTTGGTGCCCACCTGGTCATTATATAGAATAAAGCTACATTAAAGGAACACTCCGGACACATTAAGCACTTCAACTCGCTAAAGTGCTTAATGTGCCTAAAGTCTACGCTATTTGTGAAATTTTATAAAAGTACAGATTTCAACAGAAATATGCACGTTTATATTTATGGACAGACACACCTTCTAAATGACAGCCAGCATGTGAAGTTTCAGCACAGAGGCTTCTGATTGGTGTATTCCCCGGCACAGACTAAAAGTCTTTGCCAGGTAAGGAGGGCAGGGCTTGAAAAGGCTGCAGACAGCATGCAGTTGCAAATCAGTGCATGCAGCATATACAGTCACTATGCAAACAAATAAAAAAAATTAAAAAAAAAAGTAAAAGCAGACACTTACTTCATCTCCTACTTCAATAAGTCCCTGAATTGCATTGAAGAGAGACCCATAAGCCCCTAACGTAACAAGTATTTCTTTGTTTGGATCAATTTTTCTTCCCATCACTCTGCCGTAGACCTGGGAGAGAGCATCTACCAGCGGTGGGTGGCCCTGAAGAAAGACATTATTTACAGAGATTTATTTGAAACCTTGTTTATAGATTATCTATCTTTACTCTAGACTGCAAGTTCTATCAGACGTTCACCTCCTTTGTTTCAGAATTTAAATATATTTTAAATTATATATGTTTTATTGGGAAAATGGGAAACTGACATTTCTCTGAAATTTAAAAACATTCAATAAAACTTCAAAAACCTTTATAACTGTTTACCTTTTTTATGCAATGCCCAGCTTTATTTTAAATTTATATTAACGATTTAGCAAATTACAGCTGCAAAATAAAGAGGTTTGGATTTCTATATTCAGTTGTATTTTTCACCTCTCAAAAATACACGTTTTCTCTTTGATGGTGATAATTAATGGAGGTTGGGGGGATTCTTAAAGGGACACTATAGTCAACAGAACAACTACAGCTTATTGAATTTGTTCTGGTGAGTAGAATCATTACCTTCAGGCTTTTTGCTGTAAGCACTGTCTTTTCAGAGAAAATGCAGTGTTTACATTACAGCCTAGTGATAACTTCACTGGCTTCTCCTTAGATGGCTGTTAGATATCCTTCCTGGGTCATGGCTGTCTAAAATGCATTCAAACTTTCAGTGTCTCCTCTCTCTGCATGCAGACACTGAACTTTCCCTGATAGAGATTCAATTGATCTCTATGAGGAGATGCTGATTGGTCAGGGATGTGTTTGAATCATGCTGGCTCTGCCCCTGATCTGCCTCTTTGTCAGTCTCAGCCAATCCTATGGGGAAGCACTGTGATTGGATCAGGCCACCACTTCTAATGATGTCAGCAGACTGCTTGTTTTTATGAGTCTAACAGCATGCAGAGTTACAGCTTCAGGCTTGGATACAGTAAGATTCTGCTATATTTATGGAGACATGAGGGGCCCACGGGGGCTAGATGGTGGTGTTAACACTATAGGGAGAGGAATACATGTTTGTATTTCTGAACCTATAGTGATCCTTTAACCCTTATTAACAATTCTTAATTACATATGTTTACGATTTGAATTTTGCTTTCAAGTGATAAATCTCATAGCAAATCATCTATTTTCTCAAACATGTTTGAGTGCGCTGTCCTTACACACTTTAAAGAGTTGTAAAGTATCACCATGCATAATTAACTGACATGTCAAAGGATAATTACGCAGGAAGAGTCTCTCCATATGTAGGTATACATTTTGGAAAGTTCAGTCCACCCACCCCACCATAGTAAAAAATTGAAAATTACTTACAAAGCCACGGGTGTATTGGTTTAGTCTATCGACAGTTGAGGCTTGAGCAAGGGCTTCTTTCACATAGGAAGGAGGAGGTATATCTGGAAAGCCCTGGCCGAGGTTCACAACAGTAGGATCCGCAGCAAGTGCCGTGAATTCAACCCTGGAGGAGACACATGATACCGATTTATATTCATGGACTGTGGTACAAACTTGTACACTCAATGTACCCTGTGATATGTTTGTGATAATAGAGAACCCAAGCTGGCAACTGTCACTAATTTTGCCAACTGATAGCTGTAGTTTGAGAAGAATTATAAGTATATTTACTAAATTACGATCACTTGGCAGCTTTGGTTCTAACGGTTTTAATCAAATTACCAAAATTACAGCCTTTGTCCATTAAGAAAAACCCATAGCCCATTATTTCTTAATTTTTCTTTTGTTTGAATGGTTTACATGCTATTTACAGGAAACATTTTTTTTGTTTTACAGAAACATATTAATAAATTAAATCTTATTTAAAGGGACACGAGAGTCACCAGAACAACTACAGCTTAATGTTGTTGTTTTGGTGTGTATAGTCAGTTCCTGCAGGCATTTTAATGTAAACAGTGTCTTTTCAGAGAAAAGGCAGTGTTTACATTGCTGCCTAGTTACACCAGAACTAGAGGTGCTGCCTGGGTTAGAGCTGCACAATTTGCAGCACTGACGTTCAGCATCTGCACTCTCTGCATGGAGGTGCTGAGTGTTCCTCACAGAAATTCATTGCTTCAGTCTCTAATAGGAGATGCTGATTGACACAGTGTGGCATTTTGCTGCGCGTGCCATTAACTTACCAATGCTTTCCTGTGAAAAACATTGTATTGGCTGAGATCATCAAAACTGACGAGCTCAGCCAAGGAGGCGGAGCGTGGGCAGGACCTGCCGAAAGGAGACCCACGTGGCACTGAAAAAAAGGGAGTAAAATAACTTTTTCTTTGGGGTTAGGGGGCTCGGGATTTAAATAGTGTTTTCCCAACTAAAGTGTCAGGAATACATGTTTGTGTTCCTGACACTATAGCAGGGGTAGGCAACCTTTTAGCAGCACTGTGCCGATATAGGATTGCGATGTCCCTTAGCGTGCCAATCCTATTTTTTTAACTTGAGGTTTGTATGCTGCCATATTCTGCTTGTGTTATTTTTACTGTAATTGCTTTGTATCTTTGTATTTGTACGTATAGGAGTTATTATATTGTATATGTTCATTAGTACTTTATGGTATCGTGTATGATACATATGAATGTGGGCTGTGTATGAGGGCTGCTTGTGGAATTGTGTGGATGGATATGTCACATTGTGTTTGGTAGTGTGTGGGGGCTGTTTGGGGTATTGCATGTGAGATGCTGCATGTGGGGTTGTGTGCATGTATGTGGATAGTTAGTGGTGTTGCGTTAGTGGGGATTGTGTGTATGTGTATGGGCTGTTCGTATTATTTGTATGAGGGGAGGGTTATTTCTGTGTATATCTAGCAGTGTGGGTGACTTCCCTGGGTTCCAGTGGTACAGGTCAAGGACAGGAGCTGCAACAGCAGCTGCGGGCTGCTCTACTACAGTGTGGATTCCCATTCACAAGTGCTTGGAGGAAGTGATCTGAGATCACTTCCTCTATATGCTGCAATGCATAAATTGAGGGTTGTCCTTCACCACCTCTTTGTATTAGCAGATATCTGAAGTTTCACTGGGACTCCTGATAGGACAGAGCCTGTTTGGCTCTAGCAGCCTTGAGTGCCGTGCAAAGTCACCTCGAGTGCCGTGCATGGCACTAGTGCCGTAGGTTGCCTACCCCTGCACTATAGTGTTCCTTTAAGGGGAGCTTTCATTGCCTTTAAAAGAAATATTGGGTTAGACACCGAGGAACGTGCAGCATTGACAGTAAAATTGTGCAGAATTGACTAGGGGATTGCAATATCAAAATGGCTAAATTGGAAAAAGTGTTCCAACTCAGCAGCTAAAGTTTGTAGTTCTCTGCAATTCCACATTAGTGAATAACCCCGGTGTGGTTTGCCATTGCCTTGTCTTGTTTAGTGTATGTAGGCACATTAAACAAGGGAAATATGCCAGAATGAGTCCAATTGAAGCAGACATGTTGCTTTCAGGCTTCTTATAGGATGTGGTTTTGAGAAACTGCAATAACTACATCGCAATACTAAGACAGCCTCTGGTGTTAGACAGCCACTAGATGCACTTCCTGGTGGCTAACAGTCTTTTGGTTGCCTAGATGGCACTGGACATCTGCATGAGAACATCCAGAGTTAGTAAAATCCCCATAGGAAAGCATTATAGCAATACTTTCCGATGTGGAGGGCCTAATGCACTCGCCACGCCTGCACGTTAGCTCTCCCCCATTGGATGACATTGGAGAAGGCAGAACGCCGACCCACCGCCGAGGGACATCGGCGCTGGAATCAGGTAAGTGAATAAAGGGTTTTGTTTGACCCTTTAGCCGATGATGGTAGAGGTGCAAGGGCTCTATAGTTTTGGGAATACAGATTTGTATTCCTAACACTATATAATCCCTTTAAGGATCAGTGCAACCAAGTGCTCTATAAGTGTCTGCTTACAGCAGTGGTAAAGTTACTGCCTTAGAATTGGGAAACTTGAGTTTAAATCCCATTTAAACCACTTCACCAGTAAGCGCCCTTGGGCAAGACACCAACAATATATATCCGTCTACCTCAAATCCTCATAGATTTAAAACCGGTTTCATTTATCATTTGCCCTTTCTACGTAAATGCTGATAACAATAATAATAATAATAATAATAATAATACAGGAAATGTGCAATGTTCCTGACATATTTCTGTTATGATAAAGCTAAGCAAATGTTCCAAATCCTGAAAGTACATTTCATAGACATCGCTTACCACACATTGCCATCAATCCCCTGGATTCGATTTGCATTCTTGTGTCTTGAAGACATTGCCTGCAGGTGACACAATGTATTTTATTATTTATTACATCCTTTTAATTTAAAGAGTGTTTATGTATAGCACAAACAGTAAAAATGAAATAATCAAACATGACCATCATTTGTGTGCATCACACTGTATGAAATAATTACACTCTCGCGGGTTAAGAAACGGAGGTCACTAATTCCACCACATGGTTACATTTACATAACAGTTGTGCTCAAAGCACCCCAAGCACTTTGAATTCTTGCAAACTGTATGGTGACTAAGAGCACACTCTCAGTGCAGAGAGTTATTAATATGATGCAATAATAAAAAAAATCACTGTCACTTTAAGACAGCCCACCAGAATTGTCAATCAGGCAAGTTGGAGCACTTTGTCTAGGGCTGTTAGTGTTAGTCTATCTCTACTGTGCTTGCGCCATGTGCCACTTGCACTATAGAGAGGATTTTTTTCACTCCAGACAGAACTGAGCTTTCCTGATAGTAAAACTCAGCCGGGTTCATTAAACAATGAACTGACCGTGTGCAAACTCATAGCAGCTGTGGTATGGCTGCTATCAGTTTACTGAAAAATTCTAATCATCAAACTGCCTTAGCCCATAATCTCCTGCTATGTAAACGATTTCAGGATCAGTCCCCATAGACTAGAATGAGAAATTTTAGATTTTGGCATTCTATCCTGGCATGTAAAAAGTCTGCCTATAGGTGCAGAAAGACCCGCTAAGCAGTGCACCTTTATTTTTAATTGAATTTTTGGCAATATTTTTTTAATTCAGAACAACGAAAAAAAATAATAATAAAAAAATAAATAAATATATATATATATATATATATATATATTTATTTATTTATTTATTTTTTTCCTGGGTTCTGAAATATATATATATATATATATATATATATATATATATATATATATAAAAATCTAGCTATATCTGGACACTTTAAATCTCAGTGTATGAAAAAAGAAAAGGAAGAGACAGAAAGAGAGATGCTGTATGCTTAAAAACTAGGGTTAGGGTCGCCGGGGGAGGTGATGGTTAGCACTCCTCCCCCAGCGACAGGATGTAGGGCCTCCTCCGCGATGGTCCAATCCAATGCTACTCATAGAGGGAGCATTGAGTGCACATTGAATCAATGCTTTCCTTTGGGGCTACGGCGTCATGTGACCAAGTTTTACTCTGTCATACTGACAGCCACTACAGGTGGACTTAACTCTGCAATATTTTATACCAGCACTCTGGATCTTTCCTGCAAAAATTCCTTTATTGCTTTGCTATGCCAAATAATGTCAACGTTTCAGTTCAACATGTGAACTTTGATTAGGACATAAAACATAACAAAGGACATAGCAGGCTATTTAGAGAAGTATAAAATCTACTCAGTGCTCAGTGAACTAATGATACCGGAGAGTTATGACATAACAGCGCATAAAGTGCTTACATAGTATAAAAAAGTGCTTAGGCTAAAATGCTTGAATGATATAAAACAAGTGCTTGTGCTAATGTGCCTTTGGTTTACCCTACATATGTGTGTTAAAGTGCCTGTGTACATTTATATTAAAACATGTGTTACACTTAGTGGGGATAAAGTATTCAGTTTCTAAATCCAATAAGTCTCTGTGTACAATAAGAGTAGTGACCCCCACCCCCTTTGGCATGGGTACATGGTAAATCTCTGTGCATGGTAGAGACGTCAATGGGTGCTGATGTTCCAAGTAATGGCGTGCCAATGGCTTATCTAATTATCCATCTCTGTATGCTGTGCGTATGCCTCTGATTCACAGAGAGCTGTCTCTGTTTTGTCAACTTAGTTTAGTCCACATTAAGGGACTTGATCATTTATAAATGACATGGTCAGTTTTACAACTGATCCCATGTTTAATCACATACTTCTTCCCTGTGTGTTTGATTACAACATTTGGTAGGAATAATGTGACCAGGCACCTTACCCAGTCAAAATTTTGTTTATTTTTATCCGGCGTGTAACTTTGGACTGGATCTGTACAGAGAAGAAGGTTTCGAGGTATAGGTCTTTGGTGAAACATTTTTGGTAACATAGGGTTGTGAGTCAGGATATTCCAATTTCTTTGTATATATTTTTTATATAAATGTACACAGGCACTTTAACATACATGTGTAGTGTGAACCGAAGGCACTTTAGCATTAGTCTTATATAATGCAAGAACTTTACCATAAACACTTTTTTATGCTATGTAAACACTTTATGCAGTTAATAAATAACCCTCCAGTATCATTAGTTCACTGAGCACTTAGCCATGTTTTTAACAGCAGCTTGTAAACAGACGTTACTGGGAGTTGGTGTATGCGTCTGTATGGGAACGAATGTTGTCAGACAAATGTTGATGTTTTAGTAAGGTGCGGAGTTTATACACCTGATTGCGCATGGAGTTATACACGTGGGCACCTTGTGTATGCACCAGTTCGATTGTTTGTTTGTAGGTTTCCACATCAACGGTGTGGGTTAGACATAACATCACACCTTCTGTGGTGGAGCTTAATCTCACGCATGCACACAACGTGAGGGGAGACACACAATAGACATACAGACATGACAGATACACGCAAACAATGAAATAAAAAAAATTAAATTAAAAAATACATATTTTTAGCCACCCTTCTGTTTTTTACCTTTTGGGCTCAGGAGAGTGGCTCCCCTGGGGTCTAGTGGGACTGGGCAGCAGCAGGTGACATGAGGTTAGTAGGACTGGCGGCAGCTAATGGGAGTAGGTTGCCGCTGTTCCAGACTCCCCCTACTTCTTTCTCTCTATCCCTGTGCAGCTCTCTCTGTGTGCCGGAAGTGAACTGTAATTACTTCCTCCTGCCGCTGAGGCAGCATAGGGGAATGGGCAGGTGGTTGGCTCTATGGAATGGGGGCAAGAGGTTCTACAGAATGGGGGTGGGATGCGAGCAGAGCCGTCTTTACCTGGTGCACTGCCCACTTGTAATTCCCCTGTGCAGCCTCGGCGCCGGAAGTAATTAGTTCCCTTCACTTCCTCCCGGTACACCGACTGCACAGGGATTGAGACAGTAAGAGAAGGGAATGAACAGGCTGACCAATCCCAGGAGCCAGGATAAAATTGTTAGTTATGGCAACCTGGGATTTTGTCGAGTCCTGCGGTAGAGTCTGATAGTGAGAGAAGGGCACATGGAGAGATTGATATGCATAAGAAAAGAAAGGGACATCGGAAAAGGTGACATGGATAATAAGAGGAACAGGGATGAGGAGAAGAAAATAGCTTTTCTTAATTTTGATCGTTTACTAGATAGATACCTAATTTGGTATGTTTATATGGCAATCCCACATAAGGAAAGCAAATTAAGGGGGAATCCACTAAACTCTGTTTATTGTTATTACTATTTTTATTATCATTACTTTGTTACATTTTAGCTATGTTGATGAATAAAGCCCTCCATCCATACACAGACATGACATGTGACTCTCACGCAGGCAAAAATTGCTGACCACTGCTTTAAGTTCTTAAAATTGTAATTAAAAATTAAGTGTACAGTATATATTTAAACATGTAAAAATGCTGGTTAGATTCATCTCAATTGTTTTTGCATAGTTGGCCTTCTTTAAATTGCTTTTTTGATTGGTGTTTTTTTTATTTTAAATAAATTATTGGCTCAGTATTATACCTAAAATAGAATATGTTTGGCTTATCTCAAGATCCTATGAATATTAAATATTTTGTGTAATCACAATACAAAACTAAGAAAAACAAACATTCTTTCCGCTGGAAAAAAAACTGTCACAGAAAACAGTTTTTAAATTGCATGGTTTGAAGCTCAAAAATTCCATCAGATGGGTAAAATATGGGTCATGGAGCAGAATATCAAAATAAAAAATACAGTGAAAAAAAAAAAGAACAAAGTCAACAAAACAAATAGTGTAATATTTGGCAATAATACATATTCGGCATAGAAAATATTTGGCAGACAAAGGGAAAGCAGAAAAAGCAAATAATTTGGGTCATGGTGCAAAAGATAATTAACAGTAAAAATACATTTAAGGAAATGTAAGTATTTGGTAGACAAAAGCAAAGCAAAAAAAAACAAACGCAATTAGTGGTTTCATTGTGGACAGATCTGTGATTGCAAAAATAAACTTCACAATTTGATATGAAAATACCCTTTGTGCCAATGTCAACTATGTAACATTCCTAATGTAATACATACTCGAGAAGTAAACACCATGGTGCACTGAGAAGAATTAACAGCCTTCAGCAGTTGCAAACGATTCCCAAGGCAGCCGGCACCACGGAAAGCAAATAGCATGCCTGCAGAGTGGGTTGACAATAGGCACAGTGTTAGAAGGTCTACAGAAGAGACATTACAGCAGTGATAGGCCATCTTTACCTGTCAAGGCTTCATGAGCCCACAGTGGCTGAAGGTGGCCGATCCTTGCACGAAAACAGTGAGGATGGATGGTGTATCTACTGAATTGCATAGCTATTACAAGGCAAATCTAAATGCAGACGTACAGCCAAGTGGAAAAGCAGCCAATAAAAATAACCTTTAAATTTAAATAAAGCGGTGATTAGACCAAGCAGAACTGTTCCCCTCAAAAAAAAAATAAAAAAAATTACATCTCTAGTGTATGTAAATCTAGCCATATGTTTTATGTTAGGATATCATTGTGTTTAACGAAGTTTTCCGTTAAAGTGATACGCTAAGCACCAATACATCTTAAGTTTAAATAAGTAGGTTTTGTGTATAGGTCATGCCCCTGCAGTTACACTACTCAAATCTCATTTAGGAGTTTCTATATATATATAGCCCTAGCCACACCTCCCTGGACCTTGACTCACATATAAAACATATTTTGAATTGGATTTTACAGCACAGTGTGTTTATTTTAAAAGTTATTATCGCCTTCTCTTTTAAATGAACTTTGATCACACAGGATCCTGCATGAGGCTAGTGGTGATGCTTAGGCAATGTCGTTCTATGTTACCCCTGCCCTTGATATGTTGCCCTTCTGTGCTCCTTTCAAACTGGTCTTTCTGTTTTTACTTTCTGCATGGTTAATGGCTGCTATGCTATTCTTGGCACGGCATTAAAGCGGGTCTGTCACTTTGCAAAGTGAGTCGGGTGGCTGCAGATTACAGGGCAAGAGAATTTTACATACATGCATTGGCAACAGTAAAACAGTCTATGGTCTATGGTCTATGGAGGATCAAACAAGATGCTCCAAAAAATGCCTGAATCCCACAGCCGTCATTTGTGACAGCTGCTTTGATTTGAGAAAAGTAGAGCTCTGTCTTTGCATTTGTTAGGTGCAAGGTGACATTGAGAGGTGAGCAGGACAGATTCCTGCTTTATATAGATTGTTCAGCTAAGATCTACTTCCTGATTACACGTCAAAGAAAACGCATGACAACAAGGGTATAATACGAAGACTCACTACATGAGCTTATCTTAAAGTACACAACATGATCCTACTTATCCAAGCAGAAATCTTCAGAGTTGTTAAAGTTTATTTTTTCATTATAGGCGCAAGAAGGCAAATAATCAGAAGCTTGTGATTACTCATTTCTTAATCCATCATAAAAAAAAAACAAACATATAGAAATAGTTTATGTGAAAAAAGTATATACAATCATAGGTTTTTTGTTTTTTTAGTTGACTTTAGGGGTCCTAGCTTAAAAAAAAATAATTAAGGGTAATTCCCTTGCCAGAATTTATTATATTATGTTTACTTATTCCCTATATTTAACAAATATGTATTCATGAGGTATTAACCCCTTAAGGACCAAACTTCTGGAATAAAAGGGAATCATGACATGTCACACATGTCATGTGTCCTTAAGGGGTTAAAAATAAAATTAAATGTAGAGATCCATGTATCGATTCTTGATTTTTTTTGCAGCTCCGTCTTGATTCTCTGTCAATCTTTATTATAAATTTCAGACAAAATTAAGTTAAGACTGCCAACTTTGCGGCTTTAAAAATAATTAAACAAATAAATATCCTGGAAGCCTGAGCACCCACCTGCCTTGAACAATAGCAGCAGAAAAAGAAATTAAAGGACCACTATAGTGCCATTAAAACATACTCATTTTCCTGGCACTAGGAAAGGGGTTAAAAACGTACCTTTATCCAGCGCCGGGCGTGGAGCTCTCCTCCTCCTCTCCTCCCTTTCGGCTGAATGCGCACGCGCGGCAAGAGCTGCGCGCGCATTCAGCCGGTCTCATAGGAAAGAATTTACAATGCTTTCCTATGGACGCTTGCGTGTTCTCACTGTGATTTTCACAGTGAGAATCACGCAAGCACCTCTAGCGGCTGTCAATGAGACAGCCACTAGAGGATTTGAGGGCTGGATTAACCCATTTATAAATATAGCAGTTTCTCTGAAACTGCTATGTTTATAAAAAAATGGGTTAACCCTAGCAGGACCTGGCACCCAGACCACTTCATTAAGCTGAAGTGGTCTGGGTGCCTAGAGTGGTCCTTTAAGATTCCGACATTTCTGCATAAAAAAAAACTGATGACTGAGTTTTCAACTCCCAGAAACGACTGCTGTCCAGAGATTTATAGAACATGATCAATACTGCTACAAAAAGCTGAACGAACATGGCAAACCTCTAAAGGACATCAGGGGTTAGAAGCATGTCTTCTCTTTTACTCCCTCTTTTTACTTTATAACGGGCCAATTTCAAGACACTGATACTGTTCTAAAGCTTCAGGGTTGACAGCCTGGTGGGTGCTCTTCCTCACTCAACTAGAGTTTTCATATTAAGCAGATGTTATGCTTCCTCACCGCCAGCACACTGCAGAAATTGCTGCACACGCACCCTGCTTCTCTAGAATCTAGCGATGATCTCCCAGAGGTGGAGTTATTTGGATTAGATGTAACCTCTTTTTTGGGGGGAGAACAAGCTTACATCTAAATAGTGTTTAAAAAATCTCCACATTATAAATAAAGGTACTTGTTTACAATGCCGGAGTGTTCCTTTAAGCCCAAAGCTGTCGTTATGGTGCCGTTCTGGTTCTGTGTCAAACTGATTCCAAGTATTTTAGTTTTTTTGAGTGCCCCTCCTCCTCCCCCCCCCCTGTGCTTTATTTACACACGTCTACTAATGATATACAGGTCAATAACATAAACATTGTATCACTCTGTGACCAGGAATGAATGGCCACGTAGCACTGTTCTTGCACTGACTTGTGCTGACGTATTGCTGCGTGCACTGGAACAGATGTCAGGGCAGCATTTTGCTACGTCCTGGACAGTGTCAGGAAGGTGCCGATTAGCACGTTATTATTATTGATATTTATATAGCGCCAACATATTCCGCAGCGCTTTACAATATTGCGAAAGGGGGAAATTTGACAATAAATGAGAAAATTACAAAATGTCGCAGGAACAATAGGTAGATGGGGACCCTGTTCCAATGAGCTTACAATCTAGAGCAGCGTTTCCCAAACCAGTCCTGAAGACCCACCAACAGTCCAGGTTTTGTTAGTATCTCTATTGGAATAAAACAGGGAAATACATAAACCCTGGACTGTTGGTGGGCCATGAGGACTGGTTTGAGAAGCACTGATCTAGAGGACATGGAGGACCTGCCAGCATTATGGGAACACAGGTAGAGCCATGTAAAACCTACTGCACATACTGCTCTAACTGGAAGCTCTCTGTCCTGGGGGGCAGTGCACTCCTTAACCAGTACTCAGCATACTGCCTGATACACAGCACTGTACGTACACCCACCCACCATGCTGGTACTTACTGATCACTCCGTGTGCACTCTGGTTTAATACTGAGTCCTGTCCCCGGAAACAGCCAATCACAACCGCCCTTAGAAAGGCTATCCACGCAGAGTGCCTTGAAGAGGCGTGCCTCATCAGCTACTACAATGTACGGAGATCTGGATTGGCTAATATACAGTGATTGACAGGTAAAACACCCAATGATCTCGTTTAGTCGGTAAACATGATCCAGAGGAATGGTGCTTTTAAAAAGATATTTCCTATTGGCTGCATGCCATTGGAGTGACAGCGCTGCTCACCAATGGTTTAAGGGCATTTTTGCCAACCTCCGCTCCTATTGGTCAGTGTTATTCTGGACTGCTGGCTTCTGTTCAGTGAATAGGAAGAAGCTGCTGCCTGAGGCCAACAGCAGAGCCCTATGGATAAGGTGTAACTGGATCAAGTAAGTGAGTAGAGCTGTTATATTGGGAGCTTCCTATAGGACCTGCTGGCAGGTGATACAGGGCTTTGTCCTTATAATGTCATACATTGAGCTGGAGCTGTGATTAGCATGATATGAGAACTGTAACATTCCACATTGATCATCAGCATTCTAATGGGAGTTCTGGGCAGAGATTTATTATACTGAGTATATTTATGTATATATAGTGTGTGTGTGTGTGTATATATATATATATATATATATATAATTTTACTGTTTTTCCCCCAATGGATTTAATAAATTGACTGGCTAGAGATGAACAATGGGGTCATTGTTCCATCATTCTGATTTCTGGCTATTTATAGGGCTGTTATATGGCAACTATGTACAATTCTTTTGTTTATGAATAATCATGTGATATATAATTTCTAGGAAATGTATTTCTAATAATGACTGAGAGAGAATGTTATATAGGATTATTTGGCCATTCTATGCATTATCTATTACAGTAACATCATACATGGATTTTTACATGTGATGTAGGTGTACCCGTTTATCCTGGTTAGGATTCCGATATTATTCCTTAGAATTCAGAAATAATTGTAAAATAAGTGTTACATTTCAAATCTATTAAACCTCCTCTTTTGAAGGAACACTCTGTAGTAGTTATGGTGCCTCGGGTGCCCTGGCACCGTCTGTGTAAGTAGTCGAACTGTTTTCTAATGGTTTAACTTCTTGCTCTGGGCCCGCTGTGCGCTGCTTTCTACGTGAGCTAAGCCCAGCAGTGCAGGATTTAGCTCATTGGCTGAGAACTGATACTCAATCATTAAGCTGGCCCTGCACTGTAGGACTTGTCTCAGTAGAGCTAACATAAGATTCAAGCAGGAGCTTTCAGCTCTTAGACCAAAAGTGAAAAGACAGGAAGAGGTGCACAATGGCATCCCATGGTAAGGCGTCTGTAACGGAACTCCCCGTACTCTGACCGAGTACCTTCCGTTGATGGACGCTTTCTAGCTTGCGCCGAGGACCACAAGCACCACACCGGACACCACAACCACCGCAGACTCCACAACCGCCGTAGCTTAACTGGAGTCTCGCCGTCTTCCTTCCACCCTGGATCAGCCTCTGTCCTCCAGGACCGTGTGGGAATGACCTCTTCCTTCCACCCTGTATGAACCTCCGACATCCAGGACCGTGTGGGGAAGACGAGAGGAGAGCGTACCAGGAACAGCTCTTAAAAGAGCTAAGTGATTAAAGCTCAATGAAGTATGCAGAGCATAGCAATCCCCAGTGTGAGTATAGCTGTCCCCTCCAATCACGAGACAAGGCTACGTGTTGAGGGTGAAGAAGAACTGTTTTAATTGGCATCAAAGGGCTTTCTTTTATGCAGGTTTTCCCTACATAGGACCACCCACAGGGTTTTTCAGAACAACCAATAAAAACATTACAACACATACAATAAAGTAAACCACCCCATTCATCCCAGCAGAAATCCTCCCCTCTGCCTGTGATACAATTATCTCAACACAATAGACTAACTTAATTATCACAGGCAGAAAATATACAGTTTTTACACATACACTGTAACTTTAAAACCCTAACAGCCAATCTTAATATTATTAATCAGCATCCTTTTAAATATAAACATACTCAAAAATCATAAAAATCCGTCCAGTAGATAGAAAGTTAGACGGAAGTCTATTGTGACCGATCGCAAGCACATTTTCATGCCCAAAACAGTTTTATGGATTTGGCCTGTGCGGTCGGTCTATTTTACACTGAAAAAATGACTAAGGCCCATTTGAACGAGCATTCGAATCTTCAAACGGGACTTGGTCTCCAGCCGCAGTGTCGAAGTGCAAGAGAAGGTAGGTGTCAGCGGAGTTCGTTGAAATGTGTAGCCAATTTCAGTTTCATGGATTTGGCTACACATACCGCTGACCTTGTTTGAATGAACAAAGATGGCCGCCGCCACGTGTTCGTTTGCACGAACTGAGGCCACCCAGCGGTCGGCAATTTAACTACAGCAGGCTCCCAGCCTGGGAGGTAAATTGCCTGCACACTTCCACTACTGGGTGGTCCGCCTGTATGGTACCCCATTTACTGAACCAAGTGTAAAGAAGCCATGAATAAAGTACTTTAACCAAGTCTGGGGACACAGTCTTAAAGGGGCATTGTCCCAATTTTCCCCATGTCACAAAAATGTGCTTAAAGGTCGAGCACCAGTCCAGTGAAAGTTCATAAGCCCCCATAATGTTCTTAAAGGGTCACACACCCCCGGGCCATAGTCGCAGGGCAGAAAGCTGGCAAGCAGGCCTCTCCAGGACCAAGTGGCGAAGGGCACTTTGTCACAGCGTCAAACCCTTGTCTTGACAACTTGCATTGGTGGTGAGCATCAGGACACTACTATAGCGCAGGGGTGCCCAAAAGGTGGGTTCCGAGGTTTTCCAGAACTATAACTCACATGATGCTTTGCATGCCTTTTAGAATGACAAGGTGTCATGGAAGCTGTAGTTTTTAAAACATCTGGAGATCTACTTTTTGGCTACCCCTGCGGTAGAGGTTTTGGAGCTTGGAGTATTCCTTTAACCCCTTAAGGACCAAACTTCTGGAATAAAAGGGAATCATGACATGTCACACATGTCATGTGTCCTTAAGGGGTTAAAGGGACACCGTAAGCACAGAAATCATTTAATCTTAAAGGGAACCTATACTTCTGAAAATATCAAACACTATTCCCTTCTGTCCACCTCCTTTGCCCTGTGAAAATTAAAATCAAGATTACTTACCTACTGTAATTTTCAGCGCCAGGACTACTGTGTTGCAGCCTCCAGTGATGTAAACAAGCATGCTGACGTCACCCACGATCTCGCCCAAACCAATGCCTTTCTGAGACGAGCATGGGATTGGAGAGCGCATGCACGTCAAAATGCTGTGCTCTTCCAATCAAGTGCTGCTATCATCAGCATTTGATTTGAAAGCCACTAAAGCTTAATTCAACCCTGCATTCTAAACATTACCTTTAAAAAAAAAAAAAAATTGCAATATTTTACATTGCAGGGTTAAAATGACAGAACCACTGCACTGCATTGAAGAAGTGGTTTCCATCACTATAGTGATGTGGCTCTTTGCCCATTTACCTGTCTTGATTACATTTGCCAGTTCTTCCCTATTCATTTTTTTGGAGGGGGGAGGGGGGTGTCTTTTCCTTTTTTCCCTGGAGAAATCAGGAAAAAATATACTTAAATAAAATAGGATTTAGGTTTTTATCTCTTTCCAAAAATAATAGTACTGAATGTCGTTCCACCTACAGAATTATTTCAGTCATGTGAATTGTTTAAAATACCAGTTCAATAGCACATTTTGCAGATTTTGGTGTAATACATTTTGGAAGAACTATGCAAATTATGTGCGTGTGTACATTAAATTCACAGATTACCAGTATTTTATAAACTGCTGGGGTTTTTTTATCACTAGCTTTCATTAACTGATCTCTATATGAAATCAGTAGTTATAGTTTTTTATTTGTTTTAAATTGCATCTTGCTGCATCCCACAAATCATTTTATAATTTGTTCTCTAGGTGAAGTCTACACCTTTTTTTTTTTTTTTTTTTTTTTTAAACATGCAGAACTTGGGTAAGATCTCCCAGTCTAGAGGAAAGGCAGGTAAGTTGTATTCAATCTTAGAATGCCAAGGAAGGCCAAGCAGGCTGTAAACAGACAGAAAGTAAATAGGGACAGTCCTGTTTGAAGGGAGCACAGAAGGTCAACCTAACAAGTAAACAAACAGAGGACAGGGATAGCAGAGGACAGCAATGTCTAAGTAATGTCACTAACTTCTTGAATGATATGATCAGGAACTCACACAAAGACTGAAGAAAAGCTTGCAGACTTGTAAGCCTTAGTGCAATATTATTGTATTTTTTTTATTGTTTTTTTTTATAATTTTGTAAAAGATCCAGCATAAAAAAAAGTGACAACAAGCAAATAGCAAGTTGAGTATACTTGGCTGGATTCAGAGAAGCGATGCCAGAAAGTGTGTGACAATTGACACAGAAATACAAGATAAAAGCCCATAAGGCATCAGAGAATGTGAGAATCACCACGTGTGGCACAACAGGCAGTGGTGTATCCTGGTTTTGTGCTGCCCTAGGCAGGACAAAACTCAGGCGCCCCCATCCCCCCGCGCCATGCCCACCTTCTAAATATACACACACACACACACACACAGACACACACAGTCAGACACACAAACACACACACATACACAGTCAGACACACACACTCACATTAACACTTTTTAAAATTTTATTATTTAACCCCTCCTCCCCCCCCAGCCTCCTTACCTTTGGGAATGCTGGGGGTCCAGTGGCTGGGCGGGCAGCTGGCGAGGGAGCACTTCCTCTGAGCTGACTGCTCAGCTCCCTCGCGCGCCGCAGAGTGAGGCTGGGAGCCGGAAGATGACGTCATCAACCCGGCTCCCTGCCTCACTCTGCGGGCTGCGCGCGAGGGAGCTGAGCAGACCGCTCAGGGAAAGAGCTCCCTCGCCAGCAGCCCGCCGGACCATCAGCCAGCGCCGCCCAGCGCCGGCATGTCAGTTAGCCGCGAGGCTAACAAGACATTTGCCCTGGGCATTTGAGGGCGGTGTTTTTTTGCCGCCCCCTGAAAAATGCCGCCCAAGGCAAATGCCTTGTTTGCCTCGCGGCTAAAACGCCCCTGACAACAGGGCAGAATTAGAGCAGTAACAGTGGCATGCCACTGCAGAATGGGAGCACAGATACTGGGTAAGAGCATTTCTGCGGGATCTCAATCAACCCAAGTAAAAAAAAAAAAACGAAAACAAAATCTAAGCTCTGGCAATGGCAAACTGAGACCAACAAATTTCATAAAAGAAGGGTAAAATATATAAACCTGGTCACATTCTTCGTTTCGTTTTTTTGTGGTGTTTTTTATTTTTTTTTTATTTTTTTGGGGGGGACAAAGAATGGTGCTAATTTATATAATTTGCTCATTCATTTATTGCTAGTATCATCGTGAACACACTATTTCACTGTGAGTATTGGCTAATGGTAGTCACCGTCTCCAAATACATATGTTTGGTATGCACTATGCAACCACCGTATAGAATAGCCCTCTGACTTGTACATTTAAATTCATTTTAGTTACATGCGCCTAAATGGAAAAGACAGTCTTGTATTTTGGTTTATTTTGTTTCATCTCATGGTCACATAAGATTCCAGCCTTTTTCAATGTGGCACATTGTTCTGAACGCAGACAGTCAGGAGTCAGTCTCCCCGTCTGACATTTGCTTGGTGTTTTTTTTTTGCCATAGTACTGCCCTAGGGGCAGTTGTACTTCGTACAATTCGTACTGCATTGCATAATTTAGCAATCTTTGTTCTAAGGCAATGTTTCTATAACCCCTCGATGGGACACATTTAGATCCCCGTGCCATTTTATTGGGTCACGATAAGATGGAAACAAACCATTCATATTCAGCAGACCCCAGGCAAATGCTTGCAATATATTGTTTGTTTTTTTGTTTTCTTTAGTACTGCCTTCTCATCTAAAACTTGGAGGTTTATAAAGGTGTTTTATATATATTTGCAGTACATCTTTTAGTACACATTATATTACTACTGAAGAATGGCTCATTAAGGTAATATTCCAATTAAGATATAAGTGAAGGCCAATAGGCCATGTATACAATTGTAGATCCCTATCAAAAATATTCTACAGAGTAAATGGAATTTCATGACAAAGTGATCAAAATACTTTAAAGTCTATTGATTTAAAGGACCACTCTAGGCACCCAGACCACTTCAGCTTAATGAAGTGGCCTGGGTGCCAGGTCCTTCTAGGGTTAACCCATTGTTTTATAAACATAGCAGTTTCAGAGAAACTGCTATGTTTATCAATGGGTTAAGCCTTCCTCTGAAGCCTCTAGCGGCTGTCTCATTGACAGCCGCTAGAGGTGCTTGTGTGCTTCTCACTGTGAAAATCACAGTGAGAGCACGCAAGCGTCCATAGGAAAGCATTATGAATGCTTTCCTATGCGACCGACTGCGCGCGCGCATTCAGCCGACGGGGCGGATCGGAGGAGGAGAGCTCCCAGCCCAGCACTGGAAAAAGGTAAGTTTTAACCCTTTTCCCCTTTCCAGAGCCAGGGCGGGAGGGGGTCCCTGAGGGTGGGGGCACCCTCAGGGCACTATAGTGCCAGGAAAACAAATGTTTTCCTGGCACTATAGTGGTCCTTTAACCCCTTAAGGACACAACTTCAGAAATAAAAGGGAATCATAATGGAATATTTCCGTCATGTGTCCTTAAGGGGTTAAGATGATTATGCCACTTGTATGATTTAAGGCAAACTGATATAAGTAGGGTACTCCACAAGTTAGAACACGGCATATTTATTTACCAGACTGGCACTCCATTTTTAAATTTAAAAACAAAAGAAATACACTTTCAGTATATGGGGAGCCCAAGAATGGCGCTCAAGTGCCCAGCCATAGTAAGATCATATGAAGACAAACAAAATTTGCAGAAGTGGTAATATAAAAAATGAAACAAAACAAAAGATAAAACCACAATAAAACCTTGCCATCTATGAAAACTTTATATCATCGTCGTCCTCTTCTTTGTCATTTGAAAATGCATTTTATGAACAGCTGCAATATGTTGGCTTTATATGAATGATAAGGTAACACCTATAGCTTAGAATATGAAATACAATTGCATGAACATTTCTCTAGCATTCAAACTTTTGTGGTCTTATTCAACTGAATTGCAAATTTTGACTAAAATTATAGATGTGGAAAAACTTGACTATTATTTAAGCACAATTTTTATTTATTTATATTTCTGTGTAGTAGTGCTGGTGAAACCTTCCTATGTTAATTACTTCAAGATCCAATTTGTAGGGCTGTATGCTAAACTATTTGTGGATGACTTTATACCTTATGAAATGATTCTAAACCCTCTGTTGTTGGGGTAGCAGCTGATTATTTCCAGAATGCCAAGGACTTCGAAAAAGACGTAAGCAAAATCAAAGCTACGTGTTTTTACACAAACAAAACCTGGCCATTTAAACCAATTAACATTAACCAAAATTTTAACCAGAGACTTTCTGTCACTTTGTGCAAGAGAGCAAAATTATTACTATACCCTTCATCTAATTCTGCAAGTTATTAATCATTTACATCCAATTTCTGTTCCCTGCATAAAAAGGAAAAGAAAAATAAGCTAATTTTGTTATGTTAATAATTCTGTGATCTTACCTTGTAATATGTTATTACGGGTCTTGGTTATTCTCCTAGCTGAGGTCCTGCTGCTTGTCTTTTGTGACAACAGGTGTTCTCCTGCAAAGGTGACATTCCATTTTGGTTTTCTAATATCTGGTCCAGCAAGTCTTGAAGAATTTCTGCAGAGATGTTTCATCTAAATCTCCTGCCTGTAGCAGTTTTAGCCCCTCTTACCTGTTTGTCAAGGTTTTCTGACCGTTCCAGTTCTTCTGTAGCTCTCCAAACTTCTTCTGTAAAGGGTTATCAAGTGTGAATTGTCAGGAATTTATAATGCATTTCAACTTTTCAGGACAGAACCGTTAAACTGAATGTCTGTCTGTATTTTTCCATTCCAGCTTATTTTGGACTAATATTTGGAATTCTCTTCTCTGGCTAATGCTGTACATCATTGTAGGGACTTTCACTTGAAGGAACACTGTAGGGTTAGGCATACAACATGTTAGTGTTATAGTATCATTAGTAAAAAACAAAACAAAAAAACGCTTTACTTGCCTTTCTTCAAACGTCACGCCAGTCTCTGTCGTCATCCCGCCATTGCTGGAAAGCATTGGGGGACTAATGCGCATGAGCGGCAACATCCATTTGCGCCAATCTGCATCTCTTCGTTGATTCAGTGCATCTCTATGGGGAGCGTTCAGTGACTCCATGCAGATTGTGGAGATGTTGAATGTCAGTCCTGTAATCTTTGCAGAATGGAACCCAGGAAGCCCTTCTAGTGCCCATCAGAGGCGGCATTGGTCAGCAATGTAAACACTAAAACTGCTGATTCTGCAAAGACAGAATCTTTACCCTAGAAGCACTTTGTAAAGCCTTTTAACCTTGTTAGTCCTGGATGTATGCTCCTTTTTAAATATATAGCGTGTATGTATAATACACACATACTGTGTCTCATGTATTACAGGAAAATGTAATTGAGGGGTTCTATCCTAATAAGCTACCCAATTAAGTGTTTTTAGAAATGTCTCCAGAACCTAGACATTATTTTTCTATAGTACGTGTGCGTTTTTTGATCTTGTTTCAGAGCCTGTCTGATGTGTCTACCTAACGGAATCCTTACGCATGTTTACACAAGATCAATGGTTTTATATCCAAACCCTCAGCATCTCTCAAAATAATACACATTATTTAAAATTTGCTGAAATATTATCTGTCTTGTTACAGACCCGCATGCTTCATGTTCGGTTCAGTCTGCCAAACTAAAGGATTTTTATTTTCGGTGCAACTAATATGAAATAATTGGGATATGATCCATGCCAGGACATGATTTTCCTGTAAGGTAGAGAACTGATGATAGTCTTTGGGATTTGATTGACACACAGTGCCACCTTGATGCTAGTTATCTAAACAGCATGAAAATGTATTACTATTCTAGGTGGCATGGATAATTCAGACCAGGGAGAAGGCCTCCATTTACATACAAGGGATGTACAATCTTTCAGCCTAATTTTAGGTCTATGGGCTGTTTCCAGGTGAGCCTTATTTATTTTTTCAGTTTTGGTTCTTCCTTGCAGTAATATTACAGATAGTGCAGCATATTTAACCCCTTAAGGACCAAACTTCTGTAATAAAAGGGAATAATGACATGTCACACATCTCATGTGTCCTTAAGGGGTTAAACGAACACTATAATCACCAAAACAACTTTACCTTAATGAAGCAGTGTTTGTGTATTGATCATGCCCCCACAGTCTCACTGTTCCATTCTGTGCAATCAATTGGATGTTAAATTACTTTAGCGGTATAACCCTCCTGCACTGTAAATTGAACTTTGGTCACACACAGGAGGCTCCTGAAGGAACTAGCAGGCTATTGGCAGAGCAGGAGATAAGAAATTCTAAATTAAACGGAATGTACAATAAAAGAAGTTTAAACATTAGCTCTTTCTTTGCAGTGTTTAGAAAGACTATGCAAGCCACATCCAGGGAGTTGTGACTAGGGCTGTATAAACAAAGTGATTTAACTCCTAAATGGCAGAGAATTGAACAGTGAGACTGCAAAGGCATCATCTATGCACCAAAACTGCTTCAGTAAGCTAAAGTTGTTTTGGTGACTATAGTGTCCCTTTAAGTTTGCAGTAAAAGACTTCATGAAAAGACCATATGATTTTAGATTTTGTCACCGGTGCCGTGCATTCTGCATGCGATGTCCATGCTTTATTAGAAATATATCCGTGGATTTTGCTGGTGAACATTGTATGTGCACTTGTGAGGTTTATTCACACATTGACGTTAGCAGTTTAGTGATTAAAGGGCCTCTCCAGTGCCAGGAAAACAATCAGTTTTCCTGGCACTGCAGGGCCCTTCTCTCTCCCAATCCCCAGTTGCTGAAGGAGTGAAAACCCCTTCAGTCACTTACCTGAGACCCCCGCCGATGTCCCTCGGCGGTGGTTTCAGATCGTCGCCGCTCTTCCCAGTCATTACGTCGGCCGGTGGGCGAGACTCATCCCGGCCGCAGAAACCTAATGTGCATGCGCGGCAATGCCGCACATGCGCATTCAAGCTCTCTATAGGAAAGCATTGAAAGTGCTTTCCTATGGGGAATTGAGCGATGCTGGACATCCAGCGACACTCTAGCACAGGTTTTCTGTGCTATGGACAAGGAAGTGCCCTCTAGTGGCTGTTTAGTAGACAGCCACTAGAGGTGGAGTTAACCCCTGCAAGGTAATTATTGCAGTTTATATAAAAAAAATAAAAAAAATGCAATAATTACACTTGCAGGGTTAAGGGTAGTGGGAGTTGGCACCCAGACCACTCCAATGGGCAGAAGTGGTCTGGGTGCCTGGAGTGTCCCTTTAACCCTAACAGACATAACCATTCAGTGTCTGTTTATCTGTTATTTGGCTTTAGAATCAAGCTTGTTCTGCTCCATATGTCCAAATATTTTATTATGTGCCTTCTGCTCTTGTTATATTAGCAGAATGGTGTGAATTTTGTACATGACACTATTTTGCCAGGAAGAACATGCCGCTGAAATGTTCTAGTAGTATTTGCCTCTCAGTCTCTGAATATTTATTGATTTTCTTCATCTCCGAATACCATGTACTCTTCTCTAATTGCTAATTACTGTGGCAATATGTTCTCTCAATACAATTAGCTCCTTTAACCACATAATGAAGCACATAAAAGCTGCATTTCCATACCAGTCTTTCTTATCCTGTTGGTCTAGCTAGAACTTGTGATAAAGTCTTATCGGCTTGTCAGTCGCTTTAGCAGAGCTCTGCAACTTTTTAACCCCTTGAAAACTGAAACCCTAAAATGTTCACGTTATCTTCTCCTTGGATGAAGGCTTATTACACAGACAGCTTAGGACTTTCCGATTTAGTGTGTTCTGTAGAATTGAGCAAATTTGCAGCATAAACATGGTCTGATTTCCCAAAAGGCCACAGAGGCCTTTGGGTGGCACCAACAATGGAGAGATGAAAGACCTCCCTTACTGGCCAGCCCATTCTCCTGCCATGGGGCTGGGACCAACTGGGTAGACCAAAATGACCGGATTTGCAGAGTCGGTGCCCTTGTAGAGAAAGGGCCTCATCAAAGCTCTACCTCGCCTGCCAGGCTGTCCTGATACTTCCACTGTATCGAAGTGTTATTGTGGGTTAATAAAGCAACGCTCGGTTACATTACCCCCGGAAAGAGTTGTCTGAATCCACCGGAAGTGGAGCAGCATCCCCACTGGACCACCAAAGATCAGGATTTTCTCCTCTCTGGCCTAAGGTAAGTCTCAGGGAAATGGGAATAAACTTGTTAGGATTTTTTTTTTTTTTTTTTTTTTTAATAATAATTATTTTTTAATGCCACCTGCTGGCCACTACAGCCCATGTTTCCCCCTCAACACACACACAACAGCTCCCTTCTCCTCCCCAACCAACACACACTACAGCCTCTATTCCCCCCACGTATACACTACAACCATCATCTCCCACACATAGTACAGCCACTATTCCCCTAAACATACACACTACAGATGCAACATACATCCCCTATTAACATGCTCGCACATACATACTACACCACAAACAGACCCATCCACACACAACCCCACAACAGCCTCCCTCCCACACATACAACTTTACAAGCATCCTTGTCCCCCATACACACCGCCATACAAGAAGCCTCCCCCTCATACACAATCCCAAAAGCAGCTCCCAGAAACAAGCAACACCACAAGTAGCTTTTTTCACAAATGCAACACCACAAGATGCCATATCCACACTCTCAACCCCACAAACACATATACCACAAACAGTCACCACACACATACACACACCCTCCCCCAACCATGTCCCACGTATCCAGCCACCCACCATTCAATCATACCCTAACCCAGTCCCTGGGAATAAAACAAGAGCTGGATATCGCAGGACGGCCTTGTTTTGCTGGTGAAACTTTTATTGACAGCCGCTTCTGCCTAGCACTCTGCAGAAGGCTCTACATGCATTAATACATCTATACTGTCTGGATTGTAATAGTCTTGTTCTGATGTAACCTGTCATTATTATTTTAACTATATTCTCGTCCTGCAGGAAAATGACATTTCTAGGAGTAAAGTCGGGATAGCAGCCTGCGCTGCACTCTCCCACGTATTGACATTTTACATAATTGTCTACAATGACAGTTGTTCAGGCAGATATTCTAAATGAAATTATGTAATTTTTTTAATATACATTTTAATTAGATTTAACTGGAAATAACATCTGCTCATCTCTGTGAAATGCTATGTCCCATTGGAAATGAATGTTGGTGCATTCATTGGTTGCACTATAACAGGGGTAGGAACCGTTTTAGTAGTAATATGTCAAAACTAGATTTTGAAGTCCCTTGGCATGCCGGTCCCATCCCTTTTTTTATTGTGGTGTGTATGTTGCCGCATTCTGCTTGTTATTTATGGCTGCTGTAGTTGCTTTGTAGCATTAGTTTTTGTGCTTATGTGGGCTATATTGTATTAATGTACAGGAGGGTTTTGTGATATTACGTGTGATATTAGTCGCCGTATTCAATGTGGGGTGGTCTGATGTACCTTTGACCCTGTTTCGTACCTGTACACTCTACCTGCATGTTGTATTACTATCCAAAAATATTTCAATAAAAAAATAAGATACTATGAATGTGGGTTATGTGTGTGTATGGATGGTATGTCACTTTGTGTGTTTGGTGTGTGTATCTGTGAGTCTGCTTGTGGTATTGCATGTGAGAGACTGCTTGTGTTTTGCCATGCCAATGCCCCTAAACATTTCTTGTAAGATTAAAAAAAAGGAAAACTCACAAGAAGTAAGTGTGAAAAAAAAAAAAAGCTCTTAAAAATGGCTAAATAGGAGTAGCTCATGTTACATACCTGTGAGGGGAATACCTTTTTCCCCTCACCTTCATACCAAACCAAACAAACAATTATCAAGATATGATCTGAATAATAGATGGGTGGCGCGCTTAAATAGTAAATCGTAGCATGCAATGATTGCTAACCCCCTTTATAAGGACAGAAGATAGACGTAAGTCTTCCGCAGAGCGTCACGTGACCACAATCCTTCACGGTGGCGACCATTTTAAAAAGAGCATTTGAACCTGGAAAATACTACAGTCAACTAAGGAAGCCCACATCAGTGAAACGCATTTTGGCATATCAAAACTGGACCTTAGAGACTGATAAGTGCTTGATATTTGATTTTAATTCAATTTATATATATATTTTTTTTATTATTCATTTTGTTTAATAAATATCAGTTTTTAGCACTCCAGTATGTTAATATAATATGTCCAGATTCTAACCAGCATTTTTGGGCTCTAATGAAGGTGAGAGTCCCCCTTTTAAAACATGTAGTTGTTTTACTACTTTCAAAGATATCCTGCACCATTATATTTCCTGCTTTTTCTGTCTTGTCCCGAGAGAGGAATTCATATGATGAAGGTGAGGTGCCACCTATATGAGCACCACCGCACTTATATAGAGCCTTAATTCTCAGGCTCTGTACATTTTATTTATGTACAAGTACCATCTGCACTAGTGTTTCTTTTATGTTTTATCCCCTTTTTATGTATCCAAGTACACCAGGATTTCCATACTTGTATCAAAGGTGTAAGCAATCATTGTATACTGAGATTTACTATTTAAGCGCTCCACCTATCTATTATTAGGATTATATCTTGATAATTGTTTGTTTAATTTCTTGTAAGAAGTCAGATTTTTTTCCCTTTAATTTATATACAATTATTTTAAGCCAATATATAAGCACTGAGAAGTTCATTTTTAATCTTTTACCTACCATCCAACAACGCCGTTCAATGCATTGTCCTTTCTGTCTGCCTCTTTCCCATCTTCTGTCGCTGTAAACATAACTTGTAACCTTGTACCTTATTTTAGAAAGTCACATCTTACTACATTCTAAGGTCCCCTCCTACAGGGACTGTCATGGGAACCATGTATGCACCATGCATCACTAATTACATTTTATTATTATAGAGGTCAAACATAGCCATTGTTACCCATGGGGGTCTATTATACGATGCATGGTTGGCCTCTAAAGTCACCAAGCTAAGATGGCTAACATATTAATGAACATGGCTAGATTGGTATAAAAATAAGGTGTTCAAAAAGTTGGAGTTCCTAGGGTGTAGATTAACTAGATCTCCCTTGATGCTCAGCTAACAAAAAGGTTAGCAAAGGCACACTGAATGTGTAGCTTTTCAGCAGCTGGTTGGCTACCTTTTGGGCCATACCAAGTCTAGAATAAATAGCCAGTTAATCGTTAAAAAGGCATCTACGTTAAAATACGGGTGTTCTTTATGTATTAGGTGTCACGGTTTGGAAAGCAGATTCCACAATAAATAAATAATATACTTTTATATAAAAATTTATCCTATTTTCCATTTATTTACATACATTTGTTTTTCCTCTGTTGAAGGGGTGGGGATGCCATCTCATGCATTAAATTCTTTTTTTAATATGTTTTCCGTTTGCCTAGATATACCCTTTCATGCTAAATACAGTATTTGCGTTCTCATTCTGAAGTACAAGAACAGAATGCTCTGTCTAAAATAACTAGTGGTACCAGCAGACGTTTATGAATAGGGACTCCATTAGTTATCTTTAAAAGCCTTGTGGCGGATGTGTACACATGCCATTCAATATCCTCTTAAGTGTATGTTTTTAAAATGCAAATTAATATTGAACGCATGGATATATGCTTTTGATTGATTGGATTATAACCCCCTCGTGGCTATTGCATGGAAAATATGTGTGTTGCACATATCTGTTACAGAGTATCACAAAAGGGGAGTAGGGGGTTACTAATTAAATTATTCTGTAGTACAATACATTCACTATAATTCTATAATTTAGGAATATTAGTTTTATATGAAATGCCGCCAAGTTAAAACCTAAAATAAAAAGATATTTTTATATGAAATTAGATGTACAGTGTTTTGTATTGCGTAAGCAGCTGGATTGTGCCATCTCGGTCTTTTGCTCTCTCACCCTCACTCTTGCTCTCTCTCTATAAAATATATATATAGTGTGTGCGCTTATATTATTTATTTATAAAATATTTTACCAGGAGAGATACATTGAGGTTACCTTATTTAGAAAGGTACATCTTACTGCTTTCTAAATCCACCTACAGGGACTCTCATAGGAACCATGTATGCACCATGATATATATATATATATATATATATATATATGAGAGAGGAGGCTGGCACTTATGATCTTCTTAAAATTCCAAACTTTATTGAGGTATTTTTAAAAACAGGTGCATGTATGTATATCTATACTACATAAATGTGTTTAGAAATCAGTCTATATAAATAAGATACATTGTTCTTGTTCTGAATTACATTTAAGTTGCATAAATTAAGTAACATAAAATTTATCTGAAAAGCTCTGCCCCTGGCTACACACTGATAACATTAAAGTGTTCCTGTGTGTTGGTTTGAAATGTTGGAAGTTCTTTTTATCTAAAAAAAAAAAAAATTGTCGTGTGTGTGTGTGTTTTTTTTTTGGTTTTTTTTTTGTACCTTCCTCATTCTTGGGTCCTCTACCAGAGGTCTGAGGGTTCTGAGTTTCTTCTGGACAGCGAACTCAGATATCCCACCTGGAATCTGTTGAAGCCACAACTTGGGGGTCACAGCTCCCCCATGCTCCCATCACAAATGGAATTACTACTGCTTTAACTTTCTGCATGCTTTCGTGCTCCTCTTTCAGTCCACACTCTCATGTTTCTTCTTCCTGATGTTAGTCACATGGCCACCATCACTTCAGTCTTCTGTTCCTTATCTACATGATGTATTGAATCTTTGGTGTTGTTTCAAATCCCCTTTTCAGTATTGCTTATGTACTGACTCATATGCCCATCGATCTTGGAGACTGATGCCTGACAGGACCTTCCATGTTGTAGGGAGGCAGGTAATTGGTCTGTAGGTAAATAGTGTTGTTCTGCCATGTTTTAGCCAGTCAGGGTGGGAGCCTGTTGCTATTAGCTGGTGTATTTGTGCTCCTAGGTGTTCATGCAGTATTGTTCGTTTCTTTATCCTGTGGGTGTGGATCATGTTAGGTCCACCTGACCAACTATTCATGTGCGACACTTGTAGGTCTCTCACTGTGATGGTGACTGGTTCCTGCTCTGGAAGCATGCATTGGTCTGTTTTCAGGCTCTACAAATCCAATGTACCAGGTCCCATGGCGACTAGAAATTTGTCAGCCTTTTACCCAAAGCGTATGACTGGGCAAACAATGGAGCCGGCAATCCTCTTGCGGAAGCATGGAGGCACGTGGCTCAGAGAGCGTTGTAGCTGACCTCCCTGGGCTGTATGGATGCGGCCAGCTCAGAGAGTATTGTAGCCGACCTCCTTGGGCTGTATGGAGGCTTCTGACTCAGGAAGCGTTGTAGAGGTAGCGCGCGAGAGAGCAGTGATCTTCCTGCAGCTCCTCTCTGCTCCCTCGCACTTAATGTTTAATGATGTCGGGAGCCAGAATATGATGTAATTCCGGCTCCGGCATCACTACTGGGAGAAGAGGAGCTGCAGGTAGATTACTGCTCCCTCACGCGCAAATAGAGTGTGTCCCTTTTTTTTCCCACGCCGTACTGATTTTGCCACGGCTTGACCCACATCCATAGCGGAGATCATCAATCTTTATAATCTCAGCTTAGCCAATGCTTTCCCGTTGGAAAGCATTGGGTGGATATTGCTTATGTTATCTATGGGAAGCATTCAGCGCCTCCATGCAGAGCACTGACACAGGACTCTCTGTAGTGGCTGTCCGAGTTACTGTCACATTGCTGCCTACTAAACCCTCAAGTAACTATTGCCTTTTCTCTGAAATTGCAGCGTTTACATTGAAAAGGCTACAGGGACGGGCTATAAGCACCAGAACAACTACATTAATCTGTAGTGGTTCTGGTGACTATAGTGTCCCTTAAAAACAAAAAAACTGGCTCCTAACTTTATTTGGCTTCTAGATTCCAAACAAATTTTGTCAGGCCATTTAGTAGCCACTGGGCCTTGGTGTAACATGATGCTTCTTTCTTCCAGATATTCTTCCAGTTCAGTCTCTGCTCTGGCTGGGTTTTGGGTGGATATGTTGTGGTCACTTTGCAGCTCTGCATACACTTTTTGAATAATTATTTTGGTAAATAGGGCATTTATTCTCTTAGCCTTTGCATCTCAATCAGGTCTAGGTTCTTACTTTGTGTCCAGGAATGGTTTGTTCCAGTAGCCCACTTGTCGTCAGATTTCCCTGGTTCCCTGGAATCTGATGCGGACCTTGTTAATACGTGCAACGCCCGAGCCGGCTTGACTCTCATGGTTCGTGTTACACTCGTATTATTGAGGTAGGCGGATACATATCTTTAGGTGCTTTGCACATATATCTATCCTGTTTCTCTGGAATATTTTTGTCTTTTTGGTACCAGACCAGAACTGGCCCCATGTTGATGGGACCCAATAGATGGAAACTGCAGTCCAGGGCTGGTTTCTGCTCACGGATCCTTTTCGGATCACGGCTCATACTTTGGTTTAAAAAAATAAATAAAAAAAGCTGTGTTTAAAAATAGTGTCCATTGCTAAGGGTATCTGCTGAAATGCAGTGTTTAGTCTGAAACACGAATCCTGTTTGTGCTCATTTGGACATGAAGATGGGAACTCTGGGATCGTTGTGAAAACATGATTTCCTGAGTTTCGTGAAGGACTTCTCAAAGTACAACTTGAGATGTGCAAGTTATGCATAACAGTAATGTTATTTCTATATCTCTGTGTTTCTTTAAACAGGTTGGAGAAATATATCAGCCCATAGTAAAAGAAATAGCCTCTCGCCACAGTCGTACTTTAGGAAATGTCTCCGTTAGGGGGTTAGTTCATTTTTAGGTCACTGATCTGCTGCTATTTGACCATTATTTTGTGTTGCGTGTTTATGGAGCAGGACATCTTGTATTATTTTTTTAATTATTTTTTTTTTAAAGCTGCTGCAGATTTGTTTTTTCTCTCTGAAAAAAAGAAGCTGAGCCTTTCCCGTGGGATTATCTCAATTGTTTCCATGCTCTGTCTCTTCCCAGAGTATATTTGGCCAAAGGAATAAAAGATCCATCTGTGATATTATCCAGGAAACATTAGTTGTTGTCATTGGGCAATGACTTCACATTCCCAAGGCCTGCATTTAGTATTTAATCCTGAAAATAACTCCATTTAAACTGGATACTGTGCAAGTCTAAAGGTGACTTAGTCTGGAAAGTCCAGTAACTGTACGTGTGTTCTGTTAATAATCTATAGCGTAACATTTTATCATTATTATTATTTTATTTATATAGCGCCATCAGATTCCGTTGCGCTGTACAATGGGTGACTGCATTTTAAGTGTTGACTACAGATCCTTTCTCTCTGAAGGAAAGAAGACCTTCGTAATTAGCAGTTTGTCCCTTCGATATCACCGGAACATAATGTAGCTGTTGCGAAAGCAACATGTGAGAGTGATGTTGAATATGTGGTCGTATTGCAGAGTAAGTCTGAACTTTACTCTGCATTTTAAATTGAGACTTTGTACAACACAGTCAAGACTGTAAGCTTATGAGCAGAGTTCTCATTGTGTGTGTGTGTGTGTGTGTGTGTACATATATATATATATATATATATATATATATATATATTATTAATATACATTGTGCTGTCTTACTTCATTCCTGGTTTATCAATGCTGAATATGCTGTTATACATGGTATTAATAGATTGTGGGGGGAGGGGGGTGGGATATTTTTATTTATTTTTTTACTTAATAGTTGTAACATAAGCTGTAATTTTATAATTGAATACACATGACGATTCGTTACAAATTTCTGTTCTGCAAACTTACTGCTTATTGCAAAACTGATTCCACTACTTCCTGTTGATTGGTGAATATACAGAGAAACACAAACAGGGTTATTTGTTAAAGTCTGAATTTTCTGAAATTCAAAGTGATTTTCAAACTTTAGGCCACAATAAGTAACCGAATAGCTTTACAAACTATTTATTTTTTTGTACGAATGTTTAAAATAATTTTAGTGAAAGATATATTTTAATTTTTTTATATTTTGAGATATATATTTATATGACATATATGACATTTTTAATATGTTGAAACCCTAAATCCTTTGTAAAGCTCTTTGAATGATATTAAAACAGACCTGACATGGTGACATTGCCAATGGTGGATCGGCAAAGGGTAAGTTTACATTACCTGAACCTGTCCCTGGTGGCTGCCGCCAACATCTTCTGACCGGTCCTCTTCTGCTCTTGAGCCTTCAGTGCCAGGAGCTCACATCACAGCTGTACTTCGGTGCAAGCACTGAGGTCTACTTCACAACGCATTGGCAATTCTCATATTTACCAAAGCCAAATTTTAGCAATATGTGGGTCCTATATTTACTTTTTCCATGTGGCGGCTGTCTAGCAAGTGCTGGTCAGCCGTCACATAATTAACCCTTGCGCTGCTGATGATTTGTAGCTTTTTTACCCACAGCTGTAAATTGCTTCCGATGATGAACGTCATCTGAACCAATGTTACAGAATCGGTCAGACCAACAGAATTCTGTCTGCGTTTGGCTTTACTAAATATGAGCGTTGCCAATGCGGTCGGAATTCGGACAAGGCAGAGTGATGGCATCACCACGCTGTGCAGGGAGGGAAGCAGGAGCCTAGCAGTCCGATTCTAACTCAGTCCGACCAAAAGTGTATGAATATGGCAGAGGGATCTAGTGTTCTGTTAAAGTAGGTTAAATATAATCTCTTCATTACATGCTGCTAGGATTCTGGTGACAGTTGTTCTTTAATGCATAATATTTAACCTGGGACAAATATGAGGAAAGAAAATGTTCATTAATGTTTTTTTTGTTTGTTTTTTTTGTTTGTTTTTTTTAAATGTATTTATTTTTAAACTTGATTTTTGTTTTATTTATTTATTTTTAACTTGGTAAAATATGTTTAAAGTACTTTATACAGCTGGTTTATTTTTGTGTGAGCTTCACTATTTCCTCCTTTTTCTGTTCTCAGTAGGAGAGTCATGATGAAGCTGCCATCTGCTCCGGAATGAAATCAAATGCAGAGATGAAGAAACACTTTAAAAGGTGCAGACCCCCAGATTGAGGAGATTTCTGGAGCTTTTTATCTGAAGCAGTAAGTTAAGCAGTATAGTGATCTGGTAGGAGTGGCTGAATACTGGCTGTATCACATTCTCCCGGGCCTTGGGATTAATGAACCACAATAGATTGACCCAGCTATAAAGTTGAATGTTTCAGTTTCTCCCCCCCACCCCCTCAAATTAATTATAGTCAATTGAATTACTTTAATCAAGCGACCTATATATTGCCGGTAATAGTGTGCACTAAATATCATATATAATGCAAAAGTATCAGAATGCATTTAAACTTAAAATAAAATTGTAATGGCTTTTTTTTCCGATAGTACGAATTAATGTCAGTTGTTGTGAATTATCATTTATTGTTTTTTAAACTATTTATTCATGTTAAAGTAAAACTACAAAGAAAAAAGTCATACTTCCTGTTTAGTTGTGATAATCTTAATGCAGTCTCTGTTATGTTGGATGGGTAGTATGTCTACTTCTGGGAAGCTGAATTATTGAAGTAACAATCATTGTTGGGCACGTAAAAGGCTTTTCCTTATTTGAGTAAATTTTCTTAAATATATATACAAAAGCGGTAAACATGGGATAAAGATATTTCAATTTTTAATGATTAGTTTGGGCATTAATGCTATACTAAATGGTTGCCCTGACACTGATGCTGAAGTTCAGCATTCCTGGTATGCACATATCTTCCAAGTGTCGCTCTGAGACCCAATACATTCTTTTAATAGTTTACAATGTTTGAGGAGTATGTGGGTATCTTAAAACCTCACAGGAAAAAAAAACCAGACACATTCAAGTGTGTTTTACCTTTTTATCAAATGTATTGAAACAAAATACCATTACCTAGCTGTAAATTGCATGCACTGTTAAGTCACCTGTGAGCAAGAGGTCCTCATAATGTAAATGTTTATGGCAGTGACTCTACCATAATATAGATATCCCTCTCTAAATGTCCGTAAGTAAGTCCAGAACAGATGTTTACTAGAAAATCTCATCACCGTGTAGTTCCCTCTGGTAAAGGACCTGCCTCTTATCAATGTTCTTTTTGTTTTCTATCTCCAGAGTTCTCATTATTTGAAGCCATGATAACTGTGACAGAGCTGAGATTTTTGGCTGATGCTCAAACATCTTATCATATTTTGAAGCCATGGTGGGATGTGTTTTGGTATTATATCACAATGGTAATGTTGATGATTGCTGTTCTAGCTGGTGCGCTGCAGCTTACACAGAGCAGGATGTTATGCCTTCCGTGTAAGGCGGAAGCAGACAATCACTGTGTTCACCCACTGGAGCAAGTCATCACAAAGATCAACTTATCAGCTGGTCCCCTTGGAAAAACAAACCATCCTGCTGGAATTCAAAATGACCTCCACAGACAACAATATGCCTATATCGATGCAGTGTGTTATGAGAAACAACTCCACTGGTTTGCTAAATTCTTTCCTTATCTTGTGTTTTTGCACACTATAATCTTCGCAATTTGTAGCAACTTCTGGCTTCACTACCCAAGCACAAGTTCCAGGTTGGAACATTTTGTAGCCATCCTTTATAAATGTTTTGATTCACCATGGACAACGAGGGCTCTGTCTGAGACTGTTGCTGAGCAAACCGTAAAAATGCAAATACGCAAAAGATCGCGGCTCTTGACATCCTCTTCATACAGTGCTGAAGACGATGCAACCAAACAGTCTCTGCAGCCAGGAGTTGAGACGACGACAGTGGAAGATGATGCCTCGAGTGTTCTAGACAAAAAAGAAGGTGAACAAGCCAAAGCCTTGTTTGAGAAAGTGCGCAGGTTCAGACTTCACGTAGAACAAAAGGACATTATATATAGATTGTATATGAAGCAAATTGTGGTTAAAGTAATAGCGCTGCTCGTAATTATTACATACGTATCTTATTTTTTGACGCATATAACATTTGAAATTGACTGCATTGTTGACATTGAAGCTTTTACTGGCTACAAGAGGTACCAATGTGTTTACTCTCTTGCTGCAATTTTTAAAGTTTTGGCTACATTTTATGTTCTTCTTGTATTTTTGTATGGCTTTGCCTGCTTTTATAGTTTGTGGTGGATGCTAAGAAGTTCTCTTAAACAATATTCTTTTGAAGCCGTGAGAGAAAAAAGCAATTACAGTGATATCCCTGATGTCCAAAATGACTTTGCCTTTATTCTCCACTTGGCAGACCAGTATGATCCACTGTACGCTAAACGGTTCTCAATATTTTTGTCCGAGGTTAGTGAGAACAAACTGAAACAGATCAATCTCAACAATGAATGGACTGTAGACATGCTTAGAAATAAATTAACACGAAATTCCAAGGACAACATAGAACTTCATCTTTTTATGTTGAGTGGGGTACCAGACAACGTCTTTGAACTCAATGAAATTGAAGTTCTGCGCTTAGAGCTTATCACAGATGCCAAACTTACCCCAATGATAACCCAGCTAGTCAACCTTAAGGAACTTCATGTGTATCACTCAACACTTACTGTGGATCTACAGGCCCTGAGTTTTTTAGCCGAGAACTTGGAAAGATTGCATTTGAAATTTACTGCAATGGAAAAGATCCCATCTTGGGTTTTCTTTTTAAAAAATTTAAAAGAGCTTCATATCGCAGGATCTCTTGATAATTACAGTACTACCTGCATTGATGGTCTTCAGGAACTAAAGAATCTGACATCACTGTATTTGAAGAGTAGTATTCCCCGCATTCCAGAAGTGGTTACGGACCTGTTGCCCTCACTGGAGAAGCTGTCCATCAATAATGAAGGAAATAAACTGATGATCTTAATTAGTTTAAAAAGGATGATAAACCTCACATGTTTAGAACTGGTCAGCTGTGACTTAGAACGTATTCCACATTCTATTTTCAGTCTGAGTGAACTGCGAGAAATAGACTTCCGAGGAAATAATTTTAAAACAGTTGAAGAAATAATTAGCTTTCAGCATCTACAGAAACTGACCTCTTTGAAGTTGTGGCATAATTCCATTGCCTATATTCCACTTCAGATAGGTGCTTTGGCAAGTCTAGAACAACTCTATTTAAATAACAATAACATTGAAATTCTACCACTTCAGCTTTTCCTCTGCAGTAAGCTGCGGGTTTTAGATTTGAGCTATAACAATTTATCATTTATTCCTGAAGAAATCCAGCTTTTGAAGAATCTTCAGTATTTTGCTGTGACAAAAAACAGTGTAAGTAAAACCTGGTAATTGTTTGTTTTCAATAGGTGTAACGTTTAAAATCTGTATATTGGGTTGGCATGAGGAAGTCAGGGCAGCACTGAGGGAGACTCTGCACTGGAGTAAAGGTGAGTAATGGGGGAATGAGGGTGGGGAATAATAAGGGGCACCTGGATTTTAGTGTTAGGAAAGCAGACATGTATTCCTAACGCTACAGTGTTCCTTTAATGATTGATCCTACCTCCCTCTACTTGTGGTAAGCAACAAGAACAAAATCTTTTGTTAATGCTCTTGTGGTAGAAATAGTGGAAATTAATAAATGTAATTACAATAAAAGGAATGGAGCATTTTGGCTATGAAGAAAGGTTAACAAATTAAAATCTCTTTAGTTTGGGGAAAACACACATCGGAGGGGTTATGATGATGATGATTATTATTAGTATTATAATTATTGCAATTTATATAGCGCCAACAGATCCCGTAGCGCTTTACAATATTATTAAAGGGGGGGATTTGACTATAAATAGGACAATTACAAGAAAACTTACAGAAACAAAGTTTTGAAGAGGGCCCTGCTCAAACGAGCTTACAGTCTATAGGAGGTGTGGTATAAAACACATTAGGACAGGGAAAAAAAGTCAAATTAGGTGGGAGTGGAGCAGAGCTGGAGGAGAGAGTAGAGTGCTGCCCTTTAGGAGAGAGCAAGAGGCAGGTATGTGAGGTAGAGGTTAGTCTGGGAGGCCATAGGCTTTCCTAAAGAAATGTGTTTTAAGGCACTTCTTAAATGATTGAAGACTAGGGGAGAGTCTGATGGTGGTAGGCAGGCTATTCCATAGGACGGGAGCCACCCGCGAAAAGTCCTGCAAGTGTGAGTTGGCCGTACGGGTACGAGCGGCGGACAGAAGAAGGTCACGGGCAGAGCGGACGGACCGAGAAGGGGCATACCTATGGATCTGTGAGGAGATATAAGAGGGGCTAAGATTATTCAGGTATGGGTTAGCACTTTGAATTGATAGCATTATACAAATCTATTTGGGGCCAGTACAAACCATTGTCTAGAAATTCGTTCATAAACAGGACTATACATAGGACACAATGTCACTCATTAAGCTTTAGTCTAAGGCAAAGGAAAGTTTTGGTATTTTTTGTTTTTACAGTAAGAACATGAAGGATGTAGAATTCTCTGCCTGAAGGGGTGGTTTTATCGGAATCTATACAGATGTTTTAACAGCAGTTGGATAAATACTTGCAAAAACATAATATAATATACAGGGGTATCATTTTTAATTAGTGTGGTAATAGCTGCTTGATCCCAGGAGACATCTGACTGCCATTCTGGGGGTCAAAAAGGAATTTTTCCTAGTGTGTTGCAAAATTGGAAGCTCTTCAACCGTTTTTTGGTTTTTTTTTTGCCTTCTTTGGATCAACAGCAAAAAAACAAATATGAGAAAGGCTGTACTTGATAGACTCATGTCTCTTTTCAGCTTTATAACTATATGTAATGCTTCGTAATATATAAATCACCAATACAGTTTCTTGGCAGTTTTAAATACAGCTGGGATTGTCCTGAGGCTATTTTGAAGACTGTGCTTAATTGGGGCCTAGTGCATCGTTTATAACGAACACAATGAGATGTCAGATTTATAATACCTGCATAATGATGTCATGTTTATAAATAACCATTTTACTTGCTAGCATGTGTGTTTATATTATGGTGCTTTGGAAGAACTCCTTGGAATAATGTTGAATAAACAGCTTCCATTGTTTCTTTACTTCCAAACTAATTAATCAATGTACAGTGGGCTTATGGGTCTCTGAACCATATACATCTAGTAATTGAAAGAGACAAATTTTAAAAAATACCATCCATTATGGTATGCAAAACACCACTCTATCAGTTGCCTGTGACAGGTATACCTTGAAGGAACCCTGTACACGCTCCAATCCATCCTCCTCCCCCCCCCCACCAATGTTGGGCAGGGAGATGGGAAGCATAATATCCTCTACAGTTTACACAATAACTTTTACAATGCTACATTAAAGCATCCAGTTGAACCAGTGGTTTTTAAGCTCTAGGTAAGGACCTACAATTGGATCCTGCTGCTAGTTCATTGGGTCTCTACTGGTTGAAACAGGCACATTGTACCCCAGCTCCAGACAACTTGCATAGTTTAAATTGTCATCTGTATCAGCATTGCCTTTTTCAATGCATTGTACACTCCGGTGACATTGGTAAGAGTCTAATGACGGAATTTTGTTGTATATTATTGTACAATTGCAAACCAGTCACTTAGCTAATTTTTCAATGTAAGCAAGGCTTACCAAAACGATGCAATTTAAATGCCTATCAAAAACAGTTGCATTTTAAGATCTTCTTTTACTACATTTCAATTTTCTTTAAAGTGTATTTGCTTTAACCCCTTAAAGACACATGCCTTAAACTATCAAGAGTCAAACAATGACATTAATAAAGATAACACGGTAAAAAAAAAAAAAGTTAACCTTTTTAGCTTGTTTAGCTTGTGTTAACAATCACATTTAAATAGAAGCTAATACAAAATACATGTTTTAATGCATATTAAGTGTGTGGGGGTGGGGAGCATTTACTAATATTTTAAAAAACTTTTCTTCCAAATCTGTATCTTTCATCAACTGCAGAGCGAACTTGTGCAGCTAATAAAGATCCACGCCCCCTTTTTTTTTTGCCCAGTGCTTAATAGGAAAGTCATCACTCTGCATTGTCCAGTTAATGAATTTAGGACAAATCGTTCTTGACCAGTCCAATGCATCTCAAAGATAAACAATGGATTGGCAATAACACCGGCACAATGTCATGCACATTCTAACAAGCTATATCTGTGTAAAGTGTGTATATACATTTTATTATATGTATGTCATTTACACTTGGCTATAACCAACTGTTTAACTTATGACTAAACCTATAAAGTGTATTTTTAATCAAATTAACTCACTAGGGAATTTTTATTGGCTCTTTTATCTTTTTTTATTTTTTTTTTATTACGTGCTAACATATTCCCCAGTATTCAATAGCTAAATAAAACTGCAGAAGTATGTTAGGATATACTGGGAGAAAGTTTAACCCCTTAAGGACTAAACTTTTGGAATAAAAGGGAATCATGACATGTCACACATGTCATGTGTCTTTAAGGGGTTAAAGCAAATACACTTTAATGAAAATTGAAATGTAGTAAAAAAAAAAGATCTTAAAATGCAACTTAATACCTGTCCACATAAAATAAACCCAGGGACCAGATCTATAAAATACAGTAGAGTTAATCCAGACGGTAAAATAATTTTTATTTTACAGAGTATGAATAGGATATTATGTTAAGAAAATAGCACTAATGGAGTGACCGTAAGAATTGGGTCAGAGCATGGGGCCAGCATTAAAGAGCTTTATATGCAGTTCGCACATTAACACAAGGATTGTTCATGATTTTTTTCAGAAAACTGGAGCTGTTACAGCGCTGCGGAATATGTTGGCTATATAAATAATTGCAGTGTTTAGTGTAAGGTGGCATATATCTGCGGCAATCTACATTTTACTGCGCTCGATTGGTAACAGAATTTCAGATCTTTTTCAGCCTCTTTTTATGTAGAAGCACATAGACTAATAAGATTTTTATTTTATTTTTTATATTTTTTTCTTTCTTCTGTAGATTGACCTGCTTCCGGATGGATTGTTTAAGTGCACTAAACTTCAGTATTTACTTGTTGGGAAAAACAGCCTGATGACCCTCTCTTCTCAAGTTGGTGACCTGTTGAACCTCATTAAAATAGAACTTATTGGAAACCAATTAGAAGCTCTCCCCCCTGAGCTTGAATCATGCCAGTCATTAAAACCGAGCTGTATTATTGTGGAAAATAATGTGTTGCGCACTCTACCATCCTATGCAAAAGAGAATGGGAAACCACCCCAAAGATAGATGTGATTTAGCAGAGTTCCACCACTATTCATTGCATTCTTTATGAGAAATATAGAGAAGGCAAAATTGATGTTTAATTCAACTGCCCTGTTTATGTATGTGTACCTGTCTGCAAAATTGATGTTTTGTGTTATGTATGAAAACCACTTCTAAGCCAAGAATTCTGCACAAAAAGTTTATGGGAAACTCAAGCAAAATGTGAAACGGCGTGAAGACACTTTGAAGAATAGGTTTGCAGTGGTGGTTGTTGGTCTAGACAACTCCATTCAGTAGAGTAATTGGCTGTTATATACCGCATCTTGGTATAATAACAAAGGGTAACTTAATTCTTTAGATGGTAATTTAAGAAGTTGGGGATTTTTATGATATACTGTTTTCTTTTGGTATACACTTTGTAACATTTTAGACATTACATACATTTTGTAAATGTTTATCTATGTACTATGAATGTATTTTTTCTTTTACAAAGTCGGCTATCTTGGCCATGGACCTCTTTGTTTAGTTGCAAGACTTTTCTAATGAGCAAGTAAGTACAAACCAGATTCCAGACGTATCCTGTAATAATTAATATTTGTGATGCATTAGCAGTGTAGTGTAAGAGAATGTATCCGAAACCTGCGTAGGCTGCTGTATACACCATCTCTAAGAAACGACATGGCTTGCTAAAGCAAGCCATGAGTGACGTAAAACACAGTTAAAGGGACACTCTAGGCAACACCACCACTTTAACTTAATGAAGTGGTTTTAGTGTGTAGATGCTGTCCCTAGTTTTCAACAGTGTCAAACAGTGCTGTGTATGGTGAGGGTTACAGTCTGTGGGGGGTGCTATTGTATGAGCAGGAGTGTGGGGGGGGAGTGACTGTGACATTGTCTGTGAAGGGGTGCGTTGATGGGGTAAGACTGTGTTTCCCTGTCAAATCTCCACATGCAGTGCTGCTCGTTTTGTTAGCTGTACACAAAACTGTTGTGCATAGAGGCAGGCTGTAATCTTGATTCCCTATGGTCGGATGGGCTGCCTGGCAGGTTTGCCCCTCTCGCAGGGTTCCATCAGCTGCTGAACCCAAAACATCTAGTTAAATCAATATGGAGGTGGACTGCTTAAGTGGTACTTCAATAGAAGAAGTGTTATTCCTAGCAAAAGTACTTAATATTGCTCAAGCTCTTGTGATTTTATATGAACTGTCAATAGAAAATCATAAATGTGTATCGAGTTTAGCCAGCCTGACTAGTTTCATTGCCAATTTATATACATAGCATTCCACTATATGTACACCTATATGACCTCTGTTACTGCTGTGTGATAAGATGTGTTGGTGACATTTTAGAGGAACTATAATGGTTAAATCATTGATGGCTCACACGAATGCATCAAATTGTGACTTCACAATTGAGTGTTGTTGTTTTTGGGGTGTTTTTTTTTTTTTGGTGTTTTTGTTTTTTGACTAACATTTTTTTCTTAATTGCACTAAACTGCCAGACAGATTGGATGTATTGCTTCTTCAAGCACAAAACATGAAATTGTGGTTATTCTAAAAGCATGAGGGAATATTAACCCACACTGTACTGTAAAACAAGAATAGATGTGGCTACCTGGGGACATTGGATCAGAATGTGGCCTCAAAATGCATGCCAGGAGCCTATGTCACCTGTGTTAAAGGAGGGATTCAATGGGGAGGAATTTAACTCTTTAATATCCCACAGCATAATTAATTCCTTCGTCCTTAATCACGTTAGTCATAATCTTTTCCCTACTTGAAGAGCAAGGACATGATCTAATGTCTGTTCATGTCAACTCTAATAGTCTAGCAAAATGAAAAACGACATCACTTTGTGGTATATAGCTAATTTGGATACTCTGTAGTGCATCTGATAATGTTTGGGCCATTCTATAACAAACTATTGTTCTAGAAAACATACCACTACTCAACATGAAGACTGCTAAATCGAAAGGCCTCTGGTTACCGTAAGCTTAGTGGATACACTGTACATATTCTCACCACTAAGGTTAATCCACTAAGATCTGCAGTTGCTAGAGAAACTCTTTGCAAACAGAACTGTCAATCATCCATTTTTTTTTATTTTTATTTTACTGGTTTGTAATGTTTATTTTAGAAGCACGACCCTCTCCATAGCTGTGTTTCCAAAGAGATTCTGCAGCAGGTGTATGCCAATTTCACATATTCTGCAGGAGCACAGTGATGGACTGTAAAATGTATTCATCATCCTTCTCTAGAATGCTTCCAGTCTGTAACATTGTGCCAAGAAGTAGAGCAAAGCAGCTAAATAGAAGCTTGTGTTTGTATTTCATATATTCCCAAAGTGAATATTTTTATGCCCTGTAGTTTGTGTGAACCTGTTGAGTATTCTTTGTATTATTGGTTGTTGACATTATAAAAAGATTACAAACAGTCTCAGTCTTGTGCCTTAAATTCCTCAGTATCGCCACTCAAACATTTCTAACAAAATAAACATTTCAGAATGAGGTTATGTACTAATGTTTTTCCTAGTTAAATGCTCTAATGGTACATTAACCCACTATCATATTGTTTCTAATATATTGGAAATTTAAAAGTCAGTGAAAGTATGTTATTACAAACATTTTAAATACATCTGTATCATCCAATCAAATGTCAAGCGTGTACAGGCTGTTTTTATCATAGTTAATTAAGGTTATTGGAACATTATATCTGTAGCAATTTGCAAAAATCACTGGCGCTATAGACCCCCTTCACTGTATGTGTAACATCCGTTTCTTTTTTGAAACCTATTTTCTTCTACAAGTGCAAGGTGTGTGTAAACTAACTTAAAGGGCCACTCCAGACGTCTAAAGCACTTTAGAAAAGTACACAAAATGCTCTGTGAATATATAGGTGCTTAAATAGAATTGTTCTAACATAAGTGCACACGCTACTACACTCAGGTGGATATCTCCCTATCCCACCCCAAAGTGAAGACAAACCATCAAAGACAGGAAGGTGTACTAAAAACCAACCAGAATAGTGGAACGTGTAAGGTGTACTACAAAATACACCTACCCTTGTTCAGGGATGTAGGAATGTGACTAGGAAAGGGAGATAAAATGGGCTAATAGTGTAAAATCATTAGGTTAACAAGTGGACTAAAGGTGTCCAATGGTCCAAGTCACATGGAAATGAGCCTAACAGGACAGGCTCAGATCGTATGGGTGGAAGTATACTAGGTGACTAGGTTCCTTCTAATCCGGTACAATTTGATGTCTCCACTCTGCATCGCTCCACTAGCTGTTCCCTCAGTCGTATTCCCTCCGATCTTGGTTGCATTCTGTCTCCTCTTGCTCTACCTCCTGGCTAAAATATAAAACACCTCCTTCTATTCTGGTGTATTGCTTGCACCCTTCAAATATGTAACATGCAACTATAACCCTGATTTATATTTTAAGCCCAGCTTTAACCCCGACTTCCAATTCAACTACCACCCTATGTACTTGATATGGTTTGCCTCCAAAATCCTTGAGAAAGAAAGTTTTAAACAGACATATTTCCTTGCATTTAACTTGACCTGCTTCAATCTGGATCCCGCACTCATCACTCTGTCGAAACAGCCCTGACCAAAGTTTCCAATTACCTAATTCCTGTGGTCACTTCTAATTCTTTTTGACTAATATGCTGCTTTTGACATTGTTGATCATCAACTACGTCTTCTCATCCTTCACAACCGCGGTCTATGAGACTCTATAGACTCTATTCTTTTTCTGGATTTCCTTTAACCTCTCACAGCCCTCTTCCAGTGAACCTCTTCTGGTTCTGCCTCTCCATCGCGACCCCTCTCTGATAGTGTTCTTCAAGATTCTATCCTCTGTCCTTTACTATTCTCAATCTAAAATGCATCCCATGGTAAACTAATTGGTTATTTTGCCTTACAATATCACTTCTATACTAATAACACTCAAATCTATCTTCTAATCTTTCTCCTTCCCTCTTGAATCGTGTTTCTGAGTGCCTTGCGTTTTCTAACTGTATGGCAGCTCACTTCCTTAAACTCAATCTTTCCAAAACAGATGTTCTTTTATTTCCTCCTCCAAACTTTGTTAAGCCTCTGTTTATCTCCGGCACTACTATCTACTCTACCTCACTGGCACGCTGCCCTGTCGTTCTCTTCAATTCCAACCTCTCATTCACCCCCCTCATCCAGTCAATCACCAAATCCTGTTTTTTCTTTTGATGGAAGAGCTCTTACAATTTACAATCACAAAAGACCAAAATGAGAATCAGAGGACAAGTATAACATGCCATGAACCAGGCATTTTAGTTATCACTGCAAAGAGATGCTGCATTTACTGTAAGCACCACGTGGAGTTCTAGGGCAAACTCGGGAATCTAAAGTATTATATGGAAATAGTGATGTTGCGAACTTCCCGCAAACGGCTCGCCACGGGTTCGCGGCGAGCTCCGGTCAGCTGACACATCCCAGCAGCTTCAACATGGATGCTGTCCAGGAGGTGGGAGGGTCTGCTGGAGATTGGCCGGGATGTGTCAGCTGACCGGAGCTCGCCGCGAACCGCGGCGAGCCATTCACGGGAAGTTCGCGAACGGTTCGCAACATCACTATATGGAAACTCTAAGTACCAAAACCACTACATCTCGGTGTAATTTTTTTTGTGCATAGACCCTTTCCTTGCAGACTGATAAATGTAAATAAACATTGCCATTTGTTAAAAAAACAGTGTTTGCATTTGTTATTTAAAGGGACACTATAGTCATCGAAACAACTCCAGCTTAATGTATTTGTTTTGGTGAGTATAATCATTCCCTTCAGGCATTTTATGCAAACACTGCATTTTCAGAGAAAAGGCAGTGTTTACATTACCCCCTAGGGACACCTCCTGTGGCCACTGCTCAGATGGCTGCTAAAGGTGAATGAATGAGGAGAATGAGCAAAGTATGTGCAGGTGAATGAGTATTTGGAAAGTGCCCAAACACTATTCCTTGGTTTTATAGGACACACAGCCTTACACCTTTCTGTTGAAACCTATACCAGAGCCCTTCTCATTTACTATTATTTTACGAAAATAGTTGTTTATTTTTTTAATATTTTTTCAGCACCCCTGAATAAAATTATAAGAGAACACTACCACACTTTACAGCTGTATGTTTCCTGGTAAACTGTCTCTTTCTTTTTACTGAAAAAGGGAGTTGAATTGGGTGGAGCAACGGTACAGTCGTTTTTGAGGAAAAACAAAAATATATGTATTTTATTCTCATATTTTGCATCAGTAACTATTATTTCATGGCACTATTTTTTTTTTTTTTAACTCCATGTTCCATATATTTAATCTATTTTAACAAGGACTTTTTTCACATGGCATTAGCTTGGTGACTTGTTCTGTAATTGAAAAATTGATTAGTAACCCAAACTGTAAAACCATAATAGTCTCTAATGCTACTTTAGTGCCTGTTTTAGAGGGGACCCATTAAAAAGAAAATGGTATTCTGGTTTTGGTCCAGTATTAAACACCGGTTTAATAACTACACTACTTTCATTAACGTTGCTTTAATATTTACATTACTTTCTTTGTGTTAGTGTGATCAGTATTTTGCTAAACGGTAACACTGGCCACTAGAGGTCACTTCACAATTAACATAACATGACACTTCACTGAGATAATGAGAATATCTGTGGAAGTTTAAACTGGCTAAGGAACTTTCATTACTCAGAACGAGGTTTAGAGTTTATTCACAAAAAACAGCATTTAGGGAGAATTAACAAGGGAGGTAATGTGTTTTTGGCCAAAATAGCCTGCTGGGAAAAACAGCCAAGGAGGATATTGGTATGTTTTTTGTATATTTTTTTTTTTTTCCCTCTCAATTCCAAGTTTAGTGAATAAATGCCTTCATTTTTTTAAAGTACACTTCTGTTATTCAATTCTAATCAATAAAAGTTAGAATTCCTTTTAAAGGACAACTGTCACCAAATATTTTTAATATAACAATCTTTTCATCAAGTATTGAAAGGATTTTTGTTTCAAATGAAGTATATGTAAGAAAAATTCATCCCCTCCTTGGGTCATACAGTGTTTTGAAAGCCAACAGTTAGTCTCTATAATCCTCCCTGCGTCACTCCCTCTATAGAAGCACGGAAGACCATAGAGACATACTATCGGTTTTCAAGCACTGTCTGACTGATGCATGTATATGGCTGAAGCATTCTGTCATATACTAAATTTAGGGATGAATTGTTGGGGAGGGATAAGGGGGGATTGTGTTTTACCCATATTCTTCATGTAAAAATATTTTGAGCTGACAGTTGTCCTTTCATTTTGAGAGGTGATTGTAATCCCACTGTTACAGTACTCTACTCTGCCTCATACTGCGGCATAAATGAAAGATTTGTAATAATAATATCTCACACACAGAGCTATATTTACTTATAGAGGCTATTCGTCCTGCTCTCACAAAAAAAAAGCTTAAAATCAGTCCAGAGATATAAACAAGGAAACAGACATGGAGGCATAATTTCGCTTGGTGTGAATATTAAAAGCACTTGCAGGATGTTAAACTATAAAGGCTGTTCATTAAACCGGAAAATGGTGGTAGTTGATGAGGGAATTGGAAATGGTAGGCAAAATCGTGGAGCAGGTAAATGTTTCCAATGGACTTACATTTATGGTCCCCATGTGAATGTCTCTAATTCAACAAAGAAAAATAATTCATCTAATATTTTGCAATTAATCTTTTCCCTATTTCCCCTGCTGGGAAAAGTATTCAAAATGAAAGGATGGCACCGGGGGACTCCAGACACTATAACCACTTCAGTCATATTAAGCATTTACAAGGTCTATAGCAAGCTTCCCCAAACTCTGGCCCTCCAGATGTTGCTGAACTAGAACGCCTATTATTATTTTTTTTTTATATATATATATATTCTTTATTATATTTGTGCATAGGTTAGACAAACAAGATTGTGTTGTCACAGCGGCTGGTACATGCATAACATCAAATAGATTATAACAATTATGTGACATGAGTAACAGTGCACATTTTATAGTAATGAATAAGAACAGTAGCATATCGGCACATTTTGAATAATGAAAGGTGGTCCAGGTAATGTAAGACTAGAGTATTGGCTTGGACTAGGTGGGTGCATACTATAGTTGCCTTAGAGTTAACATCTGGTGGGAGACGGTATGGTAAGATAACCAGGGCTTAGACGTATTAACAGTATAGGTATGGTGTGCTCTGTGCGCCTTGCGTGATGTGTGGTTGAGTAGCAAGTTAGGCAATAAAATCAGCGCGTGTGTTGCTTGGTTAGCGAAAGACATGGTAATGTGGACACTGTGTAGGCTGAAACTAGTTATGCCCACCAAACAAAGTAATTTATGTGACTGGTATGCGGACTAGACGAGATAAAATATATAACTTAAACTGGTAACGTAAATGGATTAAATACCGTAAGTGGAGCCCAACATGCAATAATATCTATTATAGATCAGGCTTATTGGGTGCAGGTCATGCGGGTGATCACATTTAGCCGAACTGAGTTGTCAAGCCTAATGATAGGATAAAAGCAATAAACTCTCATGGCTAATAAGATACTGGGCATTGGAGTCAGTAAGTAACATACTATCTGGCATTGCACTTAGTGCAAAACTGCAGAAATGAGGCAAACACAAGGGAAAATATCGATAAGTGCAAAAAAAAAATCAATTAAAACTTTGCTCATCTGCAGTAAAAAGAGTCCTTGGCAAGCAAGAGTTAGGCATGACAGCCATGCAGGTAGAAGCTACAGGTGTCCTGGTGAAGTGTAAAGCAGGTGTGGACACATGTAGCCAGTCCACCCTAGGTACTTAACCAATGCCAGATCTTGAGGCCTGCCGCCTGGCAAAAAGGATCCGCTCGGCAATGTGTTGTAGCCAGCCTCTCCGTAAGATGCAGGATGTTATTGTGACAGCGAGGTCAGAGCTCTGCTCCGGTGGGGTGGACCTGATAGCTGGAGGTAGTCTGCTTAAGAAGGTGTATCGCAGATCGCGGTACCAAAGTGCAGGCAGGTGAGTTGTATTTCTCGCTATACATGGGGTGCTACACTGGACCTCAGACCGACGCAGCACTCCAGTCTGAGGTCGCGTGTAAGGTTGCTTCTTAGACGCCTTGTGTCTGAGTGAAGCGCGACGTCTGACCCTCCGGTGTGCTGCATCCATCAGAGCTGGTGGAGCTGTTGGTTTGGGCTGGATTCTCCGAGGTGGGTAGGTCTCCGTTTGCTGCTTTGCAGAGTGGAGCTTGCAACTTTTCAATTGTACATTAGGGAAGAGTCTATCTAGCCTGGTGGGGCTGTCACCTTGGGCATCGCTGGCATGTGTAGCCCACGTGGTATCCGCCATTTTAGGTAAGGGTGTGAGGAGAGTGCCGTCTGTAGGTGCTCTTCCAGGGTGTGTGCCCCAGCCTGCCGTTCTGCCAGTTTTGTCCAAAAGGCTGCAAATATGTCATCCAGCCGCTTTAGAATGTTGGGCCAATGCGCATTATCTTGTGGCTCAGGGGTGTTTGCCGCCATTTTTGATTTGGTAAGTGCCTCTTGGGTATACTTCCCCCTGGGCTGTTGGGGTCCCTCAGGGACCGGGATAACCCCCGGCGGTTCATAGGGGGGGAACGAGGGCCCAGTCGCCAGCTGTTTGCCTTTGGGAACAGCCGTCTCCCCAGTGCCGTGTGAGCTTGGAGGCCGCAGGTGTTGCTCTGGTGATTCTTGCAGGGATGGCATCGTATTTGGTGTCAGTGTGA